ATGTTTTTAGCAATACTAGTGCTTTTAGTGGTAGAGCACGGGTTGGCGGATTTCTTGGCGCCAAGATTGCATCATAATGGGCTTTTCCTCTTCATCATCCGGCTCGTCAGACACCCCCTTGCCCTCTTTATCAATAACCACCCCTTTGTCTAGATCTTCTAAATCTGTTGAATCAGAGGAGAGGGAGTCCTAAGAAGGTGATTCCTCTGATTCTTTGGTCTCCAGGTTCTGCACTTCGCACAAAAGTCGTCGTCTCTCCGCCTGCTGGTCAATCAGTACTTGTGCGGCCTCTGTATGCTCGATCTGTTTCTGAATAACGTCTCTTATCCTCTATAGCCATTAATTAGGCTCTTCTTGAGGGGCCTTATGGCGCTTTTTAGGCTGTAGATGCATGATCTTATTGTCTTTTGCCTCGTTTTATAGCTTCAGGATGGCTAACTTAATCACCATCTCATTGTATGACTTTGCGACCGCGTGTATTGCTGTTCGTTGCTCAGGGCTCTCCGTGACTATTGACAACATCAGGGCTATATCTTGCCTTGATGTAGGGGCTTCCAGGGTATCAGGGGTGGTTTCAGGGTTCATTATAGCAGCAGCTGTTGCTTGTATCTCTGCTGCCTTTACCACATACTTGTTTGCCAGTGTCTTGTTCTTATTTATGGGTCAAAGGCTAACAGCACGCCATCCCGAGTGCACGATAACAGGAGTAGCTTTGGCACGGGCTTTCGCCAGGCAAGAAAGAAACTTAATCTTGCTAATAGGGGCCGAATCATTCAACTGACCGAGCTGGTTAATGAGGCGGCGATAGGCGGCCTTCATCACAGAGAAAACGGTCAGATCTAGGGGCTGGAAGATGTGAGACTACCTCTATTAGCCGAATAACAAGTAATTAAAGATATAACTTACTATATAGGCACGAAAAAAGCTCAGATAAACGTTGTTTATATAGTACAGATACATAAAATCATCTGAGCAGTGGCTGCCATGGCCATTGAGCACCAATAAGCGGAACTCATCTGGGTCTTCATAGGCAGTATCTGGCAGATAGATCTAAGGGGTTATTTAGCATATTATTAATATTAAAAAATAAAAAATAAATAACCTTTTTAAGCCATTTAAGCACGATCGCGTTCGAGGACCAGCCATTAATAGAGTAAGTCACTATCCAGTCTGTCACCCCAGGATGCTCCAGAATAAGCTGTTCTTTGAAACACTGCATCTGTGATGACTTTGCCTTAAAGATAACCAGCGGCCGGAGCTTTTTCTCAGTGGCAGTGATCGATTCTATCACGGTAGTCCACGTGCGGTTATCGTTGGACTTGACGTTGGCCCCTTTTGAGCCAGAACTGCCTATTATAAGGCCATTATACCTATAACCTCCTGATTAGCTGTCTGGAAAACACTTGGATTGGATGTACGTACTGCCAGCCCTGCATAATGCCGTACTTATCGATATTTGTGCGGTTCTCGGACTTAATAAAGTCGAAATCTGTGTAATAGTCATGATAGCCATGGATATTGTCAGGAATGACAGTATTGATACACTTGTAGTCAAGTTTTTTACCCATCTTGGTCTTTATTTCTGGGTTCTGGCAAATAAAATTTCGCATGTAATGGCCCCCAAGATGAGGCGGTTTTCCTTGGGATTATAGGATCTTCTGGATGATGTACCTCATATTGGCGTGAGTAGGGGCATGGCCAGCCTTTTCTTGGTACAGAATCTATGAAATTACTTTCTTTTCTTCAGCAGGGCTTATTTTTTGTCTGCAAGTATATCCTTTATGCTAGGTGCCAATTATAGGCATCGTGGAGTCTTTAACTTTGTGAAAAACGGTGGTTTTTGGTACTCTATAGCGCTGGACAGCCTTCCGGAGGGACAGATCGTCACCGTTCATGGCGGCTATCGCCTCAGCAAGGTTTTCTTCGGTGTATAAAGGCGCCATTTCCACGTACTGAAGTTTATAATACTTACAGAAAAAAAAGAAAAAAAGAACCACAGAACTTCTGCCTGGTTGGAGGGGATAGAGGGCACGGGTCCCATTACCCCTCAGATAGGGCCGGACGTGCTAACTTCCGACCCCCGCCACGGGACATCCCGCTGTAGGACACCTAATAAATTCCACATTAGAAAAAACACCAAGAAAAGACAATTCAGACAATATATTTATGATATTTACAGCTTCAATCCCGATAGAGATGTGGGTGGGTGCAAATGTTGTGTTTTGGTGGAGGAACTGTCCCATCTGGGGGGCTGTCCCATCTGCATGCCCCCGCCGTTAGTCTATCAATGCAGAAGATTTCAAACGAGTACACATCAACAACACGCGACTCCTTGTGCAAAACACCCACAGCCTGAAAGCACTCCCAACCGTCGCCGCACTGACTTCCGGGTTTATGGCACAATCACAAGCTTCTTCGTCTTGACTTTTAGCCTCCTCACTATCCCAGACAGCCTCCATCTCAGCTAGGGATGACAGGAGGACATCCTCGGGAACTGCAGCTGGATAGTACAGGTTAAACGAGTCCCCGTGCCACGCCACGCCGTCGATGCTGGGTCAAAAGGAAGATGCGGCTGCGCCACCAAACGCATGCCCTTGGAGCGGCCGTAGACGACGCGCGGGGTGCCGACGGCTTGGACTATTTGGAATGCTAGGTTAGAGCTGGGTTGGCGAGGGGGCGCCTAGATTGGTGAGTGTCAATGAACTGAGGAGGCGGGACGGGGATGCGGGCGGCGTGCATGGTGAGACCTGTAGTGGTGGAACCCAGCTATTGGTTGGCTGAAAGGGCTTGTTGACGGATGATAGGGTATGGAGTATTGTGATGCAGTCCTTGGTTGAAGAGATGGGCTCGATGTTGGTGATGAGAGGGATGGTCAGAATGCTTTGGAGAGGCCCCGGCCTAGATGTCTTGTCCTACATGACATCCTGTATTCTGTGATCATGTGTCCTTCGGCACTGTAAGGGAGTTAGCTGGAGGAATTTTGACCCACGGACTGAAGCAAGACGTACGGACTGATACCAAGTTCAGGCTGCTATGACTTGTTAGTTGCCGACGCTAACAGGAATAGGAGCTTCCACTACTTCAGCGAGTCCCAAGATAGAAGGATATCCAAGTTCCCATAGAGACTAGCGACCGGCATGCCGCTAGAACTTGCGTCGCCGCGATGGCACAACACATATGGCTGCTTTTCAAATACTTACACAAATATCATGTCCTATTGCAGCACGTACTCAACTGAAATCAGCGTTGTTGGTGACCAATTCTCAGCGCAACCAGGGCTGCCTCGATCAAAGAAGAGGCCTAAACCACGACGAGTGAGCAAAGCCGCATGGCACTCCTGGGCATGAGATCAGCCAATTCAGTAGTCGTGTCGTGATGAAGACCTCGCAAGAGCTCTATTGGTTATAACGAGGGATTTTTCGTGTTCGCTTAATGGTGACTATTGACTCGCGAAATCGAAGACACTTCGGATCCCATCTAAGGGTACTTGGAGTAGGCTTCATGTGTCGATGATCGACACCGGCTTTGAACTACAACGTAGACCGTGATCCAAAATCGCTGTACGTTACGAGCGCCCATGAGAACTTATTCGCATCCGGCTGAACTAAGTCTCAAGGACAACCAAATGGCATCTATGTTGAGTGAGTGCCCTCCATGCTACGATTCGGTGTCTTGAAGCAGACGTCTACGGCGTCTACCGACTACCACTCGGAGGAGATTTTATGTCATCCTGTATATCCGATGTCTAGCACAGCCACCCACTATGATATGTCAGCGATCTGCGGTACTTATGGGAATGCCTACGTAGGCAGCGATGGTATGAGACCTTGGCCTTCGTGTCTTTTCGTATAAGTTCCGAAAAGGTCGGTGCCTAGGAAAACAACTCAAATATTTCGTCCTACGATTCAGCCGTCTCCAAATCTAAGCGATGTAGGGACACGAGCGGTGAGCAGAGGACTGAGGAACAGTCTCTGAGGCTAATTTCTTGATGTGCCCTATCGTCCATGCCCACAAGCCTGCCATACCTGCAGTTGGTGTTGATTCCTCCTTATCGTCATCGGCCTGAGCCTGTGGACGCCATCCGTGGTTAAGGTTTTGGTGGATTGAGATGATTTGTAGCGTTTTATTTTGATAGACTTAGCGTACAGCACGGGGGCTCTGCTTTTTGTTGTCTTTTGGGGTATTTGGGTTTGGCTCCTCCCTTCGGTCGAAGAGCTTAAAAAATAAAAACAAATCACGGGACGGTCCAGCCGTCGGGTCCGTATACAGCAGAATCTAGACCCGGCCCACGGAATCATGCAGCATCAAGCCCGAGACCCCTTCCTTTCATTCACGAGACGATAAGGAGGAATCAACACCAACTGTGGACCGTCCCGTGCCGGTTTGGATCAGATCAGACCATGTCATATAAAATCAGAAGCAAACATCACAGAACCCCATCTGCTGGTGGCCTAAAAGGTGGTGTGAAAATGACGCGGATTGGCGGGAAATGTCATGTAGATCGTGGGCGCATTCCTGCTCACGCGCGGACTCGGGGCTGGGGAACGGACATATGCACAGGTCGGTGTGCCATCAACAGGCTAAAGCATGCATGTAATCGCGGGAAGGTCCAACAGCCTGGGGTAAGGGTCCTCGGTGGCACAGTTGGGCTTTCGTCATATAGTGGCACCATGCTGGGATTTGGAATTCCAAATACCCCTTACCAGCCCGGTATTTGATCGCCCCACCCCCGGAATAGAACCGTGACGTCGTCATATACAGACAAAACATCTATATATTGCGAAGGAAGGATCCTTCGAAAGCAGATACAGAAAGAGACAACATCACAATCAGCGCAATATCAGAACGCCTCTTCCAATCCCAACTCAAACTCGCCTCAACCTTCCACCGCCAAAAGCATTCAACTCGCCAAAACCTTTCAACTCACCAGACATTCCAACTCGCTTCAACCATCCCACTTAACAAACATCCATTACACCAATCTACGACACACTCCCAAGATGATGTTCACAATTATCATGCCCGCGGTGGCCGCAATCTTCCTCTCCTTCTCCCAGTGGGCGACGGCGGCAGGCCCTGCGATCCTACCCTGCGAGGCGTCACAACCAGAGTTCCTCGTCTCCGACTGGACAGGCTCATACACCGGCGACAGCGAGTCATTCACATTCTACCTCTCGTCCACCTTCGCCGACTACTACTCCGGCTGCAGCGGCAAGATCAACGAGGGCGCGGCGGACAGCGGAGTCAGCTGGTGTCTGACGGTCATCCCTGGCTTCAATGTCTCATTCACCAAGTCCGGCGACGAAATGACCATCAACCACGCCTACAAATGCAGCTCGGCCGATGGAGAGGTGTCAGCGATGGCTACCGGTTCGGCTGTCCTTGACTTGTCCAGGACTGTCACGGCTCCCGACACCGGCAGGATGATTCTGGCTGGCGGAAAACAGACGATCGCCGCGGCAACAGAGACGGTTTGAGGCTGGCAGCCCTTCCAGCATGGTTCTTCCCTTGTCTCTGGCATCTTACGATTTACGACTTGATGACGGTGATGGCCTCGAGGAAGAGACTGCAGAGGAGGATATTCCTAGGTGATGGGTGTGGAACATGTAATTAGCTGGCTTTCTCCCAGACGATAATGAGATTACCACCTCACAATACACTCCTTGCCTCCAAATGCAGCCTGTCATGACAAGTGAAGAGTGCATGCCAGCCGGAACAACATAATGCGCCCTCTGGCACCAAACGAGGTCCGACATGTGACCAGAGCTTTGGGCCACGGGGAATAATAATACGCCCATAGGTGCGGGCAACTTCAGGTGCTAAAGCTGAATGATAGGAGATATGATGCGGCGGACATCACGTTACCGGGTAACGATGTGGCTGGCAGATGTCAGTTACACCAAGCAAGGGGCCGCTGCTGATCGCCAGCCTCCCGCGGTAAGATCGGCACTCGTCCATCCAGTCCGTCATATTCCGCGAGCGCCTGTCCATGCTTACATTGGTGAGCGGATACTTCCGACGGACGGTTTGACAGTTCAGAAATTGCAAATACCGCCCCGCTTTTTGCTTGGACTACAAGACCCCTATTTCGCCCCTGAAAACGCTTTACCTCGAAAACAATTATCCATCAGTCGGCCGAATATTGCCTTCAATGTTTCACCGCGACGAGTATATGTGTGACCTGTACCTACCCGCCGGTAAAATCATTCTGAGGGAGCAACGGGCCGTATGCGAGGCGAGGTATTCCGGTAGGTTGGGACCCTTCAAATGCAGCTGACGAACCAGCTGTGCCGCTGTGCGGGGGGATTTGGAATTTGGAATTCCTGCCTCGTCGTGATCAGCCCGCTTCCTCTCGGCAATGCACGCAGCCCCGTGATGACGTTGGGGTAAATAAATGACAGTTGGCCAACTTGATTGTGCATGTGAGATTCACCGCTTGTTGATCTTCTACATGCGTCACTCCTGTATCCTCTGTTCTTTTACCAGAATTCGATGGGGAGGGCTCGTATGGTTGCGATTTGGAATTCGCTCCCGGATACTTGCACTGGATCGCTTGGTTGGCCGATTGTCATCTTGCATGCCGAAAGAGATCGCCCTCGGTCTCGGTTCCCGCCCTATTTGCTCATGTGCCGCCGTGCCGCAGAGCCACGGTAAAAGAGTAGCACTCGATACTCAATGGGGAATTGCCGGCTCCTCTTGATGCACATATGTACGCTGCATGCACATATGTACGGGGATGGACGCCTGCTGCTCCGCCTTCAGCCAAATACCGCTGCCAAATACTACCTACTCCAGCTCGTTCCCATTGACGCTATACTCATAATGCGCTTTAGCGAAAGCCAGTCATTTGGAGGTATTGTGATCAAATGCTCGGCTCCAGATACCAAGCTCAGAAACAATTGGAGGTGGAAGGAATATCTTGCTCCGCCAATACGAATTGCTTGATGCGTTGAGCTCGCGTATTAATCGATGATGTATGCTGGAACCGAACCAAATTCGTGACCGGGTGCTTGAGAAACCTTATCGTCTGGTTACCGAGTCCGCCCACATACGGGATACCAAACCAGGTCCAGATGCTTCAGGGACAACATGGCATGCCCAACTTATAATCTGTAAGTTATGCTCACGTCCCATGAAACATGTGATTTTAATCTGATCCTACGTAGGTCCTACCACACTGCTCGAGTTTGCCTAAGGACCATGGGGGCCGCCAGAAGGAAAGAAGGCCTAGTTCGGGCTATTCGTCGCTATTTGCACATGGAAGATGCCTCCAATGACAACAGAGGGAGAATCGGAGCCGGCGTATGGAGCTATCAACAAGCGCGCAGAGCGATCATGTGCCTACTGGGATATGGCCTCTCCGGTGAACAGGCAGCGTGGACCACGCCAGACGTAGTAGCAGTGTAACTTATCATAGCTTTGCTACTCAGCCCCTTGAATACCGCTGGCAGACACCAGCAGCGGGACTTGCTACCTTCTCCGGCTTTCAGGAGAATGCTCCGAGTACCTATCTCAGTACGCGGCACCTGATGAGGGCCAAATTTGAACACTATCTGTCCATAGTTAGAGTGCAGTTGACGTTAGAAGGTTTGATCTGTGACATCTAATCAGGTTGAGTACCCGTAGTTTACCTTGTGCTATCGAGAAGAAACCCTGTGAACGCGTAAATCAATATTGTCGGTTCTCTGACTGGCAAATTGGCACTGCTCGGGATCTAGGCCGACCTGACCGTCCGAATCCTCTGCAGCTGTCCGGAAAGGTAAATGCCTATGGCAAAAGCCAAAGGCTATAATGATCTGTTGCTCTGCTGTTATACCCGGGAGTCATTCTTCGCCGCAGCCCCTTTTGAAAGACGCCCACTTCTTCATGCAGCCATAGCTAATCGGGGAGGGCGTAGACTCTGTTCCAAGCCATCAACGACTCCCCTACCGCGCGCACAAGGACATTTTCTGACCAGTTGGCTGGTGAGCTCGATTCACAACTCGAATATGTGCAGTACAATCTTTCAGTCGTCGACGACTTCGTCAGCGGTCCATGGTCCCCGCCACCGTCTTCATTATTCTCAGTTTCGCATTTCAAGCTGTAATATTGTTTCTTACGATCTTGCCGCGCCATTCGCCATCCTGCTGCGCATAACACATCAACTATGTTGACCCATCAAGGGCGCGTTCGTATATAGCAGTAGCTCCCGAACGCAGTAAGGGATGCCTCCGCACTCCAAATCCCCCGTGGCTTTCAAACCGCCCTCTTCGCCTGTCATGAATCAGTGAATACTAAGTGATTCACCATTTAGGAATTGGTGTTACCAGGCAACGTAAACGATCACGGTCAATGACAAACAATGTTCATGATACCCCATGAACAGGCGAAGACTGCCATTATCTATGCTTCGCCTCGCGTAGCTTTATCTCACGTAGCACCGCCACGCTGACAGGTAGAGTCATGGGACTCTCCGTTGACGACATTCGTGCACAGCCCAGCCGCGGGCCCCCCTCACCCCAAAGAGAATCTCTGACAGGCTTGGTTGAGGCTTCATGGGGCCAGTGAGGGAGGCTGCATTTGCACCATTTTACAGACCACGGACGTGCGAAAAGAAGTCTGACAATCCTCACCAAGCCTCGAGTGTATGTCACAACATACTTTCAACAAACCAACGTGACCTAATGAATGCTGGGAATGGAGCCAGACCAATGATTGCCGATGCAGAGCTCAGGGTAAGGGTTAGGGTTGGGGAGCTTCAGCCCTAACCCTAACCCCGAGCTTCACGAGTTGAAGCAAGACTAATGTAGCTTCCTACCTAACACTCTTTCTATTGGTATATGTCGTCTAGGTAATCTCCTTGCCTTACTCGCCCCCAAGCTCATTATCAAACGCCAGCCCTGAACCTGTCGTCAGCTGCGTAGTACCATCAGGAACGCACAACAGCCGCAGAAAACAAGGGAAATTCCACCCAATCTGTACCGAAAGCGCCAAATGACAAGAACTCCGCCCATGTCAGCGCCTAACTACCGCCATCCAATGGCCCTCCTCTCCGGGTAGTCCAGCTGCCTCCGCTCCGGCACCGGCGCCAGCCGAGCTGCGGTGCAATCGCGACAATAGCTCCCATAGTATGCCACGCGGTGCTCATGACAGCCAAGGCACACCATCGTAGCCGGTTGCGTCGTCGTCGCGACCCACGCAGATGACGAGGTCGAGTGGTGGTGCGGGTTATGTGCGCTTGTCGAATGATGTCTCGACGACGGCGTCAGCCACATGGTCGAGCCGGGCGAGTTGTAGATGACGGTGTTGCTGTGCCGCAGCGACTTCTCGTCGACGAAGAGCTGGCCGTCGTTGACGATGTACCGCGTCGGGTAGTGGCTGTGGCGCGTCTCCTTGCGCAGACGGTGCGCCAGCTCGTGGCTGCGGTGGTAGCTGTTTTCGTATTGGTAGGAGGGCATCGTCGAGCAGGAAGTTGTATCTTTTAGTCAAGATCTGGGATTTGAGGTGATAGGAGGTGATATCAAGATTGCGGCGTAGAGTTATGTATGTTGCACAAGTGTGGAGTGGGAATCAAGCAGAATGAGGGCAGGCCCGACGATCCAGGCCATCTATTTATGCGGGCGAAGCAATGCCCGTCATTGTTGCACTTGGATACCGAACCCAAGTAGGCCTCCAGATTTGAGGCGCAGAAATCTTCCATGGCGGCCCAATGTCGTGCATGACACATGTGGCCCCCAGCCGCAGGGCGGAGTGGTTCGCCACCATTGGTTGCCTGCCGTCTGCACCAATACCATATCGAGATACTTTTCGGTGGCAGCCTGATCAAGTCGGACAATGCCCCCTCCCCCATGGAGACGAGTCACCACCGAGGCTCTGCGGCCCCAGCTGACCGTATCTGTCAGACTTACCACAGTACTAATGACGGCACTCCCAGTGTAATGAGTCTTCGATGAGTGCTTCGAGAGGCTCACCTGACCACAGATATGTGCTGGGTTGGCAGTGCCGAATGCCCATGCCATCAAAAATCAAGCTCTCGCAGATAGAATAATGATAAGAGGACATGTAAAGTCCTCTTGTGCTGAAGAACTTCAGTTGAGCTAATGGCCACGCTCTCCCCAGATACCCAGACATCCTGGCGCAAGCGACTCTCCTGCCTCTTCGTCAGCTGTGCCCGGTAAGTCTACGCTAGATTGAAGCGTACCACCAGATGCCTTACGGCCGTACCTCTCTTCCTCACGATCCAACAGTCCTATCACGAGCACCTCTTCCGGCTCCTGCTCTTCAGCCCAGTAACCCTTATGCCCTTCCGAGTCACGCGTCAAATGAGGCTGTCGTGAGTTTCAATGACTCCCGGCCGGCCCAAATTCGACGTACATTCACCGTGATGCAGTTCGTCATCGCCGAAAGTCCTATTATCACGGAGCGCCACAGGGTCCCTCTTTTCCGCCTTCAGGGGCTTCAGATTGAATACAATGCCCATCGGGGCCCGTCGCTTTCCTGGTAGCATTCTATCAGACCTTTCTCGGAAGAAGCTGGACAGTTCCGGCCTGGATGAATCCTTTTTGATACTACCAATAGGTCTGGATGGTATTCTCTTACATTGTACGTGTGCCCTCCAGTGAGGATTTCCAGATGAATCTGAGGAGCTGTGCTGCCACCACCATGAAACAGGTTGAACCTGACGAATTCCAGGGATCCCTTCTCAAGCTGGGAAATGTCCTTGAGCTTGCTTCTGCTGGAGCCGACCTACGCCCGCTGTGGCCGCCATGGGTCGCCAAGGCATCGCTCTCGGCCCAAACAGCAGACCGCAAAGACAGCGGCTTGGTGAGTACCTTATTGCAGCCTGTTATTCTTGTGATCATCTCGACTGAGAAGCCTGGGGTCTTTCCCGGACCCCAGATATTTGGCCACGAATGAAGCGTGTTCGGGTGGGGTGAACGGAAGTGGAGCCGTGCGTATCTAGTTGAGCATGGTCAGTAGAAAATGGAAGCTCCGAGATGGTCGGTATTGGTCGCATGACATGGGGCGGCAGAAGTCGCTCATCTAGGTCCGCAAGAGTTGTGGTTTCTGTCCTAACCTTTTTGTCTGGAATAGTGGACCAACAATCAGATGTAGGCCTGAACCAGGCTCAATGTTGTTCCTTGTGGCTAATGCTTTTCCGACTGCTATGCTCGTAGGGGGCGTCCGGGGAGAATCAAGGGTTGCGAACTCCCTCCCTTCAATTGTCTGAAGAGTGATCGATACATCGTCTTACTGGCATCACCGCCACTGCATATTGCAGCAGTGGTTGCTGTTTGATGCAGAAAGAACACATTGTGCACGTTTGCTGCTCACCTTCCCCTGAGAAGGAGTGTGATTCTGGTGAACGTGATATTTTGGCAGTTTTACACGTCCTTGGGCGCTTATTGTGACCAACATACCGGGGAGGACTTCCCATTTCAGTCCTAAGAGGCAGCTACCCATCCACCCTAGGTAGCCTCGATGTATGGCTGTGAAACGAATGCAATGGCGATGACGGAGTCCCCGCATTGTGAAGGGTCGAAGGTCGCCCGAAGAACCTCCAGCTTTCAAGGTCCACAGATGGCACAGGCGCATGGTGCAGCTACTCGTGTTGGACCACTCTACCTCTGACGGAAAGAAGCAACGCGCATCTTCGAGTAGTATGGTAAGCGCAACTGACAGCCTGAGCATGGTCCTAGTAGCCGGGCCAAGGTAGGAACAGCAGACTTCATTTGGCTGTGCCGTAATGTTAAGTCCAGGAAGGCACTGCCCTTGGGTGACGACCTCATTCTTGGGTGACCGCTGCAGCTGGCTGGAGCTAGATGTCACGTCCCATACAAAGCTGAAGGGACAGAAAAGCCAATCGGCACAGTCCAGTCATATCCGCATAAGAGGATGGTCAGGGGTTCCAGGCTACAAGTGACGCCGTCAAGGACTCAAACTGGCAGTGGCCTGTGTGTGCAGTGGGTAGGTAGGGGCCACATAGGCAAGCACCTTCCCTCAACCCTCAACCGTCAAGATCGAATGGCATGCAGGATTGCGTCTAGTTGGAAGGCACAGCCCATGCAGGTTGATAGCCGGGCAGTTGCCAGTGGTCGAACCCGATTCGGAAGGAACCAAGCGTCGGTTCTTCACTTCAAAACAGCCTCTGCAGACTGTCCCCCATCCTAAGACTAAGGTTTGTTTCCTGTGCCGTCTTCCCAACAAATCTGCATTTCTAGACATACCAACCTGTCCCCGTCAACTTCACGAGCACTTAGGTCTTCAATCATTCGTTTCGAAGCCGTTAGCCCAGACTCAGCCGCTCATACTGTCCAATTACCTACTACCGAGCTCACATCGTCAACCAGGAACTACATACATCATGCACGCCCATCAACTCCTCGTCACCGCCGCGGCTGTGGCCACTGTCGCCCTCGGACAGATGCTTCCCCAGGCAACACAGTTCGTAGCACGTCAAGTCAGCGACGAGTGCATCGAGCAAGCCACGTCATTGGCATCCGATATGCCCAACCTGACAGGCGAGCTTGCTGCCTCCTACACTCAGTACAGCAGAGCCCATCCGACTGGCGTCCTGGGCGGGACGACGTGGATCTGTTCCTTCGCCACGGCCCTTCCCTCGTCTCTGCGAGACGACTTCGCCGGCTACGCTTCAGGCCTGGTCAGCTTCGCCAGCAAGGACAAATCACAGATTATCGATTTTTACACCAGCTGCGTGGACACCAACCCTACCGACGCGCCTTCGATCAGCTCGGACATCAACGGCCTTGCGACCGCTACCAACTTGTGCGGTATCACCAACAGCCCCACCAGCAGCCCGAACGCCGCGATGCCGAAGCCGACCGGTCTTGTCGCCGGAGCTGCCGCGGCGGCTGCATTGATCGGCGGTGTCGCCATGCTATGATGATGGATGAGAATTGGTGTCGAGACAAGAGTAAACCTAGAAGAGCTTTGGTGATGGTGACCGTAGGTCATGGTGGAGGCGTCTTGATGGAGGATTTCAACAGCGTCAAACCCCTGGGAGTTAGGTTGCACAGGAGTTGGGCTACTGAGCATTCATGCGAGGGGCTTGGTGAGGACACGAGCAAGTAAACATCGACATCCTATATCTCCAAATACAAGACTATTGCCTTTGGCAAACTAATTGGCCTCACGCTACCGCACTTGTGATATACATCTTGTGACTGGAACTATGCTGCCTACAGTATGACCCTTATTTCTTACACTAAAGGGAAAAATGGATTACCAACGTGTTGCAAAGACATTGCAGATCTGGATTGGCTCCGGGGCGGAAGCGGCCTATTTGGCCATGAGCTTGTTGAGAGTCGTGGGACAGTGTAAGACGAGATCAAGCACCATGCACTGGCTGGTTACTTGCCCTTACCTACCGGGCAGAAAAATCCGATGATGAATGATTTTACGTTGGACCAATCATGCAGACTGCATGGCAGGTCATACTTCTCACTCAGTATCACGAACAATACTTATGATTGATGAACTGTTTCTACAACTCACGTCGAACCAACCTCTAGCAACAACTTTGTAACACCCCAACCGCCCGGGTTGCTAAAGAGTGGCTGTGAAACATCCCCCACCAGCCCAGGGACAGCAACATACTTATCGAATTGGATGTCGGTGATCGAGTGGACTTCTTCGCACGCGCCGTGGAACATGTCTCAGGCCAAATTGGGTGTATACTTGATCCCAGTGATGACAGCAACTTCGTTAATGCGGGAAAGGTGGTGGCGAATTGGAAACCCCACGAGCTGGGCGGGCTGTTTTACAGCACGAGCGAAGCGACTTAACATGAGCGCAGGATCAAGCACCTTGAGCTGGCAGGAGTAAAATATGTTAGATAACACGCAAGCCACAGTGGCTGTTAAGGAGGTAGCAGTATACTAGTAAGGCATTCAGGCATTTTAATATGTTATAGCATTTTATAGAAGATTTTTCACATAATAATAATCTATTAAGAATTCTTAAAATATAACGCTATTAACTTTATAAACCTTATTTATACTATTTAATAGTTATAAGCTTAAATTAACAAGTACTTTTTAACTAACTATTACTTTATAATTGTTTTTTATTAAATTAGACAATCTGCCGTTAAGTTAGACATATATTTACGCGAAAAATATAACATAAGATAAGCGATAGTAATATAATAACTACCAAAACGTTGAAAAGAAAGAGGTTTTCAAAATATAAAAATTTAAATAGTCCATAAAAAAATTTGTTAATATCGTGTTTTTTACTTTTTAAAAGTATATTGAATTTAAGTTTAAAGTGTTTTTGTTTTTAAAAAGCTTTTGGCCTTGAAATTTTAAGAATTATTAGTTAAAAATATTGAATTATATACTCTTAAATATTAATAACTAATAGGTATATTTGTAGCTTCAGAATATACATAGATGAAATAAAAGTACAAGTAAAAATAAAAGTAAAATAAACGATTAAAAACTTGCGAATATATATTTTAAAACACGTATTTTAACTTTAAAATATCTTTTTTTATTAAATTAACCTTTACGTAAGTGATTATTTATCCTTAACTTAAATTATCAAATTATTTCCGATAACCTTATAACAAATAATTATCAATGCATATAGTATAATCTTTTTTTCGTAAAATATTATATGGAAAAAGAATAGTAAATATCCAACGATCTTAACAAGTTATAACGGATATTATAGTTTGTTGAAATTTTAATATATTATAATTAATGTTCTAAACTAATTAACTCATTATGTGTATATTGAAATACGCTTTTAACATTTCAAATAAGTTTACGAAAAAAAAAAACCCCTTAAAATATGTCTTGATTATTTGAAAATTAATAATCGTGTTGTTGCGACGGTATGACCATGGGTCATCCATCTGGTCCTTCAAGAACAGCTATCTATTGGGGACAGATTGTTGAAAAGAACTTGCTCTTCTCCACGAATTTTGCCCATTCTGTGCTCCTCTCCCCTAAGTATTGTAAACAAGCTGCCCTAGGCGAGTACCTAGACAGCAGTCGGTTTTTTCCCAGCCTCTTATAAAATAAAATGTGTTGTAGTGTTTTCTTCTCACCACAGCTGCAGTGATCATTTGAGTCTGTATGCCCAAAGCGTTTATGGTATCTAGCAAAGTCGCCATGTCCAGATCTGGCCGCTAGAAGTCTGTGTAAAGTACTCCTTTCAAAAGATATAAGGTCCCTTTTAGTTACTGTATGTGAGTATACTTCTTGATACCTAGGTTCTGATTGGTCTTTCCACCATTGGTTGAATTCTTTCTTGCCCTTTCTTTTGAGATCTTTCTTGACTCGAGAGATTGTAGGAATGTTAGTCGTGTCTATTTCTAGCATGGCACCCTCTTATGCTAGTGTGTTGACAACTTAAAAATAGAATTTATAAATAAATTATGTTGGCTTTAACCCTTTTAAATAATTTAATCTATGATATTATAACATTTTTGAAAAATAAACTTTAAACATATAAAAAGTATTATATCTTTTTAAAAACAAATAAATTAGTTTCTCGTAATAGACTAAATATTAAAATTATCAAAATATATGACCGTATAAATATCGATTAAAAAAGCTGAAAAATCTTACAAAGGTATTAAAGAAATCATAATCGTAATATATAATATTATAAATATCGCGATCTTTTTAAATAAAGATTTCGATAATAAAAGGTTCGAAAAGTATGAAACCTTTATTTTATAAGTAAATATTATAAGTTCAGAATCAAAATTATAAAAATTAATAATAATTGTTTTTACTTTAGCTTTAATGTAATTATTATTAAAAAATAACTTGAAATCTATTCATTTTTATATTTAAGGTTAAAATAACCAAGTAAAAAAAGCCATAGCGGAATATTTAATTTAAGATCATTTAATATTTTTAATATTCTTAACCGTAATTCTCAAATAGAAACGAGATAAAAATAACTACATAAGCTTCTTGATAATGAATTCATTTAAAAAAAACCTTTTAAAAAACTTTACAAATTATAATTAACGTAAGCTCGTTATAGCGTTAATAAAGTTTTATCTTCATAATTTTATAATCTGTTGGATACATGTGATTCCACAGTCAAACCATCCATACAGAACCCACATGTATGATTAGATAAGAGATTAGATACCAGATTGTGAGGTCACTTAGCCAGACCTTCAGGTCCAGCTAGACTTCCCAATCCAACCATCAGCAACATCATTGTGACGGTCTGACGTCCTGGAAGTCTGTCAACCCATCAGGGTGGCCTGTGCGCAGCATTACATAACCTGGCGCACAAGACGTGTGGCCACAACTGTACTAGGCTAGGTAATAGTGGGGCGGATGGAAGGATCATTAATCCCACCAGAATTGGCTGGCGGGTCAGATCCTTCTTTCCCTCCCCACCAAGAGATTCTTACACGTAGGTAGTGTAATCAGGACTTTTATGTCCTCGTCCTATTTACGCTTCGTGACAATCATAACCTTGACCCCATACTCCAGTATTATGATTGATCGATCAAGCCTGTTCCACAGTTATTAACGTTGTTATTAACGTACCTTACGTAGATTGTTACGATTTAAACGATACTTAAATTATTAACGACGCGTTCAACCGACCTTTTTAAACTCTTTTTATTTCAATAAATACTTATAATACTTACTACGTATTTATAAAATATATACCTTAATAAGGAGTAACGTATCATTATTAATAACTTACTGCTTTTTGATAGGTTTTAATAACGTCGTACTACTTTTAAAAATATTACTTTTGTTTCTTTATAACGAAAGTCCGTTTTATTAAATCTTTTTTGATCGATCAAACGCTACCCGTTATTTTCTTTTTTATAAAGCTACCTTACTTTATTCGAATTTATATTAGATTTAATTAAATTTACCGTACTTTTAAATGTAAAATAATATTACTTTTGTTATCTCACGATAAAATCGTATTAATCGATTCAACGTTGCGTTATTTTTATTACGGAGTCGCGACTACTTATTTCGCAATATCATTATTTCGTTTCTTTCGTTTAATTTCTTTACAAAGTTAATAAATACCACTCTCATCATTATTACGTTTCGTACTGTTTAAAAAATAGAAATAAATATTTCCATTCTTTAAAACTAAACGATCTTAATTTATTTATATACAACGCTTTTGTATGTAATACCTCGTTATCTTCTTGGATTTGAACGTTTAAAGCAGGTTAACCTTACCTTATGTTACCGTTAAATGTTATAATTATAAATCTAAATAACCAAGAATACTAGGTTTAAAACCACTTAGAAAATATACCAAGTTTTTTATAAAACTACATAATAATGTACTACTAAGCCGTTACCGCTTTCACTTAACAGGTTTATTAATATTATAAAGTAATAAACCTTTTTTTTACCGCGGGTATATGATTACGAAAATCCGGTTTCGCCTTGTCTAAAAAGCCTTGTTTATAATTTTTATAAACTTTATAAAAATAAATTTAATGTGAGAATATTGGTGCCTATCACGTGTATGCTGCAGCTAGCAGCAGGCTGAAAGGGGTGAAAGGGACCTAAAGGGGGTGAAGGTCTATTGTAGTGACCACAGGCAGGTCTGTTGTCTGCTGTCAGGCAGCCGGATATCAAAGGGCTCCCACAGCTGTATTTAGGTGGGAATATCTCCCATGGATCTATGACCAAAGACACCGAACCTGATCCATCCCATCCTGACCCTATTTGAACCCCTGAACTTCATAATTAAATTAAGATCACGGTATATTATATTTCTTTTAAGTTTTAAAAACCTGGTCAACGTGCTTTATTAATAGCATATGTTATATTATATAAGCCAAACCTTTTAACGGCTAATTCATTTTAGAACTCTATTAGTTTTAACTAAGTTATAATATAGCGACCGGTTTTTAATCAGTAAAAAGTCATTAACAGCTTTTATAAATATAGCACGTTAATAGTTATAGCGTAAACAACAGTTATTTTAACGCTTAATCCGGACTAGCGTTATAGAAAAGCACGTTTTTTCGTTCGTTAGATTTTTATTATAAACCCGGTCGTTTTAAGCCTTTTAAAGCCTTTAAAGGCTGTTTAACGCTTTATACGTCGTCGGATTTATAAGGCCTTACTTAAAATAAAACCTTTTAATCAATTTAAACCTTTAAAGCTTTACTATTATAATAATATATATTAAAGTCTTTTTCAAGCCCGGCATTTTGATATAAGTTATGAAAAGGACCTATTATAAGTAGGTGTTTCAATTAATTAAAGTGCGGTGAAGTAAATTAAAATAAAATAGGACTGTTATGATATAATAAGTGCAGCCTTTTTACTTAGTTAAATAATTAGTGCCGTGACAAGGCCCAAGGGCCAAAACAGCTTGTACCTAGAGCAAGTCTTGCTGATGGAGGTTAGGTTAGACAATGTGAAAGACCCTCTCCTCGATAAAGCTGTGGAACGGTGGCACGGGCATATCTCTATGCACCTCCACTCCAATTTCATTTGGTTGTACACACAAGCAAGGCCAGCACGTCTAAAAGTACCATCCTCATTTGGTAGTAGTATGAGGTAGACTCCGCCATAGTGCCTGTCGTGTAGTATGAAGAGCAACCATACTGTCTGCACGCTGATATAATAGTCATCTGGCTTCGTATCAATCCTGCAGTGAAGTGTATCTTCCCAGGATTCGAATTGGATTTTGCGATTTTCTTCATAAGCAACATTCGTTTGGATTGCCGGTGCCTCCAGCTCCAAAACACCAGCGTGGACTCGACCGAACGCGTCACCGTTTACCATGTCACGACGCACACCACGTACGCGAGCCCGTACACCGGGGTCATTGATTAGTCGATGCGTGACAGGCCCTTTGACCGACGCCCACGACCAAGTCGGCGCCGTGTGCTTCAACCTCATACTTGCGTCAGCATAGCTTAACTCGCCAATAGGATCTTCGTGGCATATCCAGCAGAGTAACTGCGGGAATCCTATCCAGATTCCGGCACAGTAGTCGCCAAAACCAATGCTGGCAAAAGTCCTCGCTATAGCTGATAAAGCAGGAAAGACATTTTCAGCGAACGTAAGTTTGCGAGTAGAGTATTCGTGCACAGCCTGCATCCAGACGGCTAACAGTCTGGCCTCACGTCCCTGGTCTGACGCTTGAGAAGTATTTGATGGGTCAGTTAGTTCGGCGAGCTGGGTTTTGACAAGCAATTCCTGGTCCGTGATGGCATGCTCGCATTCACACGTCACCTGTGTTCTGCATTCCCAGACCATCTCACCTCTGGTGTAGAACAAAGTTCGCCGGCTGAGGATGCGTTCTTGATAGAACCATTTCCGCTCGGACAGTGGACATCCCGTATCCATGGTTGGTATGCCGGTCAAACCCTCTACGAATGAGTGGTCGATCCCGAGACGCACGAACAGGCCGCATTCCGGCACCAGATCTGTGCGTAGCGTAACGTCTCGTCCGCTTGTGCGCGAAAACCAATGCCCCATGTACATGCGCTCGTAGAAACATCCACCGTTGCCGTTTTCGGAAGACGCAGCAGCGATGTTAAGGCTTGCCTCGCCGTATATCGTTGCCATAGTTCCTGCTGTGGCGGCCCAGTCAGTCGGTTCATCCTGTACAATGCAAAGCGCGTCGATCCAAAGGTATCTAAAACCAAGCTGCCTAACTATCCAGATTGCGTCTCTAAACGTAGGTGTGAGCATTTCGCCGGGCACTTGTTGCTGGTAAGACTCCAGCGTGGCCTGGGTTGTCTTGGGAACCTTCGCTGCGTCTCCCCAGCAGTGGCTCAACGTAACGTATTCAAAGCTCTCGTTGGGAGTAGTTGCATGTAGGCGAACGGACAAATGGCTTCCATCGTTGGCTAGGTCGAGCAGCCGCTTCGGCAGCCCATTTGAGGCGTTCGGGGCACACCGTGGGTGTTTGTTGTCACAACCTTGCATCCAAGATCGCACCGTGCTGAGGCAACACTCGTCATCAAGCTTCCCTGGCAATATTCGCTGGGCCGCAATGGCTTTGCAAGGGCTTGGCTTCCTACTTGCCTCGTGAGAATGTCCTGCTTTACCCCATGTACAGATGCCACTTACCCGTGCTACAACAAATCTGGAATGTCTCCATCTTACCAGGGTCGTATTCGCCAGGGGATATAGTAAAGTATACTCCCAGACTCAGGGGGTCCATATAATAGTAATCGCGGCGCAGAGTTGCCCAACCGTTTGGTCCGTTTGAACTTGGAACGTCCCACCCTCGCATTCCAAAGATCTTTTCGACGGCGTCGTGGACTAGCCCACATGTTTTGCAGCCAAGACCAGCTTGTTCGGCTATATCACACATAGCAGCTCCGTCGTATTCCGCGTCGGATAGAACTCCCGTTTCCTCTTCAGTCTGGTGCAGCTTGAACACTTTGCAGACTTCGCAGTAGTGGTCGTCAAGCACGTACTGCGGCCCCGGGCCTCGGGAATCAGCGGGTCCCTCCATGATCGGTCCAAGCTATCACGAACATGAAAGGGGACTGATGGTGAATGGACCTGTGCTATCGCAGTAGTCTGACTACATGTTGATATAAGTGGCAGAACGAAGAGAAATGTAGTTCGAAAGGTGTGAAACAATGTACATGGACACGAACAAGAAATTGGGACTGAATGTTGTGTTTGGGATGGTTCTCTCACAGATAGCTAAATCTACCCGTTGGCACGTGATCCACTCGCTGCTGCGCCACACTTCGTTCTTCACCAAGCCACGAATTGGTAGTGACATTCTCGAGGATGATGCAACTGGCTGAGAACCTCAACATACCTACTTTACCTATATCAACCACTCAATCCACCACTCTCATTACGATGCTTCGAACCACGGCTTTGCCTCGCGGCCTACATGGCATTAAGAGACCAGTCTCTGCAGGCACGATACTCACTCGCCGCCTAGCCAGCTCCGACCAGTCTGCATCGCAGAGTGAGCCGAGCAGCGAGGCACCCAGGAATCCCGTGAAGGAAGAAGCCTCACCACCAAAGGCGCCGGCTGGAGACAAGCATCACAAGTCAATGGCCGAGAAGGATGAGGAGCTGCGACTGAAGATGTCCGGTCTGGCTGGGGACGGCGGTGAAAGCGGCGTCGAGTACGAAGACGGTCAGCCGGTTGCCATGAAGCGAAATGTGAAGAACAACATGTTTCGGTATATCTGAGACGGCGACCCTCGACGGACATTCCCTGGGTTCCCCTCCGCAGCTCTGATCGTCTACGAACCCCGAGATGCACTTGTTGCTGGCTCGTACCACCCCCTATATTCCCGTCACACTTTCATCCCTAGCCCGGCCACCCCGGCGACATCTTAATAGTGGGACACCAGGACCGGCGGTCAGATTTTCTTATAAAGTTATATCGACAAGGCCGCCGAATTGCATAATCTCGGCGGAATCTCACCTCATGAACCGTATCGATATACACGGAGTCAGCAACGTCACGAAGGAGTGACTGGCATGACCAACTCATGACGTCATCGCACCCATCTGCGCCATGCAACGATCAACACGCCGAAGATGCCGCGGAACCAGAAGACTTGAATAAATACACATTTCTCGCACTGTTGTCCCAGGTCGTGCAGAGCTTGCGAGACCCTACCAGAACTTCCACGAATACCGATTTCCCCGAAATGCGTAGGGAGGCCGGGGTCCACAAATGACCGTGTTGAGCTCTGCGGACTGAGCCCTCCGAAAGCGCCAAGTATGTCAAGGCATTCAACTCAGATCACTCAGTCCTCGGGATCAAGCACTTTACAATAAAATTTCATCGGAGTCTCAACATGAAATCTGCAGGGGGGGGTTCCCGGTGACTCGCCGGCTGGTACCTCTCGGCCGGCTGCCCACCGCGTCTCCTATTCAGTGGCTGTATACGAGAAGTCGCATTATGAACAAACCCACCAATGAAAACCTACACGTCGCTGGAGGCAGCACGGCCTCATACAACATATCTACTCGTTTGCTTCTTGAATTGGACTGCTCGCCAATTCCTTGTGCCTCTTCTTTTCGTGACTGTGTTTTCGTCATCACCACTGTGCCACCCAAAATGCTGAATTCCCTCGTCTCCCTCTCCCTCGTAGCAGCCGTCTCGGCGCACCAGAATTTCCACCAGTTCTGGGTCAGTGGCGAGACGCCGGGCTACCAGGTCGGCATCCGCATGCCCCCGAGCAACAACCCGGTCACGGACGTGACCAGCACCGACATCGTCTGCAACGTCGGCGGCACCGACGGCACGGGCGTCGCGACGGTCGCCGCGGCCGCCGGCGACTCCATCAAAGTCCAGTGGGACCAGTCGTCGCACCCGGGCCCCATAACGCACATGCTGTACGGGCCGGTGGACAGCGCCGCCGCGACCACCGGAGTCGGCGCCGGCTGGTTCAAGATCGACGAGCTGGATTATGTCGATGGGGAGTGGGCGAACGTGATCATGGGCGCGGATAATATGACGCATACCTTTACGCTGCCTGCGAAGTTGGCTAGTGGTGAGTATCTGGTAAGCTTGTGCCCTTACTTCGGGGATGAACAGTAAATGGGAATTCTGTGTTTGTGCTGACCATGACGGGAACCAGCTCCGATCCGAGATGGAAGCCCTCCACGCCTCCACGACCGTCGGTGGCGCCCAGGTAAGGACCACACACCCCCACAATTCAGATTTCAGAGGCCCTTGACGCCTTCCCTGGTCTTTGGTGTCGTAACTCGTCGACTGACTACCTACTCTACTAGTTCTACATCGGCTGTGCCCAGCTGTCGATTACTGGGTCCGGTAGTGCTTGCACCCCCGAGATCAGCCTTCCGGGGGACTACAGCGCGGAAGACGCGGACATCTACATCCCGGACTTCTATTACGGCTTCGACCCCACGACGTTTGTTGCGCCTGGTGGCGCTGTGGCTACGTGCTCTTGAGACTTCGAGGCTTCTGGTTGCGGCGTCGCGGAGAGCCTGTTGGTTCTGGTGGGGGCTGTGTTGGTTGTGCTGTAGGTTGAGCATGTGCAAGAGTGTGTGAGCCAAGTTATGAACTTTAAGTTGCTTAGGTGGGCTTGGCTGAAAAGTATTATATTTCCAAATAGGTATGAGCAATATTCATTATCGCACTAAGGAGCCCATGGTTGGCTTCAGTATGGCCACTGGTTGATTTGAAACACAGTTGTACCAATGTACCGGCAATCATGAGGAAAGACTGGGTTTCCGGAGAGGCAAGCGAAGAGGGTGCACCTTCCCCGAGTGTCATCTAGGTACCTAATAGTGCCAAGCCTACCTAGGGTCTCTGTCCGTAGGACCCCCTCACTGTTCTTCCGCACCTTCTTCCGCGCGCGGATAAACTTGGCCGTGTGTTTATGCATAGAGCATCGTCTCTCTTTTCATCGGACTTTAACCTGTTAGGGAAGGGATTTGAATACTTCGTAGTGCCAGTAAACTTTTGACGGCCATAGTCAGCCAGTCAGTCGATGCTTAAAACCATCTTCCCATTCCAACCCCTCCCGTCGCCATCATCCACCTATCCACAAGTACGCCCCCCAATACACACCAATACCTCCCTCACCCAAGCCTACTTGAGCAACTCTTTCATCGCCTCCGCAACCTTCAAACTAGCCCTCTCCGCATCCTCGCTCCAGGCCGCCATCTGCAAGAACCCATGGGTGAGGTCCGGGAAGTGGTGCCAGACGACCCTGTTGCCCGCCTTGCGCAGCTTGCTGGCGTACTCGACGCCGACGTCGCGCAGGGGGTCGAAACCGCACGTGAAGACGGCTGCGGGCGGCAGGTTTTTGAGGGAGTCGGTGGGCTGCATGCCGGGCGATATGTACCGGTGAGATGGTGGGTAGTGGGAAAGGGGGGCGCGGGGGAGGTAGTGGTCTGCGAAGGAGAAGATGCCGTTGCCTGTGTGGAAGTGGTGCGGGTGTTAGCTGTCTTGTTACATATTTGGTTTCTTGTCCCGTCGGACAGGCTCTCCTGTGCATGAGGATGCCGCCCGCGCTGCAAGACCTCATCAAGACCCAAGTGCTCCGCGTCCATCACGCCGCGCCACCGCAACCCAGGATGTCCAAGACAAGTAGTAATCATCGAAATCACCCTCACACAAACAGGCATACACTCGGGGGCAAACTCACACTCCAAATAATACCCCGAATTGTTCTCCGTCGCAGCCGGCGTATCAAACGGCAATCGCGCCTCGGGATAAAGCAAGATCTGCACCTTGAGCGGCGTCTTCCCCTCGTCCTTGAGGCGCAGCGACAGCGCGGCCGTCATGTTCCCGCCGGCCGAGTCGCCGCCCCCCAAGACGCGGGCCCCGTCGATGGAGTGCTTCGCGCCCTCGGGCCCTTGCGCCCATGCTAGGACGTCCTCGTATTCGTCGAGTTGGGTTGGGAAGGGGTGTTCGGGGGCTAGGCGGTATTCTACGCCGATTGTCTGTGGTGGTTAGCTTGTCAGCTGGGTATGCCTGCCATAGATCCCGATGCGGGCAGTGACGGCGAGAAAGAGGTAGAGGGGTGGCACTGAGTGCCCCACGACTCCCATCTCCCTGAAGAATGGAGGATTTGAATGCCGGCATGAAGAAGGTGATCGAAACACGCACAATAAAATCCGCCGCCTCAGCCAGCAACCTCAACCCATTCTCGAACTCATCCACACTCCCGACAGTATACCCGCCGCCATGAAAATAAATCAACGCCGGGAGTTTCTTCCCTCCATCCTCCCCTCCACCCTTTCCCCCGCCGTCTTTCGTCCAGCTCCGCGGATAAAACAGCCGCAGCGGCACCGTGCCATGCCGTCCGCGCACCCCCGCAAAGTCGACGCGCCCAATGGGCGCACGTTGTTTCTCCGAAAGCGCGTGGAAGCCGAACACCTTGAGGTGGTGCCGCCGCTCGCCGTGGAAGTCCTCGGCGCCGCCCAGGTGCAGCGTCGGATGCTCTTTTAGGAAGGACTTTATGAACGGCGCTAGGGTGGTGCGCGTGCCGGTGGTGGGGATTTCTTGGTCTTGTTGGGGGGACATTGTGACTTGAGGCTGTGGTGGTGGTTGTGGTGGTGACGTTAGGGGGCGATGTGTTGCAAGGTGTTGGTGTGAGTGAAGTGAATTTGTTGAATATTCGGGATGCTCACTTTGGCTGGAAATTGGATCACGTCTTCTTAAACCAATGCGCCGCGGAAATGGAAGATGTCGAGTGAGGTTGATGAGCGGCGCTATTGTCAGGCATGATGCTGTTCTACTTAAGAAGTGACGGCGGCGTACACGGAACCGCCGCCGAAGGCTTGTTGTTGTGGCTCATGATGTCAGATGAATGTATACACAATTTAGCCTCACGATGTGCGGTCACCTCCGAAAGCAAATACCTTATATCGACGGTTGATTCTCCAGCTGTTGACCTGGACAACCCACCTCTCTAACGAAATAAGGTTGAGACCAACGACAATTTGTAGATCTTCAAGCTTCAATATGCCGGCACCAACATGAAGGCTGTTCCCGCATCTCCGCCGACATCACGTAGCACATAGCCGGAAGCATCATCCGCAGCCATAGAGCATCGCGTAGGCTCGGCTGGCGCGGCATCGTGGAAGTTAACGTCTATAACGTTCTCTCAGTGATTGTCTTTGTATTTAGCTATTCGCAATCATAGCGCTAGATAGTGTTGTGAGCTATCATGATAGAGCACTGTGCATTACTATCAGCCCTCCATGCCTTGTGGTATCAGCTTTCGTCCATCCATTGCCGGAAACGCCCCTTTTCTACCAAGCCAACAACGCCGTGGGTAAAGCAAGAATTCCATATGAGGCCTGCGCTTCGCGATTGTAGGAGACGGCGAGGCACACTCGCTGAATAGATGTGACATGCAGCATTATGCCGTTCCGCGAGGCTTCGCCTTGGACTTGGCCTTCTCCTTCTTCTCCTCCTTTTGTCTCTTCTTCTTGGCCTCGTTCTGCTCCTCCAACTTGCGCTTGTGCGCTGTCTTCTCTGTCTCGGTCTTGGGGATGGGCTTGAAGAATCCTTCGAGGCGAGCCTGCTGGCCGCTCTTGGTGCCCTTCTCGAGCCTGGCGGCACCGGCACGGACTCTGTCCTCGTTGAAGCCCTTGTCGACGGCCAAATACTTCACTAGACCCTCAATGTCGGGCTTCTCCCACTTGAAGTCGCATAAGGGGTCGTCGGCCTTGCGCACATCCGGTTCGAAGAAGAGCGCTCGCGCATCTTCATAGGGCCAGTCTTCGGGAATGACATACTTCTTCTTCTCGTCGTTCTTCATCCATTCGACCACCTTCTCAAGCGTGCCGTGATCACGTATTAACTTCAGGGCAGTGGATGGACCGACTTTCGGGATGGGATCGACGTAATCGCAGCCAAGCAAGATGCAGAGATCAACGAACTGCACTGGTCAGCGACTGTGTCCATTTGGCGGTACAAGGCATATTGGCAGATGACTTACCTGCTTGCGCTCCATGCCCAGACCCTCGAGGACCTTGTCCACACTGATTTCCTGGATAGGTTCCTTCCTCTGCTCGCTGAACGTCAAATGTCGCAACAGAATGGGGCTATCGAAGCATAGGGTGTCCATGTCCTCACTCGCGGCAGCATAGACCTTTCCGGCTCGCGCAAGAACGGCGCACTGAGCTTCGGCCTCGGTAGGGGCGATGATGTAGGGTATTCCCATCAACTTCAGCAGCTGTTGGCATTCGGCGTTGTGTTCCCGTGTGACTCTGACTGTGCGTCGCGAGAACTTCTCGACGTCTTCTGCCGTGCCGGTCTCCTTGGCCTCTTCGAGACCTTCGTTCGCCTCGGCCTTGCGCTGGAACCGTTTCGCGAGTTCGCCGGACTTGAGCTTCGGAGGTTTACCGTCGAAAACGTAGAGGGGCTTGATGCCGTTGTCGACCATACGCAGGGTGCGGTAGAACATGCCCATCAGGTGGGATGTCGTGTCGCCCGACTCGTTAGTCAGCTGCTGGCCGTCGGATCGGACCGCGATCAAGAAGCTGTAGATGCTCATAGAACTGGAAGTGGTTTTAGTCTGGAGGGATCTCGAGGTGTGGCTGGTGTAGGGTATACGCACGCATCCTGAGAGACACGGTTAGCTTAGGGTTATGGGAAGACATATTGATACTTACGATTGCGACTTTGCGACCGAACTGGTTCTTGATGTCGCTCTCCTTCACGGCACCCGGGGCCTCATCCTTGATGATGGAGAACAGGTTCTTGATACCCATATTGAGGACGCTTTTCAGGGCAGGGAGAGGTGGGAGACTGATATGATTGAGCTTTGCAACGGCGCAACAGCTGTCGCAAGAGTTGTGGTGCAGGTGGTGACTGGACTGTCAATCGCCTAACGTTGGGGGAGTTGAGCAGTGGGCAGTGGGCAGTGGGCGCACAGTGATGTCACGAACTTTGGGAACAGAATTGGGTGCAGGTGAGGGCTCGGGGAGGACGCGACGTGCAGATCGGGGAAGCGTGTCGCGCGTCAAGCTTGGAGTCGGGAGGTGGTCTGTGCACCACTGCCTGCATTCAATTAATATTGGCAATTGCGATGGCAGTGGCAGTGGCAGTGGCAGACTGGCAGTTGCCTCAGGGTGCCAGGCACATGTGTGGTAGTAGATTGCCCCGCCTTCTGTCTGATTTCCCACGGACCCCAAGGTTCCACGGAAGAAGTCAAACACCGATGCTAGACATGATTTTTATTAGTTGACCGATGTTCATCATCCTGTGCCTTTGTGGTAGCGGAACCAGAACGGAGGTCTATCACAAGTCTTGGTTGGGATGATCTGTATTCTGGTTGGTGCTTGGTTAAGTTCGGTTTGGGAAGGGATCCCATCCGAGAAGTATCTAAATACCTAAATTACAGTGGGTTGGTACCTGTCACCTGGGGCAGCCATCCCAGGTAACCTTATCGTAGGACGCCCTGGATGACAAGAGATCCGATAAGGTACTGGTGGCTGGATCCAGTGGCTGGGATCCACAATCCGATCGAGGTCGTCGCTTTTTGATATTATGTATCGGAAGAAAGATAAGGTAAGCAAGGACTGCCTAGTTCTCCTGCTACCCTTCGACTTGCCCCTCCGCTAGGTATGGACGCAGAACGTTCCGTCGACCACCGCCTGACAGAACGATCCGTCGATTGCCTGACAGAACGCTCCGTCGACCGCCTTACACGGCTCGTCCGCAAGTCCAAAAGCAACGACTTACGATGGTAGTGGGAATGCGGCACCGGCCTCAGCCCGAGACTGGGCGGCTTCTCATGGTCTAGCATTGACTCGGCGTCCCACTGCGATCCACTGCTCTGGGCTGAGGTGGAAGCACTCGCCCTGGCACTGTTGCGATCGGCTACGCTGATCATAACCCAACTGCTCTGGGCTGAGGTGGAAGCACTCGCCCCGGCACTGTTGTGATCGGCCATGCTGATCATAACCCACAACCTCCGAATAGATTCCGTGTCTAGAATTGAGGCCAGCCTCTCTGTCTTTTTCGGAATCATGATGATCTCGGATTCCGTATCGTCCGGCGACTCATCGATCGACTCCAGCAGCAGCGAGACCGGGTCGCGTACCCTCCTGCGCCCTGTCCAGGGGGCCGCAGTGCTGTTCCACAACTGAGTAACGCGCTGAGATGTGCTTGAACTCTTGGGTTCCGACGGCGAGCCTGTTCCTGACGGCTCGTTAAGTTTTGAGGCTTGCGGACGCATTGCGCGCAAGCCTTGCGCTGCCATGGGGATACAGGCGCAGATGAGGCCAAACTCGCATTCCGCGATTGTCCCTTTGATTCGAGTCAGCATTACTTAGTGGTAACTGGCATCTTTCGTTCTGAACTCACATATCATGAAAGAGATGGTGCTGACAGTCAAGTTCGGGCTAGATGTGAGCTCCCATCTTCCTATGTCGACCAGACGAACGACGGAACAAACAGTAGTGATAAGACCAAAGGCAAACATGACAATGATGAGCAGCTCCTTGCTCGTCGCCAATCTCAAATTGAACAGCTTCGGGACCGAAAGCCCGAAGACCGGGAGCCCGAGGAGGATCAAGTCGACCAAGACGTTGAGAACGACGTGGGATAGTCCTGCCGCCTTGCGGTCTCCGCACTCCCCCTCGTGATCCCCGTCCCAGATCGTCCACAAGTAGCTTATCGAATGGCAGACGAAGATCGACAAGAAGATGTTCACCAGCGAGTAGATGGCGACTACTCCCATTGTTGCCCAACACAAAATGCGAAATCTTCTGTTGCCGCTGTCCGAATCAAAAATCCTTAGGTAGAACAGGATAAGGGTTATCTTAAGACCACCGACACTGAAGATATAGACCGGCGTCACCATGAGGAGATACTATTTAAAAGGTCAGTACAGCTGAGTATGCTACGCCCGAGATTGGGTCGATTGCAATGACACGTACCTTTAAGCAGTTGGTGATCTGATCAGGGGTCAACATCCAGATATCCTGACCATATCCGTATTTCACCGTTGCTGCACCCCGTATATCAGCACTCTCCCCTCTTTTTCCGGCGTTTGGGAGACCATACCGACAGTGATCATGGAGCCAGCTCCAATGTTGGCGACCATGATAACCAGTGCAACCAGATCATCCCATCCGAATCCTCCTCCCTGCGCCGCGAACCGAGACAGCAGCCGCAGTGCCATGGCAATGAACCCCAGCGCCTCAAATCCCCATACCAGGCCCAGGATCAACGGAGCCTTGTTGGCTGTTGGCCTCATGCAAAGCTCCGTCGTGAACTTCTGAGCTTGCAGCATCTCCGGTATCGTGCAAGCCTTGTACACGCAAGCCGCTACTACCATCTGGGGTTCTGCGCTGGGGTTGCACATGCAGGCCAGATTGGTCATGGCACAGGTCAGCCCGGCGTTCAGGTGACATGTAACCTGCGATTTGCTCGGTTAGGACTGGTATCCACGAGATGCGGTTTTCTCGACAATGGACTTACAGCGCATTGCGGCGGTAGTGTTGAGAGGCCAGATACCAGAGAGGTGGGGTCGACTCGGGTAAATTTTTGGAAAGGAATCGCTGCACTCGACGCAGCCAATGAGTTCGCCGCCTGTGTACTGGTCGCCTCGAGGGTTGTGTTTATACTGGTCTTCGTGTGGACCGATGCGGTAGTATCTGCGCCAGCACTTTGGACCGTGTGTGGTATCCGGCCGACCAACCCAGTTGGTGATGGCTGGACGAGCTGCGAAAATATTACTGCTGCCAGCAGCGGTGGGAACGTTGAGAGAAAAGTCCTCATCTTCTCGGCGAGGAAAGGATATGGTCGCCAGCTTCAGAAAGACGGGCTATGAAGAAGTCACCCGAACAAACCCAAACGGAACCGTACCGGACGGGCGAATCACAATGAGGGCCGTATCAATGGGCACACATCCCGTCTCAGACTCGGGAAGTAAGCGAAAAAGGAAAGGAAACCCGACGCTGTCGCGACCGGGTGATGTCAGAAGTTCTGCAAGCTGCCAAATCCGTCAGGGCTGCAGGGTTGAAAAGACGGGCTCCAGGGTGTCCTCTGTCATATACGTATTTGCCCCATCCCTTTACGGGGTCTTGATGCTCTGGGGATACCGAGCCGTTCCACCACCCTGGCTCTCATATTCCAAATATGTCCAGGGGCTCCGAACCATTATGGCGTTGCATATACCGACAGGCTGGCAACTAGGAGCAAGTGTGACAAGGTGCGGTGCACTAGGCTTGTTCAAAGGTCAATTCTACGTCCAACTTGGGCGCGCAGACGCCGCTTATTACGGCTACCGGTATGATTCCGGGGCTTTAAGTCCCACCTCCAAGGATCTGCCCCATGCGACGATCTGATCTATGTCAAGATCCTAGTGGGCGGTCCGGGAGCTGAGATGCCGGTCGCCCTGCCGTTGTAACTGAAGCGTCCGGTGTTACGACTGCCGAATAGCTCCATAGCGAACTTGCGGTATGCTTCTTGACAACATAACCAGATTTGATGGAAGTGGAAACCGTTGAAAGCCTGAAGGACGCCTCTTCTTGGCCAGGCTTTGGACTCCATCTCTGACACCTGCCTACCATCGCAATGGCAGTCATCGAATCAACTCGAGTAGGTCAACACGGCAACAATGGTGCCTGAGATTGGTTAGTCCTACAGTGCGATGTGCTGGCAAATTGCTATCAAGTCTACGGTACTGAGGTTAGCAGCTTTAGGAGACCATGCAGTAGGCTGGGCGCTACTGACTGTTTGAGGCAGCCGCCGACGAAACGGCAACAGATGACGGCCTAACCTAGGCGTTACTCCTCCATCGAGATTACAGTAACCGCATTCGACACAAGCCTGCATCAAACTTTCTAGAGGGCTGAAGACATGGGATGAGCTCGTTGAAGAGTCGGGCAGACGGACTGATCGATGGACCAGTAGGTAGGACTTTCCACCTGGAGGGCAGTATCGGATACTCTGAGGCCCAGGGAGCCTGCTGTGTATCATCAAAGGTAACCACCCGCCCATCCCGATAAGGTACCGGTAGGTATGCTTAGAACCCTTTACTTTCTCTTCTAGAGCACCCGGCTGGCTCACTCTCGGCCGGTACTAGTATAATACGGAATGACCACCACTTAATTTATCGATCCGGCTTCTTGGGAGGCACTACTGCGACCGGCGCGGTTCTAGTAACCCTCTTATATCACCACATGCAGCTCATGCATAGAAAACTGTCTAGCAGCTGTTACACGACCTTTTATGAGGGTCAATTGCGTCACAAGTGGTGACATCAACGAATGCTGCGAAGTGATTCCCGGCCGAATGCATGCCGTAGGCCTCCCATCTACGGCTGATCGACGGCGTCGTCGGGGATGCTGCTCGACCCAAGCACCAGGAGTCCCGGACCCAACGAGGCTTGGAGGATTTGATATATGCCGACAGGGGGGCCTGGGGAACGGTTGAACGGATGTGTCTAGCGCTGAGGAGGGTTCTCTCTTCATTTTAACGTGTCGTTGCGCGTTGGCTAGATCGTTACTTCAGTCTTCACCGGGTTTCCTCGACATCGGCGGGTTTGCCTACGCGGCAAAGCTGGGATGTCTAGAGATGAAATTATCCGTTCGTCCTGTGTCAGCTAAGATACGTTTCTATGCGGTTTTTCCTTTTTTCTTCCCTTTTTTTCCTTTTTTAAATTTTTTTTAAGCTATAATACTCACGGAGCGGCAGGTCCTAACGTTCTCGGGTGAAAGGGTCGCATTTTTCACAGTAAGACGATGAGCTCTACACCCTTGACTACGCATATTCCGGTCTCTCCGGAAGTGAATACGGGCCCTCACGTCGTCGTTCAATGTTGAAACCGAGGTGGCATGTGTGCAAGCAAAGTGGAACATAGCAGCACGTCTCATCTTTCCTGACGGTCGTGTTGAGCTCGGTTCACGTCCTCAAAACGCATCGAGCAACTGGTTTGGGGAAAAGGGGGGTTTCTCAATAATGTTAATGACACAACACCTAACATACACCTGTCAATCGCACAATGCTCGTGCGTCTCCTGCAGTCAACCATGACTTCTCTTTTGCTTGCTATACCTCTCCATCATTCGTGGTCAACGCCACCGCCGGGAACCGCCGCATCCGCGCCCTCGGTCATGCCCTTCGTTGCTTCGTTGGCGGCATATTGCATCTCCAGGTTGGCATCCTGTGCTCGGCGAAGAAGCACCTGGTGCTCGGTGACGTGTCTCTCTGCTCGGTCTAGGCTCCCATATGATCTTTCGCAGCCCGGCCAGCCGCAAGGCTTGCCACCGCCAGGAGGCATGGGCGCGTCGGCGATGACGGCTTTCCGGTGGTCCTTCAGGTGTCTGCGCAGAGCTTTCTCGTCCGGAAAGTCTGATTGAGTCGTACAGCCGGGCCAGAGGCATCTGATGCCTATGTGAGCCTGTTTCACGTGGTCAAACCAAACCCCATGCGTCATAACCTTATCACACTCAGGGCATGTTCGGTTTTTCTGCATTCTACCACCCCGTCGGACTGCCTCCTGGGGTAGGTCGGTTGCGGTGGCGGCAGCAGCCCCTGTGGGCGCAGAGGGGAGGGGACGTCTTCCTGCCACGGAGGCGGGTGTAGCCTGTTGCTGCGGCGGGTAGGGAGCGTGGGCTGCAGCAGCTCCTGTGAGCGCAGACGTAAGGGGAAATCTTCCTGTCCCGTAAGCGGGTGTAGCCTGTTGCTGCTGTAGGGCCTGGCGTACGGTTGCGTTAGCAGCTGACTCTCCTACTTGCGCAGAGTTGATGGGAATTCTTACGGTCTCAAAAGCCGGTCTAGCCTGTTGCAAGGCCTGGCGTGCGGTTACGTTGGCAGCTGCAGCGCCAGGTTGCGCAATGTCGAAAGGGATTCTTGCCGTGTCGAAGGCCGGTCTGGCCTGTCGCAAAGCCTGGCGTACGGTAGCGGGCACTGCCTCGGTGATCGCGCGAGCAACAAGGCTCTCAATGGAGGGAGCAACTGTTCTTGGACTAGCCCAAAGCCCTGTCTCGACGAAGGCGTCGCGCACTGCGTTCTCGATAATCGCGGGCATAGCCTGCTGCATGCTGGCGGTCAGTGATCCCGCCACGGCCGGCCATGGGCTGACCGGGGGGATCAGCGCATCCCAGTCCAAGGCATCGGGTGCGCGGTCGTTGATGTCCATGTTCTCTGACTCGTTTCGTCGATGAGCCATGGCGTTGGCGGCGGCTGGGGCCGAGCGATTTGTTCTGAGAGTCGGTGTGAGAGAAGGGTGTCGAGCTTGTAATGTGCAAGTTGATGCACGAGGGAAGTGGAACGGAGGAGGCTGGATTACAAAACTTGACAGTTCTGCAACAGGTCCTGCGAAGAGAGGTACCAAGATGATGGTGTTGAAGGTGGGTGGAAAATTCAAATGGGAGGGCCTGACGGGCCTGCACCATAGAGGGGCTGCGTGCGGGATGGAAATTCAGAATACTTGATCACCTAGGAGATTATAATTCCCCTCTTGACTGCCTGGTAACGGACTGTGAACACCACTATAGTCGCATATCATTGTGTCCCTTGGGGTTTAGCCTCTGCTTGATGCATATCTGCTGGGAAATATTAGCTGCCTGTGGTCGGTTCTGCCCGTTCTGTGGGATGAAAGTAGGGAAATTTTTGAAATACCTTCATATAGAGCTACAACGGTCATGTCCCCCTGGCCTCGTGGCTGCAAAATTTCTGGCTCGCCACCTCGGGTGCATATGTTGAACAGCGTGTATTATGGTTCATCTGGTTGATAACGTGTATTCTGGTGATTCTCATTAGAGTGTGTGTTTCTGAAGGATCTGCTGTCGTAAGCTGCAGGGTCCGAAATTGCCCTAGAGGCCCTGTTGGTGCACTGCCACTTCCCTGAACGCCACTGTGGCTTGCGTGCCATTTGACAGCATACCGAGGTACCCCGGGCACATCAACATTCTTTATATATCTTCGACATGTCGCTGACAACTTCCATACTTCTGTTTTCAGATTATAACTTACTTGGAAGGCTTTTCTCCCACAGTGAACTCAAGAAATGGGTAAGTCTTGATATTTATGTCCATGCTACGTTTGATAGCCTCTGCATTTCTGATATCTTGCAGTTTCCTGTCAGTCGACGCGAATCATTACCCATCCGTTCTGCTACCTCGGTGTATCCAAAGTGTGTTCCCGGTAGGGCCATGAGCCCTTGTTTGGGGATTTGGTATGGCGGTTTTACATGGTCCCTGAGACTTGCCCCATGCCGCCTCACCAAGGTAATGAGATTAATGGAGAGACGACTCACTGCGCGGGACCATTAGCGAGTCAATGTGGACTTGCTAGTATTATACTTTGATCGGAATAGTATATCGCTTCTTGTTCCAGGCAGTTCCACAACCAAGCTTACACCCATGCACGCTTGTATCGACTGCCTTTTCACCTCGTCGTTATTACAGGTCCTGGGTCTATATATCCCTGGCGTGTCTGATCAGATCAGGCCAGCAACCGCCCAAAAATGGTGCGGACACAGATTGAACGACTAATAAGTTGGATGATGTAGAGAAGCCGGCTAGAACTGATAAGCGAAACTATAAAGGGAAGCAGTCGACTGGCAGGACTGTTGGGGCCAGGTCGCCATACTGACGGACGGGAGTGCAAACGCGCCAATAACAAAAACCGGTCTGGTTTTAATGCTGGTACTAGTATCGGAGGTTGTATAGCAATGTGTCCTGTAATGCCTGCGCGGAAGGGTAACCTGGTGACGCCATTCATGCCCGGGGGCTGGGAAGAGTCGGGGTTTGGGGTTCCAGAGGCTTGGGTGCAGGACGAGGTAGACATCGTGGCGTCTGGTCCCGCCGTAAGCTGAGGACCTGCTCACTTCGACCCTTTGACGAGTGGGCGAGGAGGATCTTGAGAGAAGTTGGCCCTGGCCAGGGAGCCTAAAATTGGCCGAAGCCTCGTGGCTAGGAGAGCCGTTAGGCAGCATCTTGTCGTCTGCCGAATGCATCTTAATTGGGGACGGAAGGGGACATGCCGTTCTTCATCTTCTTTTCGCACCCAGGCTAAGCTATCCACGGGTTGCGATGGATTGTTGAGTGTGACTCTCCCTGCGAGCCATGTTTGACGAATGTCGCGTCGGTCTTGTCGATACTTATGTTGACGGTTGGTCGCTTTATGGCATCAACGAAGTCAGCTCTCGAGGGGAGAGGAAGAAAAGGAAGAAGAAAATACCGTTGCAGGAATGGAGACGTGATATATAATAATGAGTATTTATATTTGCACTTTGATTTTCAGCCACCAACCTTACCACCACCCGTCGCAAGAGCACCTGACTGCTAAATGCCGTTCCGCTCGAATAAGAGATTTGTAGGCCTTAGTATAACCAGGTTGAACGCATTACTCACTGCCGTCCGCTGGCACAGGTACCGCAGGAACGGTGTGTGGTTCGCCATCGTTATGGAGATTGTAAGGCGTTTCCGGAATGTTAAGTAAAATTCGGGTTCTGACGGCAAGGTGGGTTCTTTGCCGTGGTGAGGCTCTCATCCGAAAAGGGAGTACTACTAGGCATCGCGCACTCATGCCCAATATCATGGCCCATTTCCGGGGAATCTGGTAGGGTTTGGCAAACGAGCTCGCGGGAGAGAAGAAGGAAAGGAATGTCGCAGTGGGGGGATGGAGAGGTAATTTATTAAGTTACCAAAAGTACAATCTACTCTGACAGGGTGTATTAGGTGCCTCCCTTCGCCGATTTATCCGTACCCGTAGTTGTTCTAACATTAGCTGATCTTCACGACCAGCTTAGTTCCCCCCATCATCCTCGTCGTCGTTCGTGGCCGCATCTCCTTTGACGAGCCCTCTTGATCCCTGGTTAACAGGATACATCAGATCCAACTCGGCGTTTCTAGCCCGCCGCATGTCTACCTGGTGCTCGAATGAGTAGACTGCGATTTTAGTACTCGGAGGTGAAATGGCTGCGTTTCAGTCGAACAGCGGCTGAGCTTTGTCATCGTTACGGAGACTGTGAGGTGTTTTCGCAACGTCAGGTAATGATTAGGGTTCCGACGGCAATGTAGGTTCTTCGTCGTGGTTGAGGTTATCTTCCGAATGAGAATTGCTACTCTGAAAAGGAACCATTATGTAAATTATCAGTGCGATATGCTCGAGAAACTTTGGTAGGGTTTAAAGAATCAGCTCACGGGAGGGAAGAAGAGAAAGACTGTATTTTTAGGGGAATGGAGAGGTCTTATATAATAGCACAAAAGGTGCAATCTACACTGACACTGTTGATCTATCGTCCGCACCACATTCATCGTCATCGGTGACCCTAGTTACCCCCCTTCTCGAGTCCCTTTGATTAATCGTTGACAGAATACATGGACTCCAAGGTGGCGTCTCCGGGCCGCCGAATGGCCATTTGGTGCTCTGGTGCCACAGTTCGGCTGCTGACGAGTCCAGAAATAACTGTGATGTTGTACATGAAGAGGAAAGAAAACTATGAAGCCAGCTAGGGAACATGATCTGGTATATATATAGGAGTCGACCCCCGACACCTTGGTGCTGTCTTCTAGTGCCGTGATATGGGATCTAGCTGTCTTGAGTGTAACTGATCAAACCAGCGATAGTGCGCTATTTGCTTGTTGCACTCAAATTATCCGTTCCGATTTGCGATGGACACATAAGCGTGGTTCTTCCCAAGCAGCATTATACCAACGGAGTCAGCTTTTTAGGGGGGAAGAAGAAGAGGAAGACAGTACTGCTGCGAGAACGAAGAGATGATATACAATTTTACAACAATTACAGTTTACTTGTCTTCTGCGGCTGTTTATCCTCTGACCGTACCCTCACATCTAATACACGCACCCGACTAGTTCTCGTTGGCTATGGTGCTCCCATCGCCCTTAACAAGCCCTCGGGATTCCTCATTGATGCGGTACATCGCATCTAGCGCTGCATCTCTAGCTCGTCGAATGTTGACCTGGTGCACGAACAGGTGCCTCTCTGCACGCGTTTCACTCGAATACGCCTTATCGCATTCTGGCCATGCACAGCGCTCCTTGTTTCCTTCTTGCGGCTGTTCGGCGCTCAATTGCTCGTCGCGGTGTTGCCGTAAATGGAGTCGGAGGCCCCGAAAGTTGGTGAATTCGGTCTGTCCGGCACAGCCAGGCCATAAGCAGACCGGACCCATATGGGCTTGGCGGATATGGTCATACCAGACACCTCGGGTCATCACCTTGGTACACTCCGGGCAAAGATGGTCTCGGGCGAGCGGTTGTTGTGGTACTTCGTGATGCTGGGTTGGGAAGGCGAAGTCTGGAGCAGGGTTCTGGCTCTCGTTCGTCTGAGACTGCGACAAAACGAGATCCTCGGTTTGCGAAGACGGTGACAGTGCGAGATCGAAAGCTGGTTTTGCTTCCTGGATTGCGCGACGAACTTCATCGTCGATGGCACTCGCGAATGCTTCCCGCAACTTGTCCTCCAACACTGGGCCTACGACGTCAGGAGACGCCCACAGGGACGTCGCCTCAAAAGCGTCGAGCACTGCATTGTTGGCAATTGACGGTAGAGAGTTCATGAGTGTGCTCGTGAGGGTTCTGATCACCTCAAACCGTGCACTAGGGGGCGGTATGACCGCATTCCAGTCAAACCCTTGTTCTGGTTGGTCGACGTTGGTGGCATGGCCATGAGGACTCTCCGAAAGACTGGGTATCGGTTCGTTGATCGAAAGCTGGTTCACCTGTCCGGCGACAGCGGGCGTTTGGTTTGAAGAGCCAAGGTCGTCCTGGGGAGAAGATACAATGCGGACCCGTCCCGTTGCGTGCGATAGCTCTCTTCGTCCACGGTCGCCTCGTAAAGCTATCGATCGTTGAACAAGTGCCCGTCTTGCCAGAGCCCTTCGGTGGGTCGTTCCATCTGGTCCTGGTACCCGTCGGTCACTGCGTCTCGTGAGGTCAGAATAGGCGCGTTGGCGCGTGCTGCGATACTGGTGGTGGTATCGGTACGGGCGGCGGCGTTCAGTAACCATGCGCAATGCATTAAGGGACGGATTGGGCGTCATGGTGGTCGTCGGCACAGTGAATGTACGCGAGCGAGACGGAGAAGAGAAGAGAAGACGAATGCGAGTATGACTCGAGCGCATATGGAAGGGGGACAACAGGTGGTCGGTTGCCACAAGATCGATTGGCTTGGTCCGTGAAGGGAGTCGACCTGAGTATCTCTCTCTCAGGTGTGTAATCGCCAATGGGCGGGAGTGACGGCCGGGCTTGCTGGTTGGTCGGGGGAAATGATCTGTGATGTCTGTCCCCTAGGTGATAGATCCTGTACCCACATTCACGCAGTGAAAGACCCTATATACTCTGCAGCAAGATGACAAGCTTCTGACTGTCAAATTCGTGGAAGTCTGGACTTGCTTCATGCAAACCCTTCGTGGGTTTCTTGTTCAGGTTACGCGTCTGTAACCTGTATTTCATTGCAACGACACAGTCAGTGTCACGGGATTGAAAATGACATATATAATCGATGCCAGATCCAGAACGACATGAGGTGGCTTGAGGCATATGAAGTCTATCTTATATGTTCATATTCTACCTTTTGCCTGATGTATATTTGGGTACACTGACCCTCCAAAAGTCTCCGAGCATCCACCACGCTAGTTTCAAAACGCGTCTACGCGCTCGCGACCCCCTTCCTTCTTCACCTTTTATTTACTCAATACTAAAACGATGGATTTACAAAAGGTTGGTACAATTCTAACCGCAAATCGCGGGCCAAACCAGGAATTTACTTCCGAAGCTTGTGCAGCTATTATGGCTGCCAGGGCGGCAGGCGCAAGGCGCGACGATGTCGCGAGTGCGTTCCATCTGGATCGGCCTCAAACCGTGACCGACATTATCAACACTGCTAGAGAGCATAACACCACAGTCTCTCGGCCTCGAGAGGGAGCCACAAGGATTCTAAACAAACGTAAAAAAGTTCAGCTAGTTGAAACGACACAAAAGTACCCCAAGGCCACCTACAGAGAGCTCAAAAAGGAGAACAGAATCCTCAGCTCCCATACCACTATCAAGCACGTTCTTCACGCTCACGGGCTTCGCAAGTAGAAGGCAGCGAAACAGATCGAGCTTACAGAAGATGACACACAAGAGAGGCTCGTTTTTTGCAATAAATACGACTCCCTGGAGGCTCTGGAAGAGCTGATGCGAACGCTCTTCTCAGACGAAGTCACGGTCCAGAATTTATCTGATAATCCGGGCAATTGGGTCATCCGCCTCTCTTCTGAACGTTACAGGCAGGATCTCGTGAGCCCTCGGAGCCATGGGAGACCCCGTATCTCCATTATGTATTGGGCCTTGATCTGATTACGCAGCGGAGAAGGTGGCCTAAGCAAAATCACCTTTGGCGAGCCCGATGAGGATGCTCCTTGCGGAGGAGTATCTTCAGCTTCATATCAAGACGTCCTTAAGGAAGGGCTCCTTCCGTTCTACAAGGCTGGGGATCCTTTTATGCAAGATAACGCTCGCATCCATTGATTTGGAGGCATTCCAGAGTGGCTAGAGGAGCACAGCATCTGGACGATCGACTGGCCTGCTCACAGCCCTGATTTGAACCCAATCGAGCACGTTTGGGTACTTCTAAAGAAACAGATACGGAGAATCGAGCCTGGTTTCGCTGATTTGAAGGCTAATATTGCCCACGAGGCATATACCAGACACTTAATCGAAAGGGCGTGGTCAGAGATCGATCCTGAGGATGTACGCGTTCTCGTCGAATCTCTCGGCAACTGAATCGCCGCAGTGAAAAGGGCAGGTGGTTGGTACACACACTATTGAATGGCTTATACAATGCAGTTTTTTCATATTATTACAGTGAGAGATGGGTGCGTGGTGAATGCTGAAAGTTGGAGGGTGTAGGCGTGTAGGGCTGCTCGAAAAGTGGGCTCGGAGACTTCTGGTCGGGGAGTGTACCTACATTTGTAGCACGCGTTTATTAGATGATTTAATCATGAGTCGTCCGTCAAGTACACACGGCCTGAAGGCCCTTTATGGATCTCCTTTGGGCCTTAAAGGAGGTAGGTTCATGTGGACAGAGCGCAGATTAAGGCTGTGCGCCGTAAATTCATGGTTTTACCAGTGGGATAGCACGAACTTCATTATTGTGTATGAAACATTATCCTCTACCAACTGATATCGCATAGTTGTGTTCCTTTATATTTTCGTCGCCATCAATGGCATGTCCCTGAGTAGGTCCCCAAGGATTGAGCAGTAAGTCGCTGGTCGATCTGTCCGCGACTTCTTCGGGGAAGGCCGCCGCTTGGATTAAAGGGGCAGGATCCTGTTGAGGAAGAGACGGGATGCGAATCGGATTCGCTTAGTGCGACCGCTTGCTTGAAACCAGGGGTCGTCTTGCAGCCATCATCTGTGGAACAGGCGCGCGTCGGCCCAGGGCGATACGACGGGAAGTTCTGTATGACAATTTGATGCTGTCCGAAGTTTCCAGAGGGTATACCGGCAATATCGAAAGCCGGTGCTGCGCGGTTCAAGGCGCGTTGAACGTGGTAGCTTGCGGTGTCTTGAATGCTTGGAGTAATTTTCCTCTGATGACCGGACCAACAACGCCAGGGGCCGCCTAAAGTGACGTCTCATCGAACACTCCTAGGACCGCGGGTCTTGCGATAGAGGGGATGGCGCTTTGAAGTTCGTTTGTTAGGGCCTCCAGGACCGCGAAGCGCGCACTGGGGGGAGGCATCACTGCAGTCCAGTTGAAGGTCTCCGCGACTTCGTCGTTGTTGCGCATGTGACTTTGGGGAGTATCGGAATCGATGGGCTGTGGTACTATGTCAGCAAGCTTAGTGAAAACTTTGATAGTTTCGGGGATGCTCACTGATGCCTCAGCGTCATTCTCGATAGGAGACGTTTAACGCGCCTTGGTGAAGGTAGGGTCTCGGTTTGCGAGAAGGCGATCAGAGAGACAAGTGACTTAGGCATGCGTAAGTTCTGCATAAAAAGAAGATTAAAAGCCTAGGGACTTCTTTTGAAAAACAGAGCGAGAGAGGAAGTGGGTGGCACAGCTCTGAGGTAACGTTAGAACCGGTGATTAAGGCAGGTCGAAAGCCAGTCTCCTAGGTGATCGACAATACCCACATCCCACCGAATAAAGAAGCAACCTAGAAGAAGCCCCGACGGCGCCATAATGCACCACTTCAAGCTTATGCTGGTTTGACGGAGAGGCTACTGGGGTAGGAAGCTTCTTAAGCCTGAGTAAATTCACTGTTCGTATATACCACAATGTAGGCTTCTTCAACTTCTTAGAGTAAGGCATAAAGACTAGCGCTCTAATATATTTGGTCATATTCTTTTCTACATTCCACGCCTAGGTTTTGAAGCCGTTGCTCGCGTGAGGTGCTTCTCACCTCCTTTGCATGTAGTTAGTAAGGCATTTTCTCCATCACTTCCGGTTAGTCCCTTCTTTCTAATCAGACCTACCACCTCATTTAGCATTTATATAGCGTTTTTACATGTCAATGTGTGTGGCAGCACCAAGCTGGTAGTAGCGCGTGAGTACGGCACGAAGATCGATCATTCGTGCTCGTTTCGCGTCGGAGTCGTTGGACTGGCAGCCGCGACAGAAGACCAGATGGATGACCCCAAGGTCATACCGCCGCAACAACGGGGATGGGCCCGTGAGCGGGACTGACTGTACTTATTTTCTTGAGACCTCCACAACCCTGCGATGCAGAGGCTCTGGGAGGCGTGGTCTGCACTACTGAGGAGCTACCCCCCACGTTAAATACAAAACAAACAAACAAAACAAACAAACAAGCCGCGACAGAAGCAAGAAAACTCCTAGGCTGCGAGCTGGCGCTGTCGGTGGGCAGCAAGGGCGTATACCGCTTCTGGGCGGTAGCTGATGTTGGCATTAAGTTAATGTGAGAAGACTTATACCCGTTGCTCCAGAGATTGGTTGCGGTGCGGAGGCAAAACATGCAGAATCGCACTCCAGCATCTTGCACCAGGAGGCGCAGATGAACTCACACTGGACGACACATCGAATGATGAATAGCTCATTCCTGGTAATTGGTTATGCTTAGATGGTCGCAATATTGATATGCGAAGGTCGAAGGCTGGTGCTGCCTGCTCCAGAGCGTGGCGAACTTCGCCGCCAACAGGGTGCTGAACCTCGACTGTGCAGGTTGGAGATCTTGTCCAAATGGCACTCTGCTCCGGTGTCATGGGAGAAATAAGACCGCTGCAGTATTCTTCGAGTCTGGATGCTATAGCCGCTGAATGGTGATGGAAGACATCGGGGTGGGTGGTAGGTGGATGACAGAAAGTGCAGGTGTGCAGGCTACAAAAACGAAATCAAGACGAAACTCAAGCGAGGTTCAGGGGAGGCATCTTGGGCAACGATGACAGACGGCACTATTTCGTCTGATCAATACTGGGCTGGAGCGAAGGTTCGGGGTAATCGGCATTTGCGCAACAGCCGTGAGAGCATTCAGCTAATTGTGAGTGAATTCGTGCGTCACAAAAGAAGGGATAAATTGGTCAAGGCATTCAGAAGTTGTACGAAGTTGGAAAAGGAAGTCTGTTGCGATTACGTGTATGAATTAGGAGGAACGTGCCATTTCGTCCAGCATCGTCATCGTCATCGTCATCCAGTATCCCATGCAGAAGAGGCTGACCGCGATGGCGCACATGGCCGAGAGGGGGATTATGGAGGTGGTCTTGGGACCGGGCTATGTATGGGTGGGCTTGCAACCCTGACCCAATGCAATACCTCACGACTCGTTGTCGTCTTCTCCTTCCTGTTCCCCAAGTGTGACCCCATCTCCCTTTACGAGACCCTTCGCTTCCTCGTTGGCGTTGTACTTGGCATTGAGCGCCGGGTCGCCATCACGTCGGATAGTGACCTGGTGTTCAAAGAGATGGCGCTCCGCCCTGTCCTTGCTGCCGTATGACTTAGTACACGTGGGCCATCCACAGTAATGCCGCCCGTCGTCCTCTTGGGGTGGGTGAGCCGCCAGTTGCTCAGTGCGGTGACGTCGCAGGTGTCGTCGCAGGACACCGTCGTCCATATCTTCGTGCTGTGCTGCGCATCCGCGCCACAGGCATCTGGGGCCGATGTGGCATTGTCGGATGTGATCGAACCACGAGCCGCGGCTCATCTGCTTGTCGCATTCGGGACAGACGCAGTCCCTGGCTGCCGGAGTTCTGGCAACCTCATTTGAGGGTTGCTCTCCAGTCTGCTGCGGGCGCCCTTGAGAAGGCGCGAGGGCGGCGGCAAATGCTGGTGCTGATCGCTCTAGTGCAAGCCTGACGTGCTCACCGACGGCGGTAGTAAGTGCTGCCTGCAGACTTGCATGAAGAATGGGACGGACGACATCCTGAGATGCCCACAGCGAAGTCGCCTCGAATGAAGCCATCACAGCATTTTGCGCGATGGACGGGATTACGTCTAGGAGTGTGGCCGTGAGGGCTTCGGAGACTGCGTGTTGGGCACTGGGGGGCGGGATGACCGCAGCCCAGTTGAACTCCTGCTCTGCATCGTCATCGTTGACAGGGCTGGGGGGCGTTTCGCTACCATGAGAGGAAGCCATGTGGTGGGTGACGTTGTGGGTGATGTTGTGGGTTCGCTGTGCTGGAAAGGGTCTGTGCTGGTACGTCGCGTCGAACTCTCGATGGATCAGCGTGACTCTCGACGAATTGCGTGCTAAATGGAAGCTCGAAACTTTCAGAACTTTGGGACGACAGAGCCTAAGAGGAAATTACCTGCACAGAGCAACCGCGTGCGAGGGTCTCCTAGGTGATCGAAAATACCAGCCCGTTCCCCCAAGCAACGAAGCACCCTTAAAGAAGCCCAGACTGCACCGTAATGCACCGCTTCAAGCTTTTTTCTTAATATGAGCCGGTGCTGGTTTTACAGATATCCTACTGTAGTAGGATGCTTTTAAAGTTTGGTTAATTTCTCTGTCTATGTATACCAATGTGGGCTTCTTAACCTACTCAGTGTCGGATAGCAGTACCCTGCAGTGCTCTTCACCAGTTGTTGGTGACGGGTACCGGTGCGGTAAGGTGTAGTTGTTCTCGCTATGTTTTGTCCTTGGATTCTCAGGTACTACCGCGCGTGCTGATCCTATTATAACGTAGAATTTGGGACCTATGTCCCAATAAGGTCGCCAGAATACGGCTTGTGATTGCCAACTTTTTTCGCAAGCTACCATTACCGCCTTTTCTAGGCATACCTTTACCAATCCTTACGGACTATCTGTTTGCTAAAGCAAACAATTTACACTCAAAATCCTTACCATATTGACGACAGATCTACGTGCGACAAGGTTCCCCGGATTCCTGAAGCCAAATGATACTTTAAAGATGCGAGAATTGCCAGATGGTGGTCCGTGTGGATTGGTAGAGGTATGCCCGGAAAGGCGGTACCAGATCGTCACGGGAGAGGAGCGTCTGGACCTGGTGTGTAATTTTAAACAGGATTCATCGACAATTTCTCCCAACACCTCGTCCGAGCTACACCTTCACACGGCTACCACACATCAAGCTGGCAAGGAGTGAGGTCAGAGCCTAGGAGTCAACTCTACGAGCCGCAATTACGGGTCACTCGATGGATATCATCCCAGAGAGAATGTCACACTTATGCTGAAGGAGGCTATGCTTTTATTGCATTGTAGGACATTTCGGATTGGCTCTTCCCTTGCGGTCGAAGAGTCTGATGATAAAAGAATCGATACTGAAAGTCCAAATCTTGATTCATCCAAACCGCTGCGCTTGCTAACCGCTAACCCACATCGAGCCCATAGTTATGCAAAAAGGCGTGTCTTCCATATCCGTCCATCTCTTTCAGATCGTATACCGATATCGCGGACTCTCATCACCCAGCTCAGCAAGCTCATCATCCGATAAGTTCTCATGTGCCGGATTGATCAACCCCTCATCGCGCCTCTTGTTCTCCCTGTGGAACCAAAACCACATAAATGCGTAGATACAGGCCGACATTCCCACTAAAGACAGCGAGACGGCGTTGCCCTTGAGGTACCGCGGAGCGTCTGTGCTTGCACTGGTGAGATGTTAGGTAGAGCTTCGTGGTGGAGTGTGTGTTTGAATGACATTGTGACCGATGACTCACTAGATGAATGAAGACATGATTCCGCTGGAATTTCCGATGGTGAGCTGTATGCCGCTGGCCGTTGTGCGTTTACCATAGCGCGGGCTGTTGTTAGGAAGCTCGATGGGCGTCAGTTGTGACTCAAAACAGGGGTCTGAGTTTGCAGGACTTACCCAAGCAAGCGGTAATCCTACAATCACGTACAATCCTGTAGCAATCAAGAAACACCTAAGTTGTCGTCAGTCATCCCATATCCAGGGGCAAGGCAAGGTGTTCATACCCAAAGTAGTGCACGCCTGCTGGAGTATCAGAGATCAGGATCCCGTACCCGATCACGCTGACAGCGCCGAAGATGACGCAGAATAGACCGCGCATCTGCTTCCGGTCTGAGAGGTAAGCGACACTCATATAAGTTATCGCGCCGACAGCATAGCAGGGAATAGTAAGCAACTGGATCTCAGCCGTGGACCCAGAGCCCAGGCCCTTGATGATCGTAGGCAAGAATGTCGAGTAACCTGAACAGATCAGCATCTCCGTCTCACCATAAGCTTCCATCCACGGCAGTGAAACTCACCATAAAGCATCGTATCAGCGCCAAACTGAGCGAAGCAAAAAGCCCAGACCTTCCAGTCCTTGAACGCAGCCATCATATCCTTCTTGCTGAACCGCTGCGCGCTCTCCGTACTGCCATAATGGCGGCGGTGCCTTACAACCATGAAGTTCTTCTCCGCGGGCGACAAGAAGTACGCATGCTCAGGGTCGTTCGGCAAGAGGAAGAACACGACAACCCCCAGCACGATAGAAGGCAGTCCCTCGATGATCATGATCCACCGCCAGCCGCTCATGCCGCGGACGCCGTCCATGTGGCCGATGCCGTAGGCCAGCAGGCCACCCACGGCGCCGGCGACGGCCGCGCTGACGAAGAGGTAGCCGACGCGCAGCGCTAGCTCGCGCTTCGTGTAGAAGAAGGTCAGGTACACGGTGAGACCGGGGAAGAGACCCGCCTCGACGGCGCCTAGGAGCAGGCGCACGGCGATGAGACTGCCGTAGCTTTGGACGAAACCCGTGCACATGGCGATGATGCCCCATGCGAGTACGATGAAGGAGATGTAGCGTTGGGGCGTCAGGGGCTTGAGCACCAGATTCGAGGGCACCTCGAAGAGCAGGTCTGCATGCTCGATGATTAGTACGAACAGCGAACTACAGAAGACGGCCATAGAGGGAGCTTTGACTGACATGTAACGAAAAGAATCGAGACGGCGACTTGGAACTGGTTGCCCACCAATCCAAGGTCTCTCTCCAAATGGTATAAACGCGCATTACCAATATTCACTCTGCAAAATCGTTAGCAATGATATAAAGAACATAGGATACCGCAGTAAGTACCTATCCAAGAAACTGAAAGTGTCTAAACAGGCGATGTCAGTAAACCCAGACTTGACTCATCACAGCCCAGCGAATTGCGGCCATCAACCAAGATCCAAAGCGACAGCGGTGGAAATGAAGGAGGCCCAAATTCAGAGGGCAGACTGACACATCAGCATAACCAGCGGCACGATGTGCACATCAAGCTTGCGCAGGAGCTTCTTCTCATCGACTCCGAAGTTCGACTCCTCCCCGGGGTCGACGTCTGCGATCTCCGCGTCGCGCTTCGAATCCGATAGGTCCGGCGTCTCGGCGGCCATCTCGGCGGCGCGCGTGTTACCGTTGCACAATTGGCGTACCAAGTGACCTTTCGCTCACGGGTCACAGGCCACTTGCACGGCGAACAGGTATCACAATCTCGGCCTTTGAGCGCAGGCCCTTGCAGATTTGCTCTTCCCAACGCGCCGCGAAAAGATGATGACGATCCGAACTCGCTGCAGAGGAGAGAATTTAAGTGGAGAAGGCCGTTCTAGAACGCGGGAGCGAGTCGTCGACTGCGCCGAAGTCGCCGGATGGATGGATGAATCTCTAAGGTATGAGGCTGCTGAAGTCGCGAGTCATGACATATATATCACGACAATAGACTGACCGAACCCAAGGCACAGTCCCAAACTCGAGACAATTGAGTCCATGGTTTCGTTTCTGAAGACGACATTGATCGCGATAAGCAGCGGATATCCGCCCCCGCGTGGCGCTCTGAGGAGCTGCGGTCTCACGCCCTGCCCAGTTGGCTCCGTCAGTATTCGTCAATATCGCAGTACACCTATCCTGTCGCCCTATTGCGCATCCTGATTGGAAACCAAGCGAATCAGCAGCTGGAAATCCCAAATCGCTTACATGTTCATGCAGGGTTGGTAGCGAAATGTTCTGTGGTCTCTGGGGCCCCGTGGTCTCCGCATGGTTATCCGTGGGGGACCGATAAGCCAAGGGGTGGGGGAGTCAGGGGTGTTCAGGGGTTTCAGGGGCCGCAACCCCAACGCCTTTAACATCTTCAACGCGTCGAATGCTGCATGCCACCGCTAACGCAAGTCCGCTTGCGAGATCTTCATACGAGTTGGCAATGACGTTGGGCTTAGGTGCCGATCGTTGTGTTCATTGAAGGCGATGCCACCGACAGCTGTGGCAATGACTGACTTGTTATTTCACTTGATGTCCTTCTCCACGGGGTCTGTAGGCTAGTTCAGCCATCGTTGCGCACCCCCTTCTATTGCAATTCTTCTGGATAATCAAGGCACACAGGTGCTAGGTGGAAGAGGAAAGCTTGTTTGTGTATTGATCTGTGATCGGTGGCATATCTTCAGCGCCTTGTAAGGCAGATGTAGCCCATCTCAGAGAAGTTTCCCTCGTGGTGAATATCCCTCTCACCCTGAACCCCAACCTCCAGTCCACCTTACTGTTTCGACCTCGGCTCACCGGCGAGAGTTTACGTGCCTTCAGTTGCGTGATTATCAAAACAAATGTCGGTTTTTTTTATTGTCAATCTATTCGACCACAAGCAAAGATTCAAACCCACATGCCCCAAAATACAACAAATAGCAGAGTCCCAATCCTGTACGCAAAGTCTATCGTCCCCAATTCGAAGTCAAAGCAGACGAGAGTTTTGTCAAAGACATGGTAGAAGAAAATGGCGTTTCAAATGAGTGTAGACATGGTTGAATCGTCGGCGGAAGGAGTTGAGGGGCGACAGTGCAACAAGCTGAACACACCGATACTGCCACCCATGGGAATGTTACCCGCTCTCCATGTCGACATCGCCATCGTAGCTTAATAGTCAGAATCTTCCGACTTCACATCCACGTCTTCCGATTCAGGCTCAGACAAAGTCTCTGAACTTTCATCTGCGTCCTCCAATTCCTGCTCCAGTTCGGCGAGGGGCCGGAAATCAAGGAGAGGACCGGCCGGGTCCACGAGCCCGTGTGGGTCCTCCACCGTAGAGAGATCAACTCGGCCAGGGTTTCTGAGATCGACGATTCTGGGCTTGACAGAAGACTCGTCGTCGTCAACGAGCCCTCGGTCTATATCGAGCGTATTGACGCTTCTAACGGCGCCAAATCTACCTGAAACGTCGGTAGGTTCTTCATACATGCGGAAAAATGGGAAGCCTGCTTGAGCGTAGTCAGACGCCGTGATCGGGCAAGGATGCGGGTCTCGATCGGTGACCTGACGAAATGCTTCGCTGTTGAGGATATGGACAGGTATGGTCATTGTCGACTTCTTGTTCCAGCGTTCCGGATCCACAGTGTCCTTGACGATGTTTTGGACGATCTTGCCGCCTGCTGATATTCCCATGGCGCGAGCGGACATGGCAATTGCATCAATGCTTCCAGAGTCTCCGGAGGGGCGAGGGAGCCTCGGTCCTCTGATGGGCTCCTTGATCATAGGTAGGGTCGGTGTTACTTCGAACTGCATGCCACCGACAACTTTCTGACCCGTCAACTGGGCTTCCACGCTGTAGCCCTGGCCCATTGGCATGGCCACGAACTGTCTGACAACGCCTGGTGAAACCGCAATGCCATCGATCCATCTTTGAAGCGGTGCGACTACATAGTCCTGAACATTTTCGCCCTTGTCTGCGAGCTCTTGTCGTCGGATTTTGGTGTTCAAGTCTTCAGCGGCGTGCTCGCCGGACACGACATTGACTCCGCCCGCGTAGATCTTGATCATGAAAGGAGCGTCGGCTTTAAAGTCGATCCACATAGCTTCCTTTTGATACATCGGGAAGAAGACGCCGCCCTTGTTGGTAATTTCGGCAGGGAGACGAGTGGCATAATCGCGGACCTTGTACAGGGGGAAGCTGCCAAAGCTAGGCGGAAGTTCTGACTTGTCGGCATTGTCGGGCACACGAATAGTACGCTCGAATGTCATGTGCAGCTTTTGAGGCATGTTGGATCCCGGATTCTTTGCGACATGCTCGAAGACGATGGCTCCTCCTTGGACGCGGCAGCGGTATCGGTTATTGAGGCGCGTCATTGCGGACTGGATTCTCTGGTGATTTTGATGTATGATAGGAGACAGGTATCAGTGAGTATTGAGAAGGTGTAAGGTAGTCTGATTGGTATGATACTTGATGTGAGAAAAGGGAAACATACCTGGTTGTGGAAAGAGTGCATCTCAAGTACCCAGATATCAATGCGATCTGCTCGGCCTGGACGCGGTGGAAACGCGCAGCAATCAAGAGTGATCTGGAAGCCTGAGCTTGATAGACCCTGAAAGAACGGTGTTGGATGTCGGTGGTCCTCGCGAGAACGGGTAAGACCAGTCGCAAAAGATTCTGAGAGGCTTTGTCTGCTCTGCTCACCGCTCATTTTCCAAAGGATAGAAGTTGTCTGAGGACACTGAACAGTCAGCTCTGTTGTATGTTGGTCTCAAGGTGTGTGGCTAGGCTGAAGAAGATGAAGACATGCGGTCGGGTGGTAGCCTGGTTCGTTTGGAAAAGGCCGCGGAAGGTGCTTTAGCCTGATGGCTCCGGATCCCAGGCTCCAGCTGGCAGGTACGGTCAGGGGTCATGTGCACGTCTTAAACAGAGGCAACCACCTGAAGGTGATGTGTATGCCTTTTTCTTAGCAACACCCCGCACCAATACGCTTACGAAGGTCAATGTAGTAACCCGCGCCGTCCTTGAGAATTGCGTCAAACGCCCGCGTAGAAGAGATGCTAGACAGAGTCTCATTTAGGTAATGGTCCGCCTGCGGTCAGAAGACATGTACGCAGGTAGCTGTCAATGGGAATCATGGAAATAATATCTTCTGCCTGGGTATTAGAAATATTTTCACTTTGCCACCCCTAGATCTTCCACAACCTTGCTGTCACGATAGAGCAACTGCCTTCAGGCATGCACGGAGGACTGGCCGGTATCGTACATCGGGATATTGATGCACAACCCGAACAGACAGCTCCGAAGAGTCGATACGCATCCGATCCTACCATTATCCCAAAACCATAGGTTAGACTACCAATTAGGCAGCAAAAACAAACTGCGACAAGCGTTGAGACAAGTCGTCCCAACCATGATTCAGAAGTACACACAGTCATGCCTCACATGGCAGCCTGAAGCGCAGGAATTGGACAAACAGGATCCATAGCGAGCTGAGCGGCACCATCGTCCCGCAATGTCGACACAATAGCAAATGCCTATCCAGGTCATTCTCATATCAGCCTGTGGGCGTCCGAGTTCAAGCTACAAGAAGCAACATATCGCAAACGGGTGGCTCTGCTACAAGCATCGCAACCGCAACTTCACGAAGCTGGTGTCTTCAAAGCATTCTACCCCTCCACCAAGTCGTTATTCAGTCGAGATTCGCATCCTCCAGTAAGTCAGCAGTTGTCAAACCCCATTAATTCCAACGCGGAGCCCCATGCACCACCACGTCACCACAAGCCTCAAACTCCGCGCTTAGCCGACACAGGTCCACCAATTGCATCATGCAGCAGCCGCGCGCAGCCCGCGATAATTGAAAACGTGTCCAGACTTCAAGCAGTCCAAGAACTTCATGTGGGGAGCCCGGTGGGGAGGCTAGGTGGTTCCCGAAGAGTAAGTCTAGTTAGCCACCCTACTTTTGCTTGAATGCCACCCGCTAAGCCCCATTCGGACAGCTTCCCATATCTAATTGGCCGCGCACTCGTGCCCCTACCATCTCTCTCAGCATCGTGAGTACATGTATTTGCATGCATTTTTCACCTAACTAGAAGTACTTCTTATAATTTTGCTGTTTAAGATGGAATATCGCAGCGGTTTCTTATCGCAGCTACGGGTTAGTGGTTGAAGTTAGTAGTTAGGGTTAGCATTTAGGGTTAGCCGGGGGTTTGAGGGGCGGTGCGAGCCTCCCATCTGTAAATGTGTCCTTGTGTGGGCCATGGTGGTGGTGATGGTGGTGATGCGTGGGTGGTGGTGTTGAGCTGCGCGTTGTGTTATAGTGGACTAAGCGCTGTGGCTACAGTGGGCTAAGCGCTGTAATCTGGGATGCTGTCCGAATGGGGCTTAGCGGGTGGCATTCTAGCAAAAGTAGGGTGGCCGACTAGACTTACTCGTTCCTGAAAGGTCAGCTCGTACTCTCCTACTGAAAGCGCCGCTTCGGGCCGATTCTGCAACGCAGCTTGTGGAGATCGTGATCCTCCCCCCGATCCCGGCCTCCGATCCCGATCCCGATCCCGATCCCGATTCCGTCGCGATGTGTTCAAGAGTGTTATGCATGTTTTCATTATTAATCATTTTCCTGCTGTGTATTGCAATTGGGCTGAATTGGTCGGTCGGGGAGATCGGCGAACGTTGATGGCATGGCGGGCGGGACAGCAATCGAGTAGTGGAAGTCCTATTTACCTAGCAGACCATGAAAAGGGCGTTGAAGACACTCCGGGCAAGGGCAATCACAAGCAAGAGGAACGCGGCGATAAACAATTACACGGGGTATATTTCTATCCCGTAACTAATAACATATCGTCGTGAGCTTCGGAAGATATCATCGAAGGCATGTGACGTATACATTTCCCAGCCGACCCCAACTCCGTTCTAATAAATCACCCCAATGAACCCCCCATATCAGAGTGTAAATGCGATACGCTTATCGGGCGGTGTAACCACCGTCGATGATGAGATCGGTACCGGTGGTGTATGTGGAAGCGTCGGACAGGAAGTAGACGTAGGCGCCCTTGAGCTCCTTGGCGTGACCGTTGCGGTTCATGGGGATCATGCTGTTCCACAGGTCCTGGACCTTCTGGTCGACGAAGTCGGACAGACCGGTGTCGATGTAACCGGGCGAGATGCTGTTGACGCGGGCAAAGTCGCGCCACTCGTTGGCCAGCGACTTGGCCATGTGGATGCAGCCGGCCTTGGCGACGTTGTACGAGGTCTGCTCCTGGGGGTAGTTGGCGATGTGGCCGGACATGGAGGCGGTGATGACGAAGGAGCCGCTGCCCTGCTTCTTGAAGTGAGGGCCAACAGCCTTGGCGCAGTAAGCGGTGCCGTTCAGGTCGGTCTGGATAACGTGGTCCCAGTCCTCCTTGGAGCCGTCGATGATACCGGAGTCGGCAGTGGCACCGGCGTTGGCGACGAAGCCGTTGATCTTGCCGAAGTCCTTGAGGACATCAGCGACAAGCTGCTCACAGCTCTTGAAGTCGGCGACGTTGCACTTGTAGGCCTTTGCCTTGATGCCGTAGTCCTTGGTCAGCTCCTCGACGTTCTTGTCGGCGCCCTCCTTTCGCGAGGCGTAGGTGATGGCAACGTCGGCGCCCATCTCGGCGCAACCGCGAGCGGCCTCGATACCCATGCCCCGGGGGCCGGAAGCGCCGGTGACGACGACGACCTTGCCCTTCAAGCTGAGCAGGTCGAGCAGCTTGCTGGCGGTGGGGACAGTCTGAGGCATGATGACGGTGGTTGTGTGGTGGTTGGTGGATTGGTAGTGGTGAGAGGTGAGAGGTGAGAGGTGTGTAGTGAGTTTGCAAGTTGATAATGGAGAGGAGAGGAATCTCAGAAGACGAAGGGCAGAGACCGGTGGGAAGCTGTTTAAGTAGCTGGCCTAGCAAACTCAACAGAGAGCTTCTCCTGTTTCCATGCAGGCCGGAGAAGGTTTGCTAACTCCATTATTAGCCCACAGCTTTCACGGCCGGCCTGATGCTCTGGCACGTATGGCTCGCTTGACTGGCCCGGCGAGGAAGAGCGGAAGAAGCGGGCGAGTGGGCGAGTGGGCGAGTTGCAGACTGTGGGCACATGTGGATATCCATCCATGATCGGATGCAGCCAGACACAAATCGAGACGTATCGATGGGAGGTGATGTCATGTATGCGAGGCCCTGACAGAGCCCCGGCAGAACCACCACTCACAACGACAGACCATCAGGTGAGAGGCATGGGAGGTGCCTGCCGTAGCGTTTGGCGTAACCGCGACGACATCGTACACTCGACCATATCTGTCAATGTCAGGTCTGCCCAGTACGGACGGATGCTTGGTGATGGTGCATGTCGTTTCTGGACCGCAGGTTGGGGCTGGCAACTGGGAAGGGGAAGCAATCGTGATCACTGACGAGTAGTTGCTGCAAGTGTAGATAGTGGATAGTGTAGACGGCTACCATGTATGTAGGAACGAAACGCGTCCATTGTTGTGATGATGATGTCTCCTGCCCCTCCAACCTGCCCCTCCAGGTGCCCCCGAATTACCCCTCCATTGCCCCTCTGCCCCTCTGCCCCTCCGCCCCTCCGCCCCTCCTCCTCTTTCGGGCTACGGCAGCACAAGCATCGTGATGACCTCATGGCTCTGGATGAGGAGGGGTAGTGGGTTTGAATAGTGTATGCAATTCTCTGACATACAACTCCTCATTTGGGCTTCATTCACGACTCAAGTTGCTGCAAAGTTGCAAAGGTGCGTGTTGAGGTGCTGACTTTTTAGACTCTGAAGCCGCGAGACCATCCCGCCCTATGGAAGCTTGGTCGACACACGTCTTGTTTTGCTTACGAGAGGAGAAGAAGAGAACCCCTCACGGATGCTGACAGCGCAAGTTCTAAAACTCTGGGCCGGTCCAGGAACAGCTCAATTGGCGTCGCCGCTCATCGACAATCCTTCATGTTGGTTCACCGCATCCAACATGCCGAACCTCGAGCTACTAGTGGCCTCCCATTGACTTTGAGGCTCTGCGATGATCGCATCGCTAATCCAACTACTTATCTCCTTGTCCTGCTCTGAAACACCCTTCGTGTGCCAGTCGCTTGCCCGTTGCTACCTTAACTACCTATTTCGAGTACACCTGAGGGTGGTACTCTCTGATGACTACCCGAGTGTTGGGGCCCTCGGCAACCCAATTGGCGACCATTCAGCCTCGGGAATGTAACGTGAAGCCAACGCCCACCCAACAGTCACCTGTGTGGCGTCAACACACGTGGGATAGCCTGCTCGCTTTACTACTTCTGGCTTGCGCGTAATCCGACGGCACGACTTGGGGCTTTCTTCATTCATGGGTGAGGTGGACGGTCAGGGAAACGAACAAGAGGATCTCAGCCGCTGAATCACGAGTGTGCGCAGTGAAGTCTGATATACCACAAACTTGGCCACGACGCCAGCCATCATGGTTCGGCAACCTGGATGTTACTCGTTTCATCGCAGCTCGTACCATTTGACCCTCAAAGGCTTGTCGTCCATCGAGACTTATGTCACGGGAAATAGCTGATTATACGACTCTCGGTGAATCACTATGGGGATGGGCATTGTTCCTACTCAGATGTTCGTCAGTGGTGCAAATCTGAGCACCCTCGACATGATTCACAGCTGGGCTTTGTGCCCGACTTCAGGAGAATCACCATTGTCTGACTCACCAGCGCATGGCTTTGTCCTACTCGAGGTCATCTCAAGTTCAACCACCGTCAAGCAACCGATGCCGTGACTACGAGATCTTTGATCACGGGGATGAGTTCCGGCTGCGTACCGGCGTCCGCATTGCTGTGGCCTATATCAATGATAATGAAGTCTGTTATTTCTTTTCTTGGATACGCTGGGAACACCCCTTGCCTCCGATCGCCTCCCCCCATTCTGCATGAGCTGGGGTATCTCTCTTTAATTATTGTTAGGCTTGCCTAAGATGTGCGAGAGCAAAGATCTAGTCTACTGGTGTGGCCACGAGAACTTTAAAGACTCTTTCACCGTACTCTGCGACAAAGCCGAGAAGAAGAACAACAACAATGATAACGACGACAACAACAAGCACAATTAGTCTGGCAACGATACCAGCTATGTCCTGTGAACCTCGATTTCGACCCTGTCTCGAGCAGGGTGGTTTTGTCCACGGAGAATCGCGAACGCTGCAAGATGTTGCGGCTCAAGCTGGACGAGTTCGCTGACCGCGTTCTGGCCAAGCTCCCTCAACGTGCCAGAGCCCGCTGCATCTGCGAGTGGGATTCGAAGCGGAGAGCCATATTCAATGGAGTTGTTCCGGGAAAATGGGTTGAAACCCACAACTCTGATCTGCTGGATCTGTTGGAGCCTGTTGTAACTTGGTCAACGCTTGAACCTCTGATTCACGATTTCACGGAATACATCGAGAGCCAACTAGCCTTTTTCGACTCGGAAAAATGCCTCGAGATCCTGAGAATAATGGACATCAAACCGACTGAGTCTACAGCTTTGGAAGAAGAGCGGGAAATGCTTGGAGGATACCTGCAGATTCTCCGAGACCTCGCTGGTCATGATGATCAGGCTGATGAGGTTGGTTTTCCATGCGTAATCCGCGAAGCTTATCTCAGCTGATAGCTTCTAGGAAGTGAGTTCTGTTTACAGTAGGGGGCTCGAGGATAGTATAACACCTCTGATGAGGATCAGAACACTGCCGACGTGAAGCATTCCGTCGATCGTAGAGGTCGACCGCTTATCACACGCTCCCGTGATGGCGATAGCGACTACGATGGTCGAGGTCATCGAAAAACCTCCTTCGTCGACGAGGATAGCGGAAGCGTCTCTGACCTTCCTGAGGAGAACCCTACGCACGAATTTTTCCACGACGATCGAGGTCATCAAAACACCCCCTTCATCGATGAGGGTAGCGGAAGCGTCTCTGGGTTTTCTGAGGAGGTCTTTGCTCACAAAATTTCTCACGACAATCGAGCTATCACCCCAGTTCAATATCCCAACGCTACCGATGGTGCCAATGCTTGCCGCCGCCGCCGCCATCAGTATGCCCACCAGGGAATTGCTCACAGCGAAGACAAGGACCAAGGCGACAGCGCCAGCGAACACGAGCGTGATCGCCTTCGACAGCGTCTCTATTCTGACGTGAGGCCCCGGGCAATACCGCCTCAACGGCATCGTTACCGTGCTGAGAGACCTCGGGATATTCGGTACGAACAACGTCCACACGGTTCTAATCACCTTCGGACGCCTCGTTTCGATCGTCGCGAGCACCGAGCCGTCAACCACCAGCATGAGCCTGAAGATGATATCGACGAGGACCGAACTATTTGCCAACAATCAGGTACACTCGCTGCTGCCACAGCCAAGCGTATAATCAGCGAGCAGCCGAGTAATCAAGGCTTTGACAAGGGCAAACCTTTGGACCGCTACCAGCGTCCTGTCCAGAGTGGCCGACCTAAACCTGTTTATTCCCCCTTTGATTACTCCTCAGACCCTGATGATGAGCCCGTTGCAGCGAGGAATGGAGTCAAGAAAAAGAAGAGTTGGTTGAGTCGCTGGATATGACTACTGCGATTGTAATACGGCGGGATCTCCTCCGTGTAGGTTTGCATTATTCCATTATTGTTATCAGCCGAGCTATTTTGCAGAGTTTGAGAGAATAAATATAGACTAGTTTGGGTCCTTGCTGGTTAACACGTTTATCCTCCTCATTTTCGCGATAGTCACCCCGGCGGCATCACAGGTATCAGGCACTACCAGCCATTGTTCGCATATTTTCCTTACTCGTTATTTGCTATATCTACGCTTCATCAGATGGTATGAGGTCGATTTTTCTATGTGATCAGAACCATTATCTCGTCTCCGAACACCACAAACGAGGCTCAGGGGCAGGAGCCCTTTTTTCTTGGCAACTGTTGCACAGCAAGAAGGCCAAAAGGTTGCATATCTGCTGTATTGGTGTTGTTATTGTTTTGGAGGTGGTGCGCAGCTGCAGTGGATGTGGGCAATATGCCAACCCAAGTGGGTCACGTGACCACGCAACAGCAACTACCCCGCTGGTGTAACCTCCCACCGTGCACAAGTGGAGGGGTTTGACGGCTCATCGCCTTACCATTCTCGCCAAAGAGGGGCGGTCACGCTCTCCCACAGTGCGTGCCACGCTTATCAGATACCATTCCTTCAGCGGGGGTGTGCTCCGGGATGCAGATGGCACTTTCGGATGAAGAGGTTTGTCACGGCTCAGCTTCCCCTAGCAAACAAGACCCAAACACTTGTATCCAGTGATTCACGACATTCGTCGGATGATGGACAATCACCTCGGGATCATGGCTGGGCACATCTTCTCGAACTTCTGAACCACTGTACAGGCCTATTGGGTGATTCACCAGGACGACCACCTCCACGTGGCAAGCACACCGTCCGATATGTCACGGTATAGCTCCAAGGTCTTTGTTGTTGATATCGGTGTCCCACGTGTGACGGTGTGACCTGCGGTTGATGCGGTGAATCACCAGTGGACTCCCACCTATTCACCACAGGAAGACGGGATGGCGGACGTCACCTGCGTGCATTGGCACTGCTTGCGGTTGTATATTTAGGAGGGCAAGCGGACGGTTTCATTGCCATTCTCATTCCTCACACCAGCCTCGACTTTGGTAAACTCACCTCGCTTCAAGTCCTGGCCTCGCCCGACAACTTCGGCTCATACCCGGCTACCCCTACATACTGCGACCCACGGAAACACGAGGCGACCATGTGCGAGTTTGCGAGGATCCGCCATTCCTGCCAGCACGCATTCATTGGAGCTTCGGCCGTGATTGTGGTCAGTATCTGGATTCCCTCATCGCCTCGATCTACGTCTTTTGCAGAAGCCCACCCCTCGGGTAGAGAACGGTGGAGCTGACATTCTCCCACCTATCTGGGTATCACTTTCAGCTGCCAGCCCGCCGGGCGAAGATTGCCAGAGTCATTAAAATAACTCGTGCTTCTAATCCTAGGCTTGCGACGAGGCCATTCCGGGAGCCCACGTCCCCTTCATTCAGAACTGTAGCCCATCATGGGAAGCCGAGGATCGCGACGGCAACATGCGGGGCAACGAGCACAAGGGCGTCTACGTCCTGGAGTTGTGCACCGTCTGCAAGCGCTTCAAGGGCATGTGGACGGCCTTCTGGGTGATCGTCGTCGCGGCGCACCCGCAGAGAGACGAGCTGAAGAAGTTCATGGCCGAGAGAGAAGCGATCTTCGCGAATGAGAACAGTGTCGGGGGCTGGATAGACGCGCACAAGGAGTTCTTTGAAAGAATCCAACGGGAGTTCCCGTGGCCCGGTGGTCTTTTCGAGGATATGCTGAGGCGCTTCATGCCGGGATTGATCGCCGGCAGGCATGCTGCTGCGGCTGCCCCGCTGGGCCCGGCTCTGGGTGCGATTCACGATTCTGCCACGAGAGCGTACCGGATCTTGTTCAAGCCGGACCGAAAGCCTGCGCTCAAAAACTCTCCCCGCGGAGATGACGACGGCCACGACAACGACGACGAGGGCGAGGCTACCGAGACGGACGGCAAAGGGGATGCCGGCGAGAGTTACAGCGAGTATGACGAGGACGACGACTGACGCTCTCGTAGCCGCGGTGGCAGCGTGGCCGAGTCCTGCGTGACCCGCTCCGGAGACGAGACCGGCGACACAAATGGAGAGTCCGCCGCGAGCACTCCCAAGGCCCGTGGCAAGAAACCCGGGTACATCATCGAGGATAGTACCGATGACGGGACCCAGACTGATGACTCACGGATGGATGTCGATGAGCCGGAGCCCGCTCCTCCTGTTAAACCTCACCGCAATACCCGCAAGCCGAAGAGCCGCAGCAAGGGCCACTAAAGCTACGCGGTCTATCCCCTGGTGCTGCGTGCAGATTGGCTCGGAATTGGGGTTCGGGTCAGATCGTTTCACACCCACCTACTATTTCGGTATTTGGCGACATTTGAAATTCTGGTGGAATGCCATGGCAGGAGCTACTGTTAGCACTTTCCTAACTCGCAGCTTGAATCCATGAATAAAAAGAATAGAAATGAGAGAAAATACCAAACTTGAGGGGAGGAAGTTTGGGAGGAAGTTGGGGAGAGAAAAGCGGAAAGGAAATGGGGGGGAAAATAGACTGATTGGGCTTAACCCCTATTCAACTTTTTGGTAATTCATAATGTTACATCCTACAACCATCACGCTGAGTTCCTTGTGTAAAGAATCGTAGTGTCTATTCGTATGATAGGCAGCCTTTCGACTATTTTTCCGTGGTGAATCTACGGGGAGTTCCATGCTACCATCACAGTTACGCTGAGCCCATGAGTCCAGGATTTTGGCAAAGCCTGCCCACCGAGAGATCGGTGACGATCTCGTCTTGGGACACCTGCCGTAGTTGTGGGCAGGCTTATCCACCTTCTTGAAAACCTAACTGCGCGGCAAACTCGACGGTCTTTACGATTGGGACTCCATAACTACGCAGATTGAGCCCGGTATCATGCCCATATCCTCTCAGTTGCTGGTTTACTCATTGATTCCTAGAAACAGTCGGAGCCACGGTCCATCCACCATTAAGTGAGATAGGTGATCTGTTGGCAGTCGGCGTTTGATTAACACGATTGATGACTTCACGGAGGTGTGAGGGCTATCTCGAGTCAAATGTCATCTATGCATTGTAACTGCGTGGGAGTAACTTGAACCTTCAATACCGTAGAGGCTAACTTAGTTGCTGACCCTCGCAGATTGCGTGTGAGTATCATTTCGATATGTGCTGAATCGCTGGCATGTACGAGCAAGCATCAAGCTCTTGTGATTCACTTTCACTGGCTCATCACGCGTCTTTCGCGTAGTCCACGGGTAGTGATTTACTGTCAGTTTGATTTGCACGGGTCGTCCGAGTATTCGAGGGAGTAGTGATTCACTGTCACTTGCATTTCAGGCGTCGTTCGAGCAGTCCATGGGGTATTGAATCACTGTCACGCTAGTCTGAAATTATATCCCGCATCATTTTCATCGAATAACTTATGACCTTTGACTCACGCAGCAGAATGCAATTCCAGGTTTGGGCTACATGTAGCTCAGGCGCCTAGCCTATGCCGACGTGTATATTAAATCAACACTTAAGAAGTGCTTCTATCGGTATGTTAGACAGCCTCACAGACAAATATCCTACTACACTTGAACGCAAGCCTACTCTTACGCACGACTCAATCATTCACAATATTCTTTACCAAATCCCACGCGCCTACGTCCATCATGTGCACCGATCGCCGCTTCTACTTTTACTTTTGTAACCACTTCTACGAATCCGCCGAACTCGGAGCTCGACGACGTATCAAGATCTGCAAGGCCGTCCTGAAGGCTTTGAGAACCGCAGACCTTGTCGTACCATTTGAGGACCGTGATCTCACAGAGGAGAACGATTACACGCTGCCGTCTGGGAACACGAACAGTGCCCGAAGTGCAAGCAACACGACGCCGAAGACCGACTGGAAACCCGCCTCCATCGAGAGTTCACCGTACTTGAGACCATTCTAGACGTCAAGATCTTCAAAGAGGCAGATATAACTCAATACAAGAATCAACGAGCGGCGATCTTCAAGCACTGGGTCTGGGAGGACTGGGAGGAGCTCCATGGAACCTTGATGAGAACTCTTGCCGACGACTACAAGGAACGCAGCGTCCCGTATTCCCGAGTCGATGACAGCCACAAGGAGGACGACGAGAGCATGACTGATGGGGAGGATGAAGATGACCGACCTTATGACGACCTTGAGCACGCGTACGCAAGTGTTGGTCGTCGGGGTTAGCGGGATAGCCATGGAAGGGACATGATAGAGTTAGTTGGGCGAGTTGTTCACTTGGTACAGCCAGAGTTACTATGGGGTTCGCTACTAGGCTTAACGCTCATCAGGAAGGGTCACACCAAGGGTTCTAGAGTTTGAAGCTTGAGTTATTGTTATACGTTTCCATGTCTTCAGAATAAGGCACAGATAATTACTCCACATCACTTGTATTCACTACTGCCGCCTTCGCTTGAAGCGTTACCCTCAATACACGCATATAGCCCCCAACATCATCCGGGCCATCTACCACTCAGAGTATACGGTGACACCCGGGGTTCCTCGAGCCGACCTGCAGCTATGAACTGCCGCCAACAGCATATCGCATCCTGTCGCGAAACCCCGCACCCTGTCTTCTGCAAACCATGCTTAAGTTACTACGTAGAACTTTCCCCCGAGGCTTCCCACATGGAAACCAGGACGTCTCCAGCCATTTCAATCGCGCTATTGCACCCGAAATGGCCACTCCCTCCAGCGGCCGAAAGGTCTACAAACTACTCACGATAGGGGAATCTGGTGCTGGCTCAAGTTCCTTGACACTCAGATTCTGTGTCGGCCGGTTCGTAGAAGTGGTACGCCGGTACCCCCGCAGTAACAACACCGTCATACCAGAGCTGAACTGATGCTCGACAGTAGGACTCCCCAGTCGACGGCGAGTACCAGAGGTCTTGGGTCGTGAACAACGAGCCCTGCCGCATCGACGTCTTCGACACCGTGACCTTTCGTGAAGAGGGAGCAGGTTGCGACGTCAGGGACTCGGACCTGCAGCAGTGCAAGGGCTTTCTGGTAGTCTACAGCATCGCATCGGCCCGCTCGCTGGAAGTCGCGAGGTTCTGGCACGGCAAGATCCAGCGCGTCAAAGGCTTCTCGAAGGGTGCCATGCCGGCTGTACTGGTGGGCAACCAGTGCGATACGGAGCACAGGGAGGTGACGCCTGATCAGGGTGCGGCTCTGGCGCATGAGCTAGGTTGCCCCTTTTTGAGACGTCTGCTAAGGCTGGCACGCGCGTGGATGGCGCGTTTGCTGCCTGTATTGAGATGGTCAGACGGCAGCAGCTGGGTCTAAATATCATGAGTCCCATCGATGAAGTCCAAGAAGTACGAGATGAAGGCAGATGGAGCTGGAGAAGTCGGCTCGGGTGGTTTAGGTGGTAGATTTGGCTCTCGGAATCCTGGTGGCAAGGATGGCAATATGATGTGATTATAGTCCATGCGAGGTAGGAGTGTTGCTCCAAGCATTGGCCCTTCCTGGTTGACACAGGCCCTCCTGTTTGATTGTCAAGCACTACATAAATCATTCAGTGCTTGACTATGTCTCCGTATCATTTCGCTGTGTGTCGCAGGTAGAGCCCTGTCGACGGTTCCATGGAATTGACGTTGGAATGTACTAATTAGACAAAGGGCTCATGGGGGGTTTTAAGACACGTCGTGCACTCATTGCCATGGGAACACACGCTTCAACTTCTTCTCGCTATTCCCTTCTCGGCCTGTGTGGCCAGACAAGGCGTGGGGTCCGCAGTAATCTGAGACATCTAGCCCCCTCCCTCTTCCTTTGTCTTCTGACGTGTTGACATTTGAGTCTTGGGGCTCTTTGAACTTCTCGATGTAGAGCACCTGCAACCGTTGCAAAACTTCGCTCCTGTCCGTTTGCGGCGTACCCCTGACCATGGGGTCATTATATTCCTCCGCGGTCCTGGCGCCAGCTTTGTGCCCGCAGGTCCTCATCAGCATCATCATCATCGTTCTCCTTTGCTGCATCAAGACTACAATGAAGCGGTCCGGGAAACAAAGGCAGGCCGGGGCGACCCAGCGAAGCGGCCGAAGCCTGATCCCAAGCCTGAACCACCTCCACCAACACATGATCGATTGACAAGGGCAAACATCCAGCGATTTCTCAAGGAAAAGCAAGAAGAAGACGACAAGATGGGCAGGACCTCTTCAGTGAAGTCCCAGACCGATGACACTGGAACGGTGAAGACTACCGACTCGAGCAAAAGTGGAAAGACGATGGCGTCAGGGTCCAACCCGTGGTACGATCAACTCGACAACAATAACGTATTTGATGTGGATAAGTCAAGAGACCCAAGCAACATCGACGACCTCATAATGATGCTCAATCGGGGCCTTAGTTCGCCCGAGCCTTCAGAGAAAGAGTGGAAGGAGTTTTGTTGGGCCATCAAATCAGCCGACAACAAATTAACCACCCAAATCGAATCATTATCGTTACTTAAGAAACACGGCGATTAGTACTACAAGAGATCTTTCAACCAACCCTTTTCTAAGCTCAAGTCTGGGCTAGGGTTCAACAACGGGCCGATAGCCGCCCCGCAACCCGACTTCGTTGAAGGGGTTACCACTGACGTACTTGTGAAATATCTGGATTCTGCGGAAATAAAGGAGAATTTTGCACTCAGCAGTGGAAGCAAATACCCCCTAGGTCTGACACACTTGGCTGGGGAGTGGAAAAGGTTCGGTGGGGATGAAAGGAAGGGTCACCGGCAAGCTGCATACGATGGCGCTGCATTGGTCCATCGCAGAATGGAAGCACTCGAGAAGATCAACGAGATCAATCAGCTCTCGCCAACCAGTATCAGCAAGACAAAGCCTTCCAGGTCTCGCAAAGACCCGAATGCGGGGACGAAGGAAGACACGATGAAGAAATCGAAGAAGGAGGCGGTGGATGACACGAAAGGGGATGCCGCCGCCGTGCTTACTTTCTCTTCGGACGGAATTACACTCCTATTATTTTGTAATTACGCCGTACCGTTAGATTTGGGGTCAGGGTACGAATACCACCAAGTCACGCTTGACACCGCGTTCATATCAAATGCTGGTGGTGAAAGACGAGCTACCCACGTAGAATGGTTGAAGGGGGGCCGAATGTTGCGCAACGCGCAAGACTGGGCCAAAGCACAATGTATTGAGCTGCGAGACAGCTTGACGAAGCAAGAATAATGCACCAGATTGCCACGGAGGGATTGCTACTGACGCAGAGAGTGCGGTGGGGATGAAATACAGTGCCTGTTTGAAAGATGTCACTTCTAAAGTAACAAGTACCTACCTTCTACAGGAAACATAATAGTTGTGCATGTGGTTATATAAGGCCGCCAAATCCAACGTCTTGTGGCTCCTCTGACTTACCATCATTCTCGAAGCGTATACCCCCAGCTAAGGCGGTGTGGTTTCACGTGAACACAACGAGCTATAGTATTTTGCGATATGTCGCGAATTGAATGAGCCTGCAGCAACTCAGGCTGGGACATCCGGGGCGTCAAGCTACGAGCAGCTCAACTGGTTCCTGCAACTCCTAGCAGCCCTAGGTGATTACCCGTGGATGGGAAATGACGGCTGTCTGACTTTGGGATATCTTCACCCCGCCCACCGGAAGCGGCGATCCCTCCGTTCGCATCCATCCAACTAGCAGCGATTAAATTACCTATATTCCTCGGCGGTCCTGGCGTCGGCTTTGTGCCTGCTGCTTCTCATTAGCATCTTCGTTCTCCTTTGCTACGCCACCATAATGAAGCGGCCTAGGAATAAAAAGGCAGGCCATGTCAATCCAGCAAAGCGACCGAAGCCAGCGCCCAAGAACAAAAAGGCACGTCATGTCAATCCTGCAAAGCCACCAAAGCCTGACCCACCACCCCCAACACATAACCGATTGACGAGGGCGAATGTCCAGCGACTCGAAAAATATTTCCGAAGAAAAGCCAAGATGGCAAAGGACTACTTAGTGGATTCCGAAACGATAGAGACTGGTTCGACAAATTCTGGCAGCTCGAGGAAGACTGGGTTGAGCTCATCTGACTCTGGTTGGGATGAACAGCTGGTTCTGAACAAGATACTCCCGTATCAGTCCTCTACTAAACCAGACAACTTTGACGACCTGAAAAAGAATGATCTTAGACGAGCGTAGTAACTCCCCAGAACCTTCTATGCAGGAGTGGGAAGACTATTGCTGGGGTATCGCCTTGGCTGATAACGAATGGACAACCCAGATCGAGACGATATAGCTATTAAAACCCCCGCAAGTAAAATATTACAAGCGATCATTTAATCAACCATTTTCCAACCTTCAGACGGACCAAGGCTACAACGATAACCTTAGTCTACCTAAACCAGCCCTGGTTGAAGGATTTGCCCTGCAGTCATTTGATGGGTATACGAATCCGACGGTTATGGACTTTGCCCTCACGAGGGGTCCGGGTGTCACATTTCGTATCGCATTGGCACAACTTGCCGCCGAGTGGAAGAGGTCGGCGAATCGAGGTATTCCGAAGGCTACCCGGCAATCTGCATACGACGGGGCTGCCTTAGTCCATTACATAATGAAAGCACTCGAAAAAATCGGGGAGGCCGCGAAGCAACGATCAGCACTTGATGGGGGTATATTGAAAAGCAAGAGCCAAACGAAGAGACGCGTGAAAACCGAATACACCTCGGGAAAGGACATGGAAATGGAAGCGCAAACTACGGCAGCTGTTATAACATTTGTCACGGATGGGTGCGAGCTAAACTTGTTCAGCCACCACGCCAAGCCCGCGCCTTCGGGCAGCGGCTATGAGTTCCACCAGTGTCGACTTGCTTCAGGCGTCTGATCAAATAGTGAGATGCCTGGAAAGGACGGAGGCGAAGACGATGACGCCGATGAAAATATGACTGCATATAAAAGTTGGCTGAAGGCTCGCCGGATGATACGCAATGCCTAGGATTGGGCCATGGCTCAAAGTATCAAGCTCCGATACCAGTAACTGATACCATGTAGTTGACTGGCATGTGATGTTTCAACTGATATGATGGGACGGGGGTTGCAAGTTGCTTACCTAGCTTGTTGGTCTGGCTTTGGTGATCCCGATGTAAAACTGGGCATATAATGAAATGAAAATACCCCTTGTCTTATGGAAAACCGATAGTGAGCTTGTCGTCCCTTTCCGTCATGCATTACCCAGGATAAAAAACCCGGGGTTTCGAGTGATCAGGCTTGATACTATCTTACCTTAGGCTTGCCTCGAGCCATTGATGATGTGCAGACACCTTGGGTCGGTAGGGCAGAGCCCACATGTGCGAGCCTCAACGTCAGAAGAGCGATATGTATCTTTCCGTACCATATGGCAGCTGACATATAGACATCGTCACTGCTGAGTCAAGTCCCAAAGGTTCACGTCACCAATTTCCCACTACTATTCAACGTGAGACATCGGGTCGCGTCGGCAAGTGGCTAAAAGCAAATAGCAAGGACTATTATTTCTTGCGGAGTAACACACGAAACAACAGCAAAGTTTCTGGTCCGCGGCCACAGCGATACGCTGCTTCGTCATCCTACGTTATGTGGTTACCCCTGAGAGTGCACCGCCACGATTTTCCTCAAATTGAAAGCCACACATCAGCCACACAGATGCATTGACCACCCATGATCAATACCTCATGACGGCGGTCTGATCTCTGAGATAACTTCACCCCGCTGCCCGCCTACCTGACAGGCTGAAAGCGGCGCTCACTGCCGTTTGCATCCATCCCACCAGCAGCAATCAACCTCTTGTTACCATCCCTGAGACCAAGATGTTCAAGAAGAAGCCCGATATCAAGAACCTGTCGCCCCTGCGGTCGTCTGACCGGCGGAAGCTTGCGGACCAGATCATCCTCGATTACCGGATACCGGTCCCGGAGCAGCAGCAGCAGCAGCAGCGACAGCAGCAGCAGTCTGGGGATGAGGCGTCAGCCCCACAGCCGACCGTGTCGTCGCTGAGGAACTCCCTGCTGCCCGAATCGACGTCTAGTGCCCGCTTCACCACCACGGCTGGGCCGAACCTATCCCTGGTATCTGGCACTATCTATGTCGGTGCGCATCCGGGCCAAGATGAGAGAATACTATGGTTCCAGACGGGCAAGAACCCCAGAATGATACCCACCGTCTACACGCTCTGGCAGAACCCCGCCATCGTGCCGCTACTGCATACCCCTGACTTTGTGGTCGAGCAGAAGCTGACGCATGGCTCTGACTTGATGATACCAGGGCTTGTGAAAGTCATGGGATCGTCGTGGGATGCGAGGGCGACCGCTGGCGCTGTGGTTGCGGTCGCAGGCATGAAGAAGGATACCGTACCGATGTTTATTGGCACGACTGAGGTGGACGTGAGCAAACTAGGGGACAACCTCCAAGGACAGAAAGGCGTCGCGGTCAAAGGTCTGCATTGGGCTGGCGACGAGGCTTGGAGCTGGAGACCGCTGGGTAGTGGTGGCCGGGAAGCGCCAGAAAGCGTCGACGGCTGGGCTGGCCTCACAGGAGATGCTACGAATGCAATGGCTGCAGTTACCCTTGATGATGATAATGATGCCGACGGGGGAGTCGAAACACATGACGGCGGTGTGTCCTTGAGCCAGGGTACTAAGGACGGTGCAGTGAATCGAGACGATCTCGCCGAGGAAGTTGAAGAGCGCGAGCCGACGACCAAAGAGGTGGATGAGGCCTTCCAGCAGGCCTTTCTGTTCGCAGTCCACAAGGCGAAGACCGACAACAAGGGACCTCACTATGGCTTGGACTTCCCGATCCAGCCTTCGTTTCTTATATCTGGCATGATCCAGCCTCATCTCAAATTTCAGAACCAGCACTATAACATCAAGAAGACCTCGTGGAAGAATCCAAAGAAGTTCATCAAGCATCTGGACAAAGCTGGTCTACTGAAATCCAAGGACAGGAATGGTGGCGAGACAGTCATCCTGGATATCGACTTTGACGATATGCAAGTTACGAGTTTCCGACCTTACCCCCTGCCGAAACCGAAGGCCACCGCCGAGGGAAGCTCGACCAAGGACCCGAATAGCGAAGCAGCCGGCTCTTCTACCGATCCGTCGGTCGGGCAGAAGATCACGATCCAAACCGTCTACCGCGCATCGGCAAAGCTGGTTCCCACACTCCTGCCCTCCAAGACCGAGTTCTACAGCGCGCAGCAAATCTCCTCAGCGCTGAAGTCGTTCGTCGAGCAGCATCCAGACCTCGGCGGGCAAGGCGCCTCGAGCATCAAGCTAGACCCTTTCATAGCCAACAACATTCTCGGATCGAATCCGGCACACGACGATAGCAGGACCCTGGCTTCGGGCCGCATCTTGCGAAGCGCGCTGCAGAAGAGATTGTTGGAGGACACTCATCTGTGCCAGCCCTACCACGTGATCACGCGTGGTTCCGCCGGGTCCGATCAGAAGCCCAAGGCCGGTCCTCCGCCTCACGTCCACATTACCATCGAGAAGCGGACTGGCACAAAGGTCGTCACCAAGATCTCGAACTTAGAGCCGTTCTTCATCGACCCTCAACTCCTGACCCCTGAGTTGCAGAAGAAGTGTGCCGGCTCGGCCAGTGCAGGACAGCTGGCCGGCGGCAGGCCTGGTTTGTTGGAAGTCGTGGTCCAGGGAGATCAGCGGAAGATCGTGGGCGATGTGCTGGCAAAGAGGGGGATCGATTCGAAATGGATCGATGTCACTGACAAGACGAAGGGAAAGAAGAAGTAAAATAAGGGATACTGCAGGTAGGAGACCAATAAACGCAAGTTGGCATCTGGCTGTCCCAGATACGTCTGCCATTGAGTTTCCGACATGAGTATACAATTGACAATGACCCACAGGGGTTTCACATCGAGCTTGGGAAAGGAGCTGTCGGCTCCTTTTCTGGTGATTGATAAAGGTCTGCTCAAGGTATGAAGACAATGATATGTATAAACATGCACAGTAAACCTTGACGAGGCCCAGTCCTCGGGACAAGCTGCATAACAAATCGGGGAACAACTTCAAGCATCGGATTCATCGGGAGTTCAAGAACCATTGACGCCCCCTACCAACCAGCAAAGTGTAGCCCAAGAGACAGAAGACTGACAGACCGAATCAAGACCAAACATGTAGAAGAAAACTATCCCACTGCCCAGACCCCTTCTGTGTAGTATCAAGTTTCAATCCACCAACCACAACAGGGACACAAGCCAAACCAAGCTTCATAGCAAGGCCAGAGCGAACCAATCCACATACCGAGCCACAAGTCGCAAGCCGCAAATCCCCAAGTCCCCAGTCCCAACTCAACGTTCGTGCTCCAATCGCAATCGAACCTCAAATCCTTGTATCAGCGGCGGGAAGCGCCGCTGTCACTTAGGTTAGGTAGTCCACAGAAACACAGAAAAGAGCTGACGCGTACAGTCTAACTGTATCACGTCCAAGACAGCGGCGAGACGGTTCGCGTTTCATTCACTCTCACTTTCGGTCGCCACCTACCTACCGACCTACCTACCTACCTAATCTTGCCTTCGGGAGCGAGCACGGTAGGGACTCCAACTTGCGGTTTAGCAGGCCGAATCGTCAGTCAGTACGCTCGCTGGGTCGGTAGTTAAGGAGGTAATTAGATGCCCAGTTGTTTGGACTGATGGTAATAAGGTTAGGTAGTTGGGATCGATTCTTGAGAGCGAGCTATACGAGATGATAGACCGTAGCACGAACGGCCTGGCAGGCGCGTAGAGATACGCACCTACATGCTCCCCTGGCCTTTCGGTTATCGCACAGGCGTCAGCTAGGGTTTTGTGCCCGTTCGAAAGACACCATCTGCTCAAGTAGCATCTCCAAGTATGGCATCGCAAGCCTACGCAGCGGCGATGAATCTGGATTGGATCATTCCCCGAAACGCGGTCTTCACGGTTACGTCGCCACGCAAGGCCAAACAAGAACCATAGGCAAGGAATGAAGTCTAGATATGCGAATCAACGTTGCGGTGCTACCTACTATAGATCTCTTGCTCCCCGTGTAACGCCGTCTATCGTCGGTGGCCCCAGCTATCGTGGATGCTCTCTCGGGTGCTCTACCATCGGTCGCCAGACGGGCCAGTTCCTATTACTCGCTGCACCTCACCCATACCGCACTCTGTAGAGCTTTGGGTATCCAAGAGAGTCAGCCCGGCACGCAGATAGCTCTCTAGCGATGCAGATATGCTATGTCAATGTACTGTGACTCATCCAAGTCCTCCACAACGAAGTATCGACCACCTCAAGCACCTCGAACGACTCGCGTCCGGCGCTAGCCATACACCAACTATCGCTGCTATATGTACACGATGTCCGACGACTCAGTGACAAGACTCAGTAGCCTAGAAGTTCTCTTTGCCCCAGACAAAGGAGAAGCTGCAAGTACAATTAGTCACTGATCCCGAAAGATAGAGTCATCACAGGAATGTTTGTTGTGACTTACCCAGGCTCACTGTACTTGTTACAGAAGACGTGCAGCGCACTACCCAGCCCCTTGGGACCGCAGAAGAACACACCCGCCTCGGCGGGGGCGTGCAGCTTCCTGATGCCCCTAAAGATCATGTCCCAGTTGGGGCGGCCGAAGTTCGTCGGGCTCCGCAGTCCGGTGATGGTGTCCTTGTCGGCGTTGGCGTCGTTGATCATGATGTTGGTCGCGTCGTCGGCCTTGATCTTGGCCGTCAGGTAGGTGTGGATCTCGATGCGGCCGTCCACGTCCTGGGCCTCGATGGCCATGAGCAGCGACCGGAACCACTCGAACGAGCCGAAGTCTCGGCAGATCCAGAAGAAGTACACCTTGGCCAGGCGGGTCTTCTTCTGCGGGTAGTTCATGCGGTACCAGATCGACTTCAGGATGGAGGCGAAGGGCGTCACGCCGATACCCGCACCGCAGAGGACGGAGATCTCGTACTTGAACACGTCTTCGGAGGCTGATCCGAAGGGGCCGTCCACGTACACGCGGGGCAGCACTCTCCGGAGAGCGGGATCCACCCCGTCGTTGTTGTCGTTGACTCCCACAACCTTGGAGCTGTCCTTGGCATCTCTCTTCTTCCACTCGCATCCAAGGGCTGTCGACACAGCAGTGGTGAAGTCACCAGCCACTCTCATGTGGATAGAGATATAGTCCTCTTCCGGCGCGCTGGTCAAGGTGAACGGATGATACTGCCAGAGCGATACTTCGGGACAGCAGAAGAATATGTATTGGCCCGCCTTTGTCTTGGTGTTCTCCTTCTTGATCTGGATCTCGCAGACGTTGCTGGGGTGCTGTATAACCTTCGACACGTATGTCTTGTGGCGGCCGCGCACCTCGCGAGCAATTCGTTCAGCCAGATAGATGAACCCACCGTACATCCAGTACTGCCAGAAGACTCCAATGGCCGAAGTGCCCACTGAGATACAGAACGGTGCGAAGTCGGGCTGGATCATGCAGAAGGCGCCGTGGAAGGACCAGAACATGAAGAACACGATGAACATGTGGTGGGTATACCAGAATCGCTCGTAGTTCGCGCGGCGGGGCTTCTCGTAGGACGTCACCACCATCCCGGTCAGTGCGATCAACATGATGTATCCCGACCATCCCGGACCCGACACGAGGTTCGCCACGAGCCATCCGTAGATGCCCAAGTTGTTCTTTGCCGCAATCTGCGCAAAGTTGTTCCAATGGGCAATGGTGTGGACCCACGAGAAGAAGAAGATGGACCACGCTGTGGTGATGTGAAACGTGATGTTCTTATCGAACTGGATGATGCCGTTGAGCGGTGTCTGTCGGGCCATCGAGATGAATGTTCTGCAGACTGGTAGAAGGACCAAGGCGACATCGAGATGAAGAACCAGCGCCGCAGATCTGGCAATCATATATGTCGGACCAAATGTGTCTCTCGCTCCTTGCAGATTATCCTTCACCGCGTAATTGACGAATCCAAACGCGAAGACGAGAGCGTGGAGGAACATGAAAACGAAGACGAAGCTATGCAACGCGTTAGCACCTTGGTTCTCCAGAAAACACTTACGGACACCACTGACAATCTTCGGTAGCCCTCATTAATCATCCACTTGTCAAAGTTTTCCCTGGCCGTGAGATCCTTCTGCTTCTCCTGCGTCATCTCTCCCGAAAGCAATAGTCTGTGCAACGGCGTCCATCTCGACCGCTCCGACGGTTTCTCGCCATACTGGCCACCCTCGTAGTACGACATCTCGTTGGTCGGGTTCGTGAAGCGTTTCGGTGGTTGTCGTTGTCAAGTAGCCTCCAAGCAGACTTGTCCGGTGGTCTTCCAGAGCGGGCCTAGACTGAAGATCCAGATACTCCCCGCCGATGGTGATCGATCCACCTCTTGATTAAGTTACTCTTTCCCAATTATAACTGATGGTGTCTCCGGGACTGTAAGGTAAATCAATTCAGAGCCTGCTGAACGGGCACACTGCCATCTAGGTAGGGTTGCTTCAGAAAGGAAGTGGTGGCGTCCACCGTTTGGCGTCAATTAGGCGATGGGAGAAATGAATGTATAGTTGGACTGAAGCCTGCAATCGAAACGAAGCAGCTGCTGGTCAGCCAAGGCACGAATCGAAAGAAGCGCACGAGCGACGAAGTAGAGAGAGAAAGGACCTGCACAAACAGTCTGGAAGAGAGGATGGGAAGTAGGAGGAAAAGGACTGATCCGAAGATCTCATGCAAGGAAACGGGAAGAGGGTGGAGGTTGTGGGAGGGTGCCAAGAATAGGAAACATCAGGCCATTTCTTGGAGATCATACCTGGGTCCAACGCAGCACCGGGTGGCTACAGCTATGGCACGTTTGTGTCGACTAGATGATTATGATTGGAAGAAGAGAGAGAGAGAGAGAGAGAGAGGTGGTGGTCAGGAACAAGCAGGGGATTGGTGAAGGGAAACCAGAGACGTTGGAGTTTGTCGACGCAGAAGTGCGAGTCTCCAGATACCACTAGGTACTCGTGACTTGTGAGAATGGTAGCAGACAGCGATGCTTCTCACGGCAAAGAAGACTGTAGCGACGTATGGAGGACATAGGAGAAGGGGTCTCCCGCGCGCCGTTAGAGGATTGCAGGCTTGGGGTCCATGGCACGGGGGGTCCATAGCTGGGATGCGTGAGATGTCTGTAACTGCGTGAAAGCGGCAGTCAGGAGGTCGCGAAACGAATTGGTCTCGATGTGGTCCAGGGGTGGTTACAGCCTTGCAGTGTCGTTGCACACGCGGGGAGGCTCGACGCCAGATGGGGCCACGATGTTACCTCGATATGGCCGGGGTCCTTGTCTGTGGCAGACTCACCACTCATCAGTCAAAAGCTTGACCTCCCCTCGATGCTTCGGCAACAGACTGATGATCGAGAGGCAACATGAGTAGTACCGGTACTCCGCCATGATTGCTATTGCCTTCGTTTGCAGTCCCAGTCTCTCCAGCATCTTCCTGTTCGCGTTTATCGTACAGGACAAACACGCTGGTCCTGCTGGTGGAGAGAAGCGGCACCTGCCTGACGCTCGGATCCTTCCAGGGACGAGGCGGTGGGTAATGGCGCCCCCTGGTGCAATGAAGATGTCAGGCTTTACAACTCGGTGACTGTGTCCTTCATCAGGTGGACTTGCAAGAATCACCGTCGAAGAAAGTGCGTGCGTGCAAGCGGAGGGTCGAGAAATCATAACGTCCAGGCGTGTTTGAGGCTTGGAGGGGGTCGGGGCATAACCGCAGACCGCCGAGGTCGCGATTGGCCGCAGGTGCCGCACCCCTGGCGGCAGTTGTCGCAGAGCGTTTCGTCAGGGGGTTTCTTGACACTGCCAAGACTGGCATCATAAGCGCTCGCCAAGAATAATACCACCCCCTGAATCGCCTATCCTATGCCGCCTTTCGGCATCGTGAGGCTCGGAGGAAGCCTGCAATGCGCTCTTGACAGCATCCCACTTCCCGCGTCCGGGAAATGTTTGTATTCTATTCTTGTTCGGCTCGAGTTGCACAATATGGGCACATCATGCAAGTATCGTGAGCCATACCATACCTCCGCAAACACCATCCCCACCCCCCATCACCACCACGATGCTGCCACCTATCCCATGAGGCGAGCCCACGAGATATGATAATACCTGAAGTGACACATGTAACCTCCCCCCTCTCCAAGCCACAGGAAGGAAGCCCTCAACAGCACGTAGACACCGTATTGATCTCTCGTCCACGATCAGGGGTCGAGACTCGAGGAAATCATCAACAACGCGAGATCTACCGTACTACCTACAGTACCACTCAACCCGAGTGACTCAGGCGCAGTAAAGAAACCCAACCAAAAAAACACAGATACCACCCCCACACGTTCCCGCCTCGTCTGTTTCGTCGAACAATTCGACATACAAGATTGGCCACGTCTTCATGGTTGGAGGGTATGATGTCGGACGGAGAACGGCTATCTACTGGCTGGTATTCCAGCGGCATTAGGGCGAGATGAACGTGCCGGCACTGACGTTGACACCTTTTTGAAATCAAAATACCTTTTGAGAGGCTACCTCCTTACCGATGAGGCAATGGACAAAGTGGTTCATACTTACTCTAGTGTACCAACGTCGGTGAACCACAAGCCCCCATAGCATAACACACAAATCAACATACGCCTTAGTCTGACGGGGGAAATTGTCTATTAAAGATCCAGATGGGCACTGTGGAGTCGTCAGCAGGTAGGTAGCACAGCCTTGGCCCATCCTCAAGACCCTCGTTAATCCCTTCCTTCCCGTACGTATCTCTCATAATTTCATTCTCACCAAAGGCCATTCTGACCCCTTTCCACCAGTGACATGCGCAGGACCCTGGCAAGAGGGCGCAAAACCTCAAACCGTAATGATGAAAAAACCGACAACGACGCCAGCAGAATTCAGCTCGTATTGCTCTGCCTGGAAGGAAGCGTGCGTTTTGCTTCCCATGCACTACCTGTACCACTGCCTCCTAATCTCTCCTCCGATGTCCCAATCCGAAGGCTTGCACGCGCTGCCGAGCACCTCGTTCCAACCTACATGGACTTGCTAGGACTGACACATGTCAGCCGTGCCCCTCGAGATCGGGGTTCCCATCTTAGATGGCGTATTTGCGAGTCCACTCTCTAGCTGTAGCCTCGTATCTCGCACGGTCGGTCTTGTACACATGTGCGATCTCGGGGACGAGCGGGTCGTCAGGGTTGGGGTCGGTCAACATCGAGCAGATCGACAGCAGCACTTGGAATTATGAGCGAGGGCCACCAACAAAGGTAGAACGAAGGGACTCACCCTTGGAGATGGTCAAAGCCGGGCTCCATTGGTCTCTCAGGATGTCTAAGCAGATGCTGCCGTTGGAGTTGATGTTGGGGTGGTAGATGCGCGTCGTGAAGTTGACCTTGGGCGGCTTGAATGGGTAGTCTGTGGGGAAGTGGATTGCGAGGAAGAAGACACCACCGGAGTACGGTGAATCACCCTAAGAAGCACACAGGATTAGTATCACGGCACCAACAAAGGAAGTATGCACTGTGATGTAGGTATTGATGGGAACGAGAGTGAGAGCCGCCATAATAGCAGACACGCGGGTGGGTGAGGCCATGCAAAGGTAGAACGAAGCGTCAAGAGTAGTTCGGATTCGGCTTACCGGTCCCATGATCGTCGCCTGCCAGTGGAACTGCGTGAATACAATGTCAGTAAAACGCCATGATAATCAAGTGTCCATGTAGCAGTGATGTGCTGCTAACCCAGTCGGGAGGCCAGGATGGCAGCATCACAGGATGCCACTCAGGACGTTGGTGGGGGATGCCTTACCAGATCTTCACCAACCGGACCGGCAGAGCATGACGACGGAGGGTCACTATCAACATAGGTGTTAGCGACGGAACAAGGAACGATGTCTCGACTGCTAGACACAAGAGCGACTTGTCGCAGCAGCACGCGATCTGAATCTGTCGCATCGTCGAGGCGGTGGGCTGGCAGGAAAACCCCGCCCTGGCTTCTCGCAGCCGCCCCACCTTGGGCTCATTCGAAACAGAGCAGGACCCCCAAACAGCAGACAGTTGGGGAGAGACGGTGCAGATGCGACGTACCGGCCCAGATCTGTCAGTTCCTTGTTGATTCGCTTCAGCGCCATTGTGATTGTTGGGGAGAAGAGGTGGTCGTTGTTGTCGTGGTGGTATGCGTGATGGACTATGCGTGTCTCGTACGGCAAGGAGGATAGTCGCTATTTATTGTGTCAGCGGTCGGTGATGGAAATGGAATGCGGGAGAAAAGGATGGTGGCACAAAGTGAGTGAGTAGGTAGGTTTGGTTACAAAGAGGACAGACCAGTGCAAGAAGACTGGGTGTGAAGCGCACGCACGTACCTGAGGCCGAAGTTCGGGAAGAGAAGGAGTGGTTGGGTTGGGTCCCTCTCGTCAGTTGTGAGGGAGTTGTGGTTGTTGTTGTTGGTGGTCGTAGTGACGCCAGTGAATGCGGATGGATGTGAGATGATGGTGGGGGGAAAGGTGGAAAGGTTCAGGTGCAGATGTGCAGAGTGAGTGAGGGGGAGGTTATTGGTCGCTAGCGACCAGTGAGTAAATGAATCCAGGCAGTCCAGGGAAGCGCCACGGGGAACGAGGGAAATGTGGGTCTATGCTTACAATTTTTCAGGCCAAACGAGCCAGTGTTTCTAGCAGTGTGGCGTTGCCTTTAGTCAGTGCACCAATCAGATGAAGACAATCTGGCCCGACTCAGTGATTGCTAGTACAGCAGCGCCCTAAGCGCCACAGAGGCCGCTGACTCCTGAGCCTAAGGTGCCTAAATCGCCAATGGCGGGAAGGAGAACTCCAGCTTCCAGCCACATTTGCCTTCGATGTACCTAGGTACAGTTAAGTCTGCCACCTGGGCAGCTGCCGGGGCTGCCGGAGCAGAAATCGGCCTCAGCCCGAGTCATCATCTGTCATTGACGGGTGGCATTCACACAGCAGCGTAATTCCTCGTCAGTTAATGAAGGCATAGAATGAACAGGTCATTTAGTCACAGACTGTGAGAACAGTCGCAACCAGAGGCACAAACTCGTATTGCCACCCTGTATTGCCACCACTTAACATATAATCGACCTACCCGTCCAGCCATCGCCTTCCAGATCCAGTTCCCTGCCATGGCTTACCTAAAATCGCCGTGCCTTGCCATTCTGACAACTTTCGAGAACCCCCGAGCAAGCCACTTCCAGCGCGCGGCGTTAGCCCACAGATCCCCGGTGTTCGCCAGCACTCCCGGGCAGCGTTCCACCAGGGTGTGAAAAATACTCTACTAAGTAAAGTATTCGCCTAATACTCTACTCACCTAAGGTAGTACTTGACTATACTCGAGTAGTAGTATACTATTTTTGTTATTTATTTTAAAAAATCTAATGAAACAAAATAACGTATATTTAAATATAAATAGGTTAAATTTAAATAAAAAAATTTACAAGATTTACCAAAAAAAAACCTATATTAAACTTTTATTTATATGTAAGAATATTATATTTTTATACTAGGTATAAGAATTCGTATGCGAAGTATTAATAATACGTTTATTGATAATTTTATAACTATTTACTGTAAATAGATTCATATTTAAATATAGTTATAACGCGCTTGATTAATATGACGTTAGCAATAGAAAGTAACGGTTGTTAATCGACCGTTTTTAAGGCCTTAAAACCACTTACATCTACCTAGTTTACGTATAAATTACATATAATTATAATATTTATGATAAACGAGTTCTAAGTGTATTTATAATTATTTATTGTTTCATCTAGGTTTATTTTTCTAGCTGATTAAAATGATTTGCTAGATAATCTACTTATATAGCTAATATATAGCTATGTTATGGCTATAAATAAACGTAATTTATTATTTACCCCTTTTTAAAAACAAAATATCGTTATTATTACAAGTTCATAATTCTTATTATTGTTATTATATCAAAATATTTTCGCATTAATAATTTACAGGTTAGCAAAGAAATTTAGTATAATTATTTATATTTAATAAAATGGGCTTATAGTTTTAATGAGAGAGAGAAAAGTGTTATAAAAAGAACTTAACGCAATGTAAATATCGGTACGAAAATTTAAATATTTCTAAAATTTAGTTAAGTCGTTCAATAGCTCTACAAAAAAAGGTCGAATTAGGGTTATAGAAAGAAAAGCGTGTTAAAAAACATGCGTTAGTTTTGTTTAACTTAAATTGTACTTTATTCTCATTTAGTAAAGCGAAATAATCTAATGAAGCGATTAACTTAGCTTTTATAAAATTATTTGATACTAGTAACGATAATTGAAAGTTGTATAAGCCTTTATATACTTAATAGGTTGTATAATAAAACGTTAAACGTAATAATATAAACGAATCGATAAAATTTAACTTAATAAAAGGTTATTTAGTGATTATTTAGATACATATATTATTATTAAAAAACTTATATAAAAAACTTAATAAGTTGAAAAATCGGAGCTTAACTTATTAAACAAAAAATACGTCGATAAATAATATTAAAAAATTATATAATCGATGGTAACCGTATTATAACAAAAAAAATGAAAAACTTTAATCTGAAAGGCGTATAAATGCTAGTATAAAGTAAATAAAAATATTAGATTTTTCGTTTTTTTAAATGGAAATTTAGTTTAAAATATTATCGGCATATAAAGTACTGCCGGTCTTGTACGCTTTTATATTATTAAAATTAGATATTTTCCCGCCAGTATAATAATCGTTTCTATAACTATTTAATTACTAGTATCAAGCTTTAAAAAAGTTTATTTTTTATTCCGACAAAATCGTTATCGTTTATATTTAACGCGACGATATTTAATAATATAATCTTACTAGAAATTTCTTTACCCGTTTATTTAATTAATCAAAGTAGTTTATACCGGAAATTTTCAAAATATTTCGTTATAAGTATTTTAATAATATTATTTAACTTTTAAAAGTCTAGTAATGTTTTTATCTTATTGTAAAGGTATTATTATAGTTTATATTTTATTAAATATACTTAATTTCAAACGTTTTTAATTTCATTTTTATGCGATTGCAGTTTCACTTTTATTTCAATAGCTTCAACGGCGTTAATTTCGGTATTTAATCAGATTAATAATACCATAAATTAAAAGTTTAATGATATGCGCCGTTCATAGCTTAAAAGTTCATATATATTTAAAAATTAATATAAAATTTATGTCTTAAAATATAAAGTGTAAGTTAACTTTTGTTTCTTTAATTAACGGTTTTAGAATTTGATATAAAAATAAACTTTTTTTTAAATAAATCAATAATTTTATTTTTTAAAAATTATTTCGTTTTTTTTATATTAATTTGTGACGAGCCGTCTTACCTATAAGGCTAAAGGGTTCTATAAGGTTTATGTTCTGGGTAAGTCAACACAAAAGACGGTAGAGTCTTCTGTCAACTTGAAGACACTCAGATGCTGGGGCTTGGTCTGAACTGGGTTCACTGCGTAGTCGAGTCATCAGGAGATTTCTCTCACCTTAGGGTTGACTAAGATGCTTAGATTGATCATTGAGATAGAGACTGTCTATCTATCTAGCTGGGAAATGTCCGTCCTTATATATCTAATTTCTTTCTCACTGATGGAGTAGGATTACCTTGTCCCAGAGTGATGCTCACTGGCTCACTCCCTGATCTAGTGATCTGTCACGTGACCTTTATTATGTAATCCGTAATACCCATTGTTCCGTTCCTAGCTTCTGATTCCGTTGGTTCTTGGTGTACTCCCCTTGGCCCTCCAACAGGCCATAGATTTTGTTAGTTCGTAATATTATATAACTATTGGTCGCGTTTAATTAAATAATTATCGGTTACATTTAGTAATAACAAAGCTTTTTAAATAGATCGTTATTACGATCGGGTTTTGTAGAAGAATGTTATATAATTAAATTACAGTAACTCAATTAAATAGCTATTACGATCGTGTTTTACATAATAATATTATATAATTTCAAATTATTATCTTTTTAGCGGCTAGGCTAGCTAGCTGGTTAAACCTAGTTAGTAGTAATAAGTAGCAGGTTAATAGCAGGTGGCTATAAGTGTATTAGAAATCAATGTACAGCTAAGGATTTTTTTCAATGTACACGTAATAAGACTGTTTAAGAAACTGCTGACCTAATTAAATCACTCCAAGAAGTAGATGGTTCATACATAATATGAGTACAGTTGTTCAGATCCAGATCCAGATCCAGGTCCAGCCTCCAGCCTCCAGCCTCCAGCCTCCAGCCTCCAGCCTCCGTCCTCCGCTCCGCTCTAGCTCGCGAGCTCGCCCGCCTCGCGACTATGCGGCAGCTCCTGCGGTCCGAACCCCCCCGCATTGACATGCCGCGCTAGCGCCAGATCATGCTGGCGGTAGTACAACTCGCTCATGGAACTTGTTGTTGACGACGGCGTATAGAGGCTGCCCGGATTGTTGGGATAATACCCCGCCGCCGCCGCCGCCGTCTTGTTGTTCCCCTCGGCCCCGGTGGCGGCGGCGGCAGCCTTCTTCCGCCTCTGCAGGCCCACCCAGACCAGCGCCGTCAGGATGGCCAGCCCGATGGGCACGCCGACGCCGAGCCCGATGGCGAGGTCGCGCGTGCTGTTGGTGTTGCTGCTGTATGCGACTGGGCACTCTGTGGCGGTCTGGTTGGCCGCGGCGCAGGCTGTGCTGCTTGCGTCGGCGTCGGCGGCGCCGCGCGCTGGGCTGCTGTGGGTTGCTACTGCTGTTTCGCTCGTGGTGGTGGTGCCCCTTGAGATGGGGGTGGTGCTGGAGGTGGTGCTGGATTGCGCGGTGGCTGTCGCCGCCAGACGTGCAACGGGCGGCTGGATGCCCGTCGGGTCGGTGATGGGGAAGAAGTCCGTGGCTGTGCTGCAACAGCTATCGTCTTTCGTCCCGCAGCACCAGCCGGCGTCGCCGCAAGACCAGGGGAACATGTAGCCGTTGGGGTCATCTGATATCATAACAAAAGTCCATGGTCAGCTTTCAACGATCTCATAGTCTTGTTACAGATGGGCTGGCCATACTTACCTGATTCCGCGGTGCAGTAGTTGGTGCAGGCCCCGGTCCACTTCGGGTCCGTACACCCCTCCTGGCTGAGGATCATGCTGTTGCCATCGCCGGCGTTCTGGATCATGCACAGCCCGTTGGACAGGCAGAAGTCGTCCTGGCTGCAGCACACCGAGACGTCGGCGCTGGCGTCGCACGGCACCCACGAGGCGACGTAGGCGTCCGGGTCCGATACCCACAGGTCGCCATTGTTCTTGTAGCAGTCTTTTGCTGCCGCGACGGATGTGATAGCAGAGGTGGCTGCTATCAGAGTGAGCAGACCATTGAATCTCGCACGGCTGGCCATGGCAGCGGCAAACTGATTAACGGCGAAGGCTCGTCGTCTCAACTTCTGTCGCGGGGCATGAAGAACTGATGAGACAGAAGAAAACCTGGAAAGACTCAAGACCCAAAGAGAAGGAGGTGAACAACAACCATCGTCACTCGAACCAGGTTCCCGGGCGGCTTCGTCGTGGCATTAATACATGAATCGGATGAATCCTACCTTGCAGCAGTACTCCTGCTTGCGCGCTTCAAATGGGTCACTGACTCCCCTTCAAATGAGAGATTCCCACAAGACGATACCCGCCCAGGTAGCCCAGAATACTATCAATAGGTAAGCGACGTTATCAGTCTGGGCGGGCATGATGTCAGATATGAAGGGATATGCGCTTGATATTGCTGTTCTCGGCTGCTGTGCCGCAACTCTGCTGGTGGAAGTCCTGCTGTGCCGCGACTCGGCTGCTGGAAGGCTTGCTGTGCCGCGCCGCAGGAGTCCCTCGCAGCAGGACCTGGCGAGCTGAAGTGCCAGAAGTGGACACTGGATGGTAAGGTGACAGAGGTCTGGGGCTTTATGAGCAAAAGGTTGAGGGAGGATCCTGCGAGAAGGAGTGGGCTAAGATGCGGTCGACGGCGAGTCACACAGGCCTTCGGATCCCTCGCTTCCCACGTGCTCCTTCCAACACTGCGGCGCGGGCGAGCATGGAGCAAACTGTCACTGCCGGGCGCTTCATCACGATGATTCCCGTCGCATCGGATGTGGACACTGGACACTGGACACCTGCATGGAGCGATCTACGGAATAACAACGGAACCGTTGATCATTCTAGGTATATACAGAACGGATCCATGTTCACCTACGCATGCAAGGCTATCACGCGAAAGCCTGGATTCCCGTGATGGCTCTCCCAAGAATGAGACCTATAGATATACCCTGTTAGCAACTCTTATCTGCCATGATTAGACTACATCACGGAACGAATTAACTTACTATGAATATCACTCTGTCCCTCGTACGTCTGCGTCACGAACAGATTTGCCACGTGCCGCCCAATGCCATACTCATCACTCACCGCATTGCCGCCAAAGATCTCCTGCAGCACGCGCGCATTGACGAGTGCGCGGTCGCAGTTTTGCCGCTTGACCATACTGATCATCTCAGGCGCGACCTTCCCCGCGTCCTTGAGCCTCCCGACTTGGATCGCGGCCAACGTGCCGTACGCCGCGTCGGTGACGGCGTCCGACAGCTTCTTCTGCACGAGCTGATACTTGGCGATAGGATTATCCTTAAACTGCCTGCGCTCCAGGGCGTACGTGCGCGCGCGCGCGATGCAGTCCTCGAGCGCGCCCATGGTGCCGAGCGCGATGCCAAAACGGGCGCTGTTCAGGCACGAGAACGGCCCGCGCAGGCCCTCGACCTCGGGGAACATGTGCGCTTCGGGAACGGGGCAGTCGTCCAGCTGGATCATGCCGGTCGTGCTCGCGCGCAGCCCGTTCTTGTCCTTGATGGGCGGCGTGTCCAGCGTGCCCGGCGGGCAGTCCTTGCGCTCGACCAGGAACCCACGGATCTTGCCCGAGCTCTGCAGGCGGGCCCACACGAGCAACACGTCGGCGATGGGCGAGTTCGTGATCCAGGTCTTGGAGCCGCTCAGGAGTAAATATCCCTTTTTGTTTGGGTGCGGGCGCGCCGTCGTCTCCATGCTGCCCGGGTCGCTGCCGTGGTTCGGCTCCGTGAGCCCGAAGGCGCCGAGCAGCTTGCCCTGCGCCATGAGCGGCAGGAACTTGTCCTTCTGCTCCGCGGATCCGAACTCGTGGATCCCGCCCATGACGAGCGACGACTGTACCGACATGCCCGAGCGGTAGCCGCTGTCGACGCGCTCGACGGCGCGCGTTATTAGCCCCGAGGCTACGGTCGAGGCGCCGGCGCAGCCGTAGCCGGTGAGGTTCGCGCCGAGGAGACCGAGCTCGCCCATCTCGAGGAGAATATTCGGGTCGTAGTGTTCATCGCGGTAGGCCTCTGGATGCGTGACATTTGTTAGCGGAGGAAATCCTAGACTGTAGTAAATGGGCTTGATTCAATCGCGCCATCGTACTGCAGCACACGCACTGCGGATGGCGGATTCCGGAGAGAACTCATGTACCTAGAACCCGCGGCAGCAACTGCTCCTGGCAGTACCGCTCGGCCGTCTCCGAGATGGCTATCTCGTCCTCTGTGAGCAGGTCCTTGCTTACCAAGGGATCCTGCCAGTCGAACGCTGGTCCGGAGGCGGATGCGTAGCTCCTAGAGGCAGTGGGACATTGGAGTCTTCCTCTGAGGCGAGCAGCTAGCGTCGGCCGGGCGCCTCGTAGAGACGAGATTGTCGGTCGGAACATGGCGGCACTCTCAATTGGAATTGCCAGGAATTGATGCCGGTGGGAGGAGCGGAGGAACCGGACAGAGCCATCGTGGAGCTGGGAATGTGTAAGGTAGTGGTGATGGTGGTGGTGATGGCCGTGACGTGATGGCGGTTGGCGGGGCCGAGGTTGCAGTCAGTCCACTGTCCAGTCCACTGTCCAGTTCACTGTCCAGTTCACTGTCCAGTTCACTGTGCATCGTCCACGGCGGGTTTCCGAGACCGGCCCTCCCGGCTAACCTGGAATCTCTTCAAGCACCCCAACATCCACCACTCATTGGAATTCATCAGACCCAATGCTTCTTCTCATTGGAGACGTTGGGTTTATATTTTGCCTAGAACGCCTCGGTGATTTCTGTCTCCATTTTGTCTACGGCTCCGTCATTCATAGACACCCCTAGGATCCCCAGCGACTCGTCGAACTGCAACTCTGCCAAATCGCAGGGCCACATCTCTTGTCTCAAACATCTTCTGTCCCTCTACTAAAAACGTCTTAGAGGAACTAAGTACTTTCTAGATTTTTACCTTTCACAGCGCAAGGCAATGGAGTACCCTGGGACATACCCTCGCAGGGGTCCCCTACATACCCGTACTCCCCCTGGTCGATGGGCACCCTATCTCGTCTAGCAGATACGCCCTCGCTACAAGTGCAGCCAGCTACAGAGTATTTAGTATTTGTGATACCTTCTCCGAAGTCCTGAAGCGGCCGGAGCACAATGACGCCCGCCAGCTTGCCTGCTGCGCTCGGGACTAAGCGCAAGTCGGGGTCGGCACCGTGTTCGAGGATTCAGACGACGTGTAGCACGCTGGGATTGACTTCACTTGCAAATGCATCAAGGTTGTCTCGATCCTTGAACTGTGTGAGAATAATCAACGTCAAGGTCCCGCTGGCGTCTCCTCTCCACGGGACGGCTGATTGCCCTGCCCCTACCAACCAGGCTTGCACCACTTCCCAGCACCTGCGGAAAAGAGGTCACCTGACGGACATGGTGGTGGCAAAATAATTCCTCAGGTCCAGCAGGCATGCCACTATGTTCCCAGAACACGCTAGGGGACGATCTGGTTGTTGGAAAGGCCATGGGCAACTCGAAGCCTGCTTGAGTAATTGGTATGCCATTGAGGATATATACCATATGGTTCTCATTCAAACTTGGCAGATGGCCTGCTGCCTGAGGGCCGTCAAGCTCTCTCGGGGTAACCAGATTCTGCAAGTCGTCGAACAATTGTTGCCCATGCCCACAGAGGTGCCTGTTGCATGTCGGTCATGCTGATGCTCTCACTCCCTCTCACCATTTCTGATGAGGCATGATATGGGGACATGAGCCACGATCCTCACCTACTCGCCAGTCCCGATCAACCGAAAGAAGACGCTGTTCGAGCAGAACAATCTGAACTATCACCAACAACATCTCACTTGGAGTTGATGGAGCATGTTCAGTGAGGTACAGCCCATCATAATGGCCAATGTGTGTTATGGCAGCCTCAACCCGTACGGCGTCTCTCCTTCCTCCGCAGCTGCCCGTATCGTCTGCTGCACCTGAAGGAAGGAGTATGACCCGCCTGTGTCAGCCAGGTCTTTCCCAATACCACACCAGCTGATGACATCGGAGTGTTAGAGGACGTAGCTTTATCCCCGCTGGTGGAAACTGCTCAGCAAACTCCCATCCACGCCTCTGTCGACCTCTCGACCTCTTGAAACACGACCCAGAGAGTGTCGGCGATTCCTTCAACAAGCATTATTCCTTAGCTCGTATCCTTTTCGTTCATCCCTTCAAATCGACCCTAAGACTATGTTCTCCACCCTCACCAAGGCTAAAATCATCTTCAAGATCGTCTGCTTTACGATTCACCGATCCCTCAAGTCCTCTTTCGAAGTCTTGCACCTCTTGAAGTATTGCACTTGTTGCCTCCCCAATCTAAAGCCTGACGACGACTCCGACTCCGACTCCGAGGAGTCATGAGCACGTACCTATGCATCCACTGAACCATGGAGCGCCATCATTCGACGACAACGTTTCCCTACCAGGTTTCAAATTCGCCCACGGCTACGGTTTCAAGACCAGCCAGCAGACTTCTTATAGATGCAACACGCCGGGCTGCCGATACCCGCACCCGGATGAGAGCAAGACCGCTGATGGTCGAGAACACAAGAATGGGCCCCGTCTCTCCCCGACCAGGAGACCCAGCGCCCCCTTCGAGCCGGTTTTCCGCAGAATCTCTTCTCGTCGCGAGGCGGATAGGCCCTCCGAGGCTTCTGCAGATAGCACCTCGATCAGTCCATTCGAGCTCGACCCCGAGAGCTCTGATGCCCGTGGGCAACAGATCGTGAACCACGAGGCAATATCCACTTGGCTTCACAGCATTGTGTCTAGTTCCGAGCAATCCGTCATTCGCACTAGCTTGCCCCTTGAGCTGGAGCACTCGTCCCCTTTGTCGTCTGAGACTGCTGCAAGCGAGGACCAACTGGACGTGATGGTAATCATACCCATCAGTTCACGAAGCAGACGGATTCACACTCGTGGACATAGATCCACGCGTTCGGGGACTGGCTTTGACGGGCCTCTCTCCTCGCCTAGTGATACACAACTCCGCCCACCGTCCCACGTTCTTGGCGACCAAATAGGGGCATCGATGCGCAGTGCTGCCCTGCCCAACAGATCTCAGAGGCTCAAGTCTGACACGTCTGGCTCAATCGACTGGGAGAAAAGCTGGCCGAAGCGTAAGCCACGCCGAGCGCACAACGTTTCCGAGGTTTCACCAGATCCAGCAGCCCTCATCCATGCTGCTGACTTTTTCGCAATGGTCACCCAAAAGGACGACAGCGTTGATGACGGCAATGCTGACGACATGTTATGCCCTGATTTCAAGGTCCACCACGCACAGTTCCACGCGATTCAGCAGTTGGCTCTGAAGTCCTGCCCAGAACTTCATCGCCAAGTAGGGGACTTTGCTCAAACAGTAAACAAGGTATGTGTCCAAGTTTTACCCCTTCAAAGTTCCAAACTAAGATGACCTAGAGTGAAGCAGGTCTACCCCTGGTCGCGCCAAACTATTCTGAGTTCGATAAGTCTCGTCATCGGCATCGCCCCCGCGTGTCTGACACGCTCTCGAAAGGGTTTCGATCGCTAGGCCGCAAACTTTATCGCTCTGGGTCCTCAAGTCATTCTGCTCGCTCAGACTTTCCAGCGCCTCCCGACGGAAAAGAACGCCGCTACCTCGCACGCGACTCTACGGACGTATGGCCGTCATCCGGTGAGGAGTCTCCCGTCTTCAACACGCCCGAGTCCCCTGGAACACCGGCCTATTCCAGTGGAAGTTATGTTGACCCCTTGGCAATGGCGGCTTTGATGATCACTGCGGCAGACCTTGACCGACTCTCGGGGACTGGAAGTCGCCAACAGCGAGCAGGGGCATCTGGGTCGTCGAGGTCACAGACGCCGCTGTCAAGTGGCGTTGACAGCCCAATAAACGGCCCCTCTGTGTCTGGTCTTGCGACGCCCGATAACACCCCCAATTACTCACCTTCGACATCTTTACCTCAAGTTAGCCAGACAAGTCTAGCTGCCCGGCCACCACAAAGACCAGGGCAGAGACGGAGAGCCCAGCGAAGTCGCTTGTCAGAGGTTACGACGCCAGAGGAACCTGGGTCACTGATTGAGCCTGTTGATTACGTCGCGGAACCCACGCTTTCGTATTTATCCTCCGCCGTTGGGACTCTACAGGAAATATCGGGCGAACTCGAAAACGCAAATCCTGAGAGCCTTTATCCAAGACCTTTGACTATAAGCCGCGAAGGTACGCCAAGCGTGCATTCACCAGACAAGAATACTGGGTTAGTCCAAACTGCCTCGCGGTCAGTGCGAAAGCGATCAGGTACTCTGCCCACGTATAGCCCGTCGCAAGTCACCAAGCTTCCCGAAGTGGACTCAGAAGAATATTTCTTTGCGCCAGTACGCACGTCGTCGATTGGCCAAACACCAGAATCCATGTACGGCCGGGGTAGCGTCGCTGACGCGCATGATACACAGGCATCAGCAAGATTATCTCGTACTTTTGGCTATAGGCCAACATTCATGACCTCAACCAGTTCACCAGGCCCACGACGGATACCAACTCTGCCTGTTGGAACCCAAAGTCCTGCCGAACCAGAGCCAAACACTAACGTAGTGGTTGGTGCAAGTCGCACGATATCCCTTGAACATGCGGTTGAGTGCATTGGTGCAGCTGCTGACGACTTGGAACTCGAGGGATCGAGGTCAAACTCCTGCCATCCTGATACCTGGTCGGAGTCCCAAGGTGAACCCGGTGACTCGGAATTCTTCTGCCCCCCAGATTGTCCCAATACCAGACACACCAGTCGTCAGGCATCCGCTCAGCCATCGAGACTTTTTCGACAGAATAGCGGCGGGACAGTACATACGCGTGAGAACGGAGAGCTTATCGAGGAGGAGGAATGCGAGGCAGAGGAGGAAAACTGAGGGTTGAGTCTTGGCTTCGTCATGGGGGTGGAGGTCTTACTACTTGTTTGTGCAGACCTACATGTGTAGTCCTATTAAGTAGGCAATGGCATTCAAGTAACGTTACGAACTGGCAAAGTTGTCGCTTCAACTTCTGCGCACGCTTCACGTATTGATGTTGACAAAGGAATTATCATGGTGAGTGAGGTTTCGGGCAAAAGAACAGCTGGATTAATCGGCTGTGATAGCCCAGGCTGACATGACTGAATGAAGCAGCTACATGTAGCACTACAAGACTTACCGCAGAGATCTATAAAGAGCTTCGCCACATGAATCTATGATGAAATCACAAGATTCGTAGATTTTTCTCGCCATCTAAAAAACGCGTACTCACTAATCTGAACCCGTGCAATCCCCCTTGTTGCCGCCAAGGTCCTCAAAGGCCTGCCCGACGCAGCTCTTCTCGCCCACGAGCGCAGTGCCCGACGCCTTCCAGTCCCAGTCCGGGTCGCGGACATAGTCAAACTTCCAATTCGCGATGTCGCCGCACTTGCTCTGGAGGTGGTTCTTCAGATCTTTGCCCCAGGCGCCGATGGCCGAGTCTTTGAGACCCCGGCCGCCCATGCTCCACGTGTCTCAGATGAACTTGTAGTCGGAGTGGCAGAACGTGTGCACCCAGTCCTGGAGGATGCCGTCAAGTTGGGAGAAAGGGAGGGGGAAGGCGGCGTGCGAGGCGTAGATCGGGTCTTGTCGGTCTGGTGTGGGTTGGCGGCTGTCGCAGGAGGTGCGCACGAAGATTGTTTGGCCGATTGGTGCGGCGGTGGCGTCGGGACCGGTCCAGATGTCGCGGACGCAGACGTCGCCCGTGGTCTTTTGGGGGGTCGTGCACCAGACGCCAGTGTTGGTGTCTTGGCGGGTTGCTTCGGTCACGGAGTGCTGGGTTGGAAGGGGGTGTTAGTCAGTTCAGTTCATGTTCATGTCAAAAGAGGAAAGAAGAAGACGGCACTACCATACCATGTCGTCTTCATGACGCCGACGTATGTGAAGTAGCCGCACTCGCCCTCGGCGATGTCGAACTTTCCCGGCCCGGCCGTGACGTCGAACTCGACCCTGTAGCCGCCGGATATACCGTGGGCGAAGGCGTACATCCAGGCGTCGGGATAGCGGCCCGCGTCGTTGAAGCCGCTCGTGAGCGCCCGGTCGTGCGCGATCGTGCACGTGTTGGGGCCCCGGCAGTACGTGTTGGGGATCGGCTGCTCGGTCATGTATTCGAAGGTCGTGCCTGTGTTGGGCAGGTTAGGGTTAGGGTGGTGATGGCGTTGCTTGAATGTTGGGGATAGAGATGTGGTCATGGGTATGGGTATGGATGGGTCAGGGTGTACGTACTGACTTGGCAGAAGAAGCTGCATTGCGTGTCCTTTGCCGCCTGCTTGGTGTAGTCGCACACACCATCGGGGAGGAAATCCTGCAGGGTTGCTGCATGTACGTTAACAACCTGTCTTCAAACCCGTATGGCAAATTCCTATATAAATAGAACCAGAGAACAATAAAGCTTGTTCTCGAAACCCAGCCTCAGGGTCTTGTGATGGGATATTTCTATACGTACGGCAGTCGGCCGCGGAGTATGTCTTGCCGATCTCGTACGAGGATCCGAGGCCGTTGCAGGCGTCGCGCTTTGCGATGGCTTGGCTTGTGTTGTCATGGGAGTTTGGGGTAGGCGAAGCTTCTAAGCAGACGAACAGGGCTGCAAGGGCCCAGAGGCAGGTGAGGTCTAACATCCTGGGCTATTGTATCGTGGTGCTTGCCACTGGATCTGCTACTACCTAGATGTCTAGATATGCTGCGGGGAATTAGAGAAAAGGGGGTTGACATTGGGAAAAGGGAAAGCTTCTGCTGGAACTTGCTATTTGTAGGGAATGATATTGGTCTGGTTTAAGAGGTCACTGTATTGAGCACGATGGGTTCCGGACCGGTAAACTCACTGTCTAAGCTGTTATACAGCTAGCAATGGCAGCGTTTCGGCCATGATGAGCGCATCGAGTCTCGTCACGAGGTGTATTATTTCGGCCGCACGTGTTGTCCGTGGTTCATATGTGAATGGCGGCTGGACAGCAAGAAAGTGATAATCTGTACTAAAGCAAAATGCAACGAGATCAGCAAGGCTATAACCAACACCCACAGCATGATGTGAGTTCTGATACCACATTGGATGTGGAAACAGGTGCACATGGATTCTAAGATCAAAATCGTTGTGGGATATATTATATATGCTCCCGGACGATGTGCCGTTGTGAAAAAAAAAACCCCAAGACGAAGACCTACTCTGAGTCACGGTGCCCTATTGCAATTCGCGGCCCGGACCGTTTACGCTGGATCGTGAACCACTGACGCAATTGGAACGTGCAGGGAGCCAACCACTCATGGATATTGTAGCGATTCACAGAGCATACCTGAATGCAAGGTTCTGCCTGTCTGTCGTATCAAGCATGCCCCCTTCCACTTTCTGCGGATCGACCCGGCCCTCAAAGTCAGTCCTTTCGACAAATCCGTACTCCTCCTGCGTATGGAGCGTGCGTGACTCATCTAGTCGCTTGTTCTCCCTATCATTACATATCAAATGGTGTATAGAATGATCCAATTTGCGGCGTAGGAGGCCTATAGAGATTATATTAGTGATCCGCTCGCCGTTTTGGAATGAGTGACAGAGTCTCACCAGACAGATGCTCCACGGTACGACATTCCTCGGTTTATACTGTGCGCTTCAGAACTGATTGTAGAGAATCTGACCGAGGCAGTATCCAGTGAGGAATATGGCAATCGTCACTGGACGGGTGTTTACGATAAAGGGACTAGGCTATCGTGACAGCACGCCGCCACATGTGCATACAGGCGCTTACTCAGCAGACGTTTATCTTACCTTCGTGACACTAGCGAGAGATTTCATGGATGTATGGGCTGTGGTATGCGATGAGACGATGTAGTCTCCATGGGGCAGAAACTTTGCGTTTTGCCATAGGTCTTGCTCAATCTCCAAAGTCTAGGGGCTCACTCGCAGTAGAACCGGCAGTTAGTAACGTAAAACCGAAGGTCGCTGATATAGAGCTGCGTTGGGGTCATCGTACTCTGATCTATGGTATTCTTTGCCGCAGGATGTACTGACTCTGAGGGGACGTCCCTGAAGAGCGGCAAACTCGTGCGCCGCACCATGGCAGCACCTGCACAATACAGCTCAGGAGCATGCTAGATTCGAGGAGATATGCATGCGCATGCCGCCGCAGATAGACATCGAAACCCACATGCGTCTAGGCTACGCAAATACTCTGTTGAAGGTGCGATCGATTGAGAGCCTCTCAAGCCTGAGGGGCAAGTGGTCGAGCAAGATTGGAGGCGCGTTTACGCGGCCATGCTCTATTCAGAGCACAGTAGAATCAATTTCTGTGGTCCTATGAAAGCAGAGAACAATGCACTGGAGCTATTTAATCATCTCTAGTATCAGCAGCATGTGGCAGCTGGCGTCTGACGTCACAACACTTGATCCTCTACCAGGTGTATTTAACATGGTAGAGAGGGAAAGATGTGACGAGCCGTCTAACCTATAAGGCTAAAGGGTTCTATAGGGTTTAAGTTCTGAGGTAAGTCAACACAAAAGACGATAGAGTCTTCTGTCAACTAGAAGACACTCAGATGCTGGGACTTGGTCTGAACTGGGTTCACTGCGTAGTCGAGTCATCAGGAGATTTCTCTCACCTTAGGGTTGGCTAAGATGCTTAGATTGATCACTGAGATAGAGACTGTCTATCTATCTAGCTGGGAAATGTCCGTCCTTATATATCCAATCTCTCCCTTACTAATGGAGTAGGATCACCTTGTCCCAGAGTGATGCTCACTGGCTCACTCCCTGATCCAGTGATCCGCCACGTGACCTTTATTATGTAATCCGTAATACCCGTTGTTCCGTTCCTGGCTTCTGATTCCATTGGTTCTTGGTGTACTCCCCTTGGCCCTCCAACAGGCCATGGTATTTGTTGGTTCGTAACAAAAGACTTGGGACGGAAGACATGCTTCCAGATAAAACTAATTGATGATAGCTAAAGAAAAACGCAGAAAATAGTCCGCAAAGTAAAAAGAATCAAAGTCAGCTGCTGGTAGGAAAAGGGGAAAAGGGGAAAGGGGAAAAGGGGAAACCCAAAGGAAAGTAACAGATCAGAATATCCTTAAGAAGTGATTGTGTACGAGCCCATCTGCTCTTCTACCAGCCACTCGTGATGCATGACGAGACACTCTCCCCGATAGTCTCTCACGGAAGTTTACTTGGAAGACTTCCGCTTCTTCCCGGCTTTCGACCTGTCATCAGCTACGACAGGCTTGTTGCGACCATGAGCTGATCTACCATCAACTACGAGAGGCGCGCTGCTGCCTTGGGCTGTTTCGTCATAAGCTGTTTCGCCATAAACGTCTTGGCCATAAGCAGCTTCTTCATGAGTTGCGATGCCAAAATCTGTGGAAGGCTCATTGCTATAGGATGTGTTGCCATGAGTGGTGCTGTCATGCTCCTGTAGCACGCCACCTCTGTAGGTAGCGCCAACAGAACGTTTATTCCAAGGGGCAGAAGGATTTTTAAACATCTCAGATTCATGAAATTGTCGTCATCCGTGAATTGCGCAGGCAAATCAGGTCTCGTTCCCTGAATGTGGTCTAGAACAGCCTGCGCAGTTGCGCCATTGGCAAACGTGAGGCCAGCCTTCTGGCTCGATCTGGTCGATGAATACCAAAACGTCATATGAGGCTCTGTAGCTCCCTTGGCCATTCCGGGGCTGATCAAGGTCTTGACTACGTTCCGTTGTGTGTCGAAGTCGAGGCATCGTAGTTTCTTTATCATAATACTGACGCGCTCCGGCGCCTGGGGTGCCTGGGGTGCCTGGAGTGCTTGGGGTGCCTGGGGTGGCGGTGCTGTATACGTGGGATAATTCCTCTGCCCGGTCGCGATCCCCTGGGAGGGATAACCTGGGTATGCGTATTGGCCTGTGCCATAATAGGTGTTCCCTGCAACAGGTGTACCGTAGTATGGTTAATTCTGTTGCCCATAATACTGGCTCCCCTGGGGATGTGGTCAGGAACTGCGAAACGAGTAGAATGGGGTATGAGACAGGACTGTGCGCATGAAGGAGAAACAACAACAGGAAGTGACATACCGTCGCGTAGCCTTGAGGCACAGTGTAAGACTGAGGCACAATGTAAGACGTAGTCGCAGCTGTTCCGTAGTTGGAAGATGTCATCGGCGGGTCTGACTCCGTTTGATCCGGGGGAGCCTCCTCCTAGTTGTTGTAGCTCATTCCGGTATTATCCATTTCAGGTAGTAGCAAGAGGAGAATAAGGGGTATGAAGGTCGCTCAAGAGCTGGCTAAGGAATGATATTCACAGTAGATCTTGGGGTCCTTTGCGGTCTTCGGGCTGTAGGATGTCGGGACTTATTCGGGCTGTATGCTATCCTGCACCTCCTTCTATATCCCATCTGAGAGAACAGCTCGACAGGTAAGATCGAATAACGAGTCCACTCTAGACACGCATGACCCGGTCGAATTTCATATGAAGGAACACAGGCCGGCCTCGTGGTCTTTCGTCGAGTGGAATAGTACACATTGGAACAGTCGTTGATGGCGACGCAGTCGCTGGAACTGATCACCTGCTATTGAAAGGATGGATGTCGTCTAGGTAATGGCAGTTCGTGCTCAACTTATGACCTGGTTGGCACCTAGCCGAAAGACCAACCTGCCTCGATCACAAAGAGATGGGGGATTTCGGTACGTACCTTCAGGGGACGTTACGTGTGTGGAACGGCAGTGTGGTCATGATATGATCTCTGATCATGAAACCCGGCGCCTCGAGTCGTTGTGCTGGTCAGCAGTTTGACATGCAAGCAGCTGATCTTGAAGAGGCGATTGTGGTGGATTCAGCAATGTACCTACTGATAACAGTGACTATTTCTTTGTTTGGGTACATCTAGAGTGTGTCATCTCGGTTCATGGCTGTTGGTGTAATATCAAACATGTCTACTGGCATCTTGTGCTACAAGTCTTCCTTCCAACAAAACCCAAAACGGTGAGGTGAGTACCAGCCGCATCCCAGAGGAATGATAACATCAGTTGGTGAGTTCTACCACGCTTTCAACGAAACCACCTCCTAGAGTCTTGCTCTCCCCCGCCCTCAAGGGGCAACCCTCGAGGCTTGCTTATACCATGTTCGCTGAATGGTATCAACTTCTCGAGGCCCGTCTCGAGACAGTTTCGATACAAGTCGAACATATTTTTATAATCCAGTCCTCCCCTATGCAGCTTCTGCTCCTGGACACCCGATGTTTTCACCTGAAAAACGGTGCCTTTCGAGAAGCACAACCCCCATGTTCCCGAATCCCGACTGCGGGTATGGAGCGACGCGTCAACAAAACTGCATATGGCATCGAGATTGGCTTCCCATTCGGGCTTCATTTGAGCCCATGTTCTTGATTGCAGAGATACTCTACGTAGCTGACGAGGACGACTCACTGAATTCATTCCCACCATGGCGGAGATGGTGCTGGATCCTAGTAAGATTAATTCTTGCAACTCCGAGACATACCGCTATACGAGGAGAGAGAAAGGGCAGAAGAAGGAAAGAAACTTCAGCACGTCAGTTTGAAATCTGCAAAGCGTGAGATCAGTACCTCGTACCCGACCGAGTGTGCTCACCCATATATCCCCGTTTGGATCGTCATTCTCCTCGCGTAATTCATGTAGACATGCTAACCACGAAGCCTAGCAGGCAGTATGATAAGCTTGAGAGGTTCGCTGGCGAAACCATCAACGCCATCCTTACCTCGTCACGACCATCCAGCAGTACCTCCGCAGCCGAGCGAAACGGAAGTCTTCCGAAGCCCTTCAGGCCGCCGCCCTAGCCAAACGCGCATCCATCCGCCACTTCTTAGACCACCCCGTATCCTCTGCCACGACGCGGCCACCAAGCGAGAACCGCTTCACGAATTGCAGCACTGAGGAGAGCTATCACCAATAACACACTGCATGACCGTACTACGCACCAACAGCACATCCACACCCCCCCGCCAGTGCCTCGTTAGTCACCACATCCTCCAGCGCAATGCTGCTCCGCCCACGGCCCGCAATAGGCTGCTGGCCGACATCAAAGCCCCCTCCCCCCTTTCCCTTTTACTCCCACCCGGTGCATCCGTAAACCACCAACAGTCTCCCACCCAGGCCGCGTCTCGCCAGCCCTGGACATCCGCATACAGCTCTCCCATGCGCAGCCCACCCTCGTACGCGAGGATGTCTCGTCCTCGTCCTTGTCCTCGCCCATACCGTGGGACCACGTCCAGACGCCCAATCTGCGGTCCGGATGAGCGGCTGTCGTGCCTAGCATGCGTTTCCAGCTGGCTCCTAACGTACACAAGCTTTGACATGAAGTTGGATACTCCGTCGTGGTCTATGATCTCGGTCTGCTGAGTGGGTAAGTAGGGACGCTCGCTGGCCGCGTCTGGATGCTGGATCATGCGGAAATATTCTGGGGCGGGAGGCTCGTAGAGGGGCGTGAAGACCTCAAGGAATAGGGGGGATTGTGACGGTGCTGTTCGAGCTGGAATCTTTTTTTATCGTTCGTGCTGCTGTCCCCTTCATCGGCTTGGAAGGAGAGCGCTCTCTGCAGCGCTGGCGAGGTAGAGACCGTGCTGTTTCAGGGACGTCTCACGCGCTGGGCGGTGGTGAAGAGGGCTCGTATGTCTAGCTGCAGTAGAATGCGCCTAAAAGCTCGGCGGTTTGCTGGACCTTGTCCATGGCCTCTGGTGGGTAGACGAATAGAAGCGTTTGCTGTGGAACGTCTTAGATCCTTCACGGCAGGCTGCTGAAGCTGAAGTTGAAATTCATGAGAATCACTGGAGTATAACTAATACCAGGTCAGCTGCAATATGGAAACAATAGCTCACTGGTTGTGCGGCTCTCATGACAGGTGAGGTCCTGGAGTGGCGGCATAGAGAGACATGAGTGTCGTTGTTGAAGATTATAGTGGGGCTGACACTATAAATATAGACAGGGGCTGGACTCGTGTACATTGATCGACCCTATGAACTGTTATTGCATAACCCTCGAAATACTCGTTCGGTCCATGGACCCAGTCGCTGCCATAATGCATGTTTGATAACCAAAAGGGTAGGGGATGCTTGTGTAGTTTGACACTGCAGTTCGGCAGGGTTGATTAGACGGTCATATCGTCGCAAAATTAGTATGTAGATCTCTAGTCGTGACGTTGGGGCCTCCCAAATCCCCACCAGGCCCCTATTCGTACAGCCGGAACGCCGTTGCGATGCCGCACATTCGCTGTAACCCGTCTAGAGCCCATACCTGATAAACAACAGGGGGAAGGGCGATTACCGATTGCCATCGGTTTTCATGCCCACCATCTCGTATTCGCCAGCTCCATCTCTTCCTCTGCCCCTGCCGCGGCCCCTTCCAAAGCCCATCTCTTCATCGTCGTGGCTTCCGCCGGCAGACCCGTTTTCGGCTGACGATGTGGCGTTGCCATCGATGTTGTTTGTGCTCCGACTGCCGTGACCTCCAAAACTAATGGGCCGTAACTCCCTCCACCGGCAGCCATATGAGCCTCCCGCGACGGTCATGGCGCACGACGTGGCCATGGTGGCCCACCAGGCGACGTGACGCGGCAGGAAGCCCGTGTACAGCACGACGATGACGAGGTGGATGAAGTGGAGGGTGAGCGCAAAGTCGAGGACTAGTTTCGAGCGGGCTATTAGGGCTACGAGCGCGACGACACTTTTTGCTGATTAGCCAAGCTTCCTAAATATTCCCGCTGTTGGTGCTGAATGACAACAACCCCAGCAGCGCATCGCACAGAGAAGGGGGAATGAGATGGCAGACGTACACGACACCGGCGCAACTCAACCACACGAACCCTATCAACCACCCCTGCGTCGTGTCGCCGCGCAGACTGGCCCAGCCGAAGACGAGGTCCAGCTTGAAAGACGATCCCATCACGAGCGTCATGAACAGCATCAGAATCAGAGCGGTGGCGTAGTATATCCCTTGTAGCGCGGCGATCTGGCCGAGGATTCGGAGGGGCGGTAGCTCGGTTATGGCGCCGGATCGTGGCGGTCTCCTCCGCCGCGCCATCTTGGTTTGGATCTGGAGGAGAGTTGAGAAGCCGGAGCTCGGGGAAGTAGGGCGCGGTCGCGCAGCTTCGCGTATATATGAATGCGAATGTTCGTCGTCAAAGTGATCTGAAGGAGCGGATTGAAAGGTAAGAAGTAGGAGTTCGTTGGAACGTCGCTATATCGTGATCATATCTGCAGTCGTGTGCTTGCTTGTCCGTTCAGTCATCCATTGGTAAGGTCGTCAGGCTACCAAAGCGCGTTGTTGGGGAGCTCGGTGGTTTCGTAGATGTGTCGAGTGGAAGGGAATACCGTAGATCGTCAGTCATAATTCGATGCTCTGATGGAGCAAAAGGGAGGCGCCAGCACAGCCAATTTTGGTACGGGCTAGTCCCGATTGAACTTAGCCTCACACAATGCCGATGTTTGTAAAGTTGCATCCCGGCAGCTATCTGAATAAGCATACATCATACTGTGCCTTCTGGCAGGGGCCCAGAATACCATGTTACGATGACTAGTATTCTGGATGTTCTGCTTGCTGTCTAGAAGGATGGGAGCTTGTCCCATCCGAAAAGTCTCTTTAGTCTAGATACAGTGCAAACGGTACCTTGTCCCTTGGGCAACAATCCGGCCCAACCGACAAGACACCTGACAGCTGGAATCAGCTGGCTCCCCATTACCAGCTGTATCCGACCTATGCACTAAACGAGCTCTTCTCAGATAGCTCTATCGATGATGAAACTTCGAGGTGGGCTCGCAGCTCTACCACCCTATCGCATCATTGCCACGACTCCTTTCGAACGAAGAAACCGCGAGCATTTCAGCCTCCCCCACGGATACAACTGCCAGGCCTCGAACCTACCGTTAACCTTTCTCACTTGCAGAAAATTGTATGAGCCGCTCCTAGACCCGACCGACAATGGGCATCCTCGGCGGCTGGTTCGCCTCGGACGACGAGAAGCGCAAAGAGGAGGTGCGCAGCGGCGCGCGGGCACCCGATCGCACGGAGCGCAAGCAGTGCTGGGAGGCGCGCGACGGCTTCTACAGGTGCCTGGACAAGCACGACGTCACCGACTCGCTCAATGGCGAGGGCAAGAAGACGGCCGACAAGCACTGCGCCGCCGAGAACCAGGCCTTTGAACAGAACTGCGCGACCGCCTGGGTGAGTGCTGTTCCCCCGGTTGACCGGCTATGGCACCGCGAGGTGTTCCTGCTATGTCATACGCAATGGGATGTTGGAGCAATGGGGTAGTAGGAGTGTGCGTAAGCTAATGTCTTGTGGTTGGGCGTAGGTCACGTATTTCAAGAAGTACCGCGTCGCCGATCTTCAGAAAAAGCAGATGCTCGCGCGCTTGGAGAAGGAGGGCGCGAATAAGGTACAGGGAGATATGCCCATTGGGATGGCGAAGAGGTGATGATGGTTGCTGTCTTTACACGAAGACAGTATATCATATGCCATGATGATGGTGCCATTCAGCTCACTGAGGAGATGAGTGGTTCTTTTCGGTGTCAACGGCTGCTTGTAACATACTGTACATCTATGTATATATTGAGTGCATTGGACGGAGTCTTGGATTGGGAAAGGAACTGCTGGAACTCCGCTCTTGGGTTGCGATGAAGCTTGGGGGAGCTGGACGTAGATTCTCGGCGCCGGCAATGGCTAGTCAACGCGGAGGCCGCCATCTCACCGACCATCTGTATCACATACTACTACGTCTGCGTGCTCATTGCTCAACCCGTAACAGTCCATCATATCTGAAATGGGGCCGCTTCAACGATGTTCCCGAAGCGTCCACCGGGCCAGCTGGGGCATTGACGGGGTGATGGATTTGGCCCATAGCAATCTCGGGGTGTTCGTGGTGGCTCAGCCTCAATCCAAGCAGATAGGTCGGTACCTAAATCGGTCACATGGCATTGTGGTTTCTCAGACGCCAAACAATGCAATTGAAAACATGTAATATGCTGCGAGTGTACAGAATAGGTTATTAAGCGACACGTTGGAGTTCCCAGAGGTGTGGCACTGGCAGTGGCAAGTGATCTGAGTGATGTGCCTGCAATGGCAATTGTTGTGACCTCATCAGGGACAGGGGGAGTGCCGACATGGTTCATACCTAGGTATTCATCAACGGTCAACCGTCCTGCCGTCATACCTGCGGTCAAATCATCAAAGCACGGTTGCCGCAGGGGAGCTTGAAGCCTTGAGCAGCTGAACAGCCGCATTAAGCAAATTGAGGTACCGGGTTTCTGTGGCTGGCGAAATGAATAGCGCTGGGGCAGTACGGGTGACGGCAAAGCCGGCATGTCGCTCGTCCCCGAAGTCTGGAAATGGATGGGCTTGGCGGGGGGCAAGGTCGCAAAACGAGATCCAGAAGACCGAGATTGAAGATCTGACAGGCCTCCGTGAATCGTGAATCGTGACTCGATGTCTCCGCCTCTTCAGTCATTGAAGTCGATGCACACCGAGGAAAGCTAAGGCATTTGTTACCGTAAGTAGTGCACGTGTATGTAATAGGTTGCGTGTCATGAATGATAGAGGCTCTCGGATTGATGAAGATATCGTGTAGTTGTAATATTATTAAATAGGGGAGCGATGCGCTGACAGCACATGCTTGGAATCAAATCTCGCATGGCGGCTCGGCTGGCTTTCATGGATTCCACCGCTGCCTGCATTTCGGGAAAATACGGCCAGGAGACGTTCAACGTTGAATATGTACGGTTCTTTTATGCAAGCCTATTATTCATTCATACCATTGATTTTCACTTTGTGTTGTCTGCCTGTCTATCAATATAGATGTCGTCTGCTCGTACAATACAACTCGCGGCATGCTATACAATTCAGGCCGGCGATGAGCTGGAGGTGGGCACCTGCAGCAACCACGGGCATCTCCAGAGCTTATAAATACAGGGGACTTGGTACCTGTCTTATTGCAGCTGACAGCCTGGCGGGGCTGGCCGCTCCGACCCGAACCCCATTCATTCCCGAGAGCGCGGGCATCGATTCTGATCAATTGTCCAAAAAACACCTGAAGTCTACGAACAAAGACAAGTATTTCGTAGTATCGACGTAGTCCTCTGTGATCATTCTGTTGTCCAGTATGGGAAAACCAGAGAATAGAATCAACCATCCAGACATCTTGATACCAGCTTGCACCTCAATATTGATGGTAGTGGAGGCTCTCGTGGCGCCAAGAAGGGGAAATGCAAATGCTTGTGCAAAACCAGACGACCGTTGTTTTTGTGCAGGCAATAGTAAATAGTACTAGCCCCATTTCCCGTCCAGCCTGCCAGCCGTGCTGCCGTCAACTGTGCCAACTTTCTGCGTCCCACACCACCACGTAACACGCAGCAGCCAGCCAGCCGGCCAGTCTTCGTTCGCATCTACAATTCTCCTATCTTCATTCAGCTTACCTCACCTCATTCACCTCACCCATTCTGTCCAGCACTAGTAGCCAACAATAACAACAACTACATCTACCACTACTATCACCTACCACATCACCGCTTCTCGACGCTGCCAATTCTAAGCCACCCACGCCGCATTCGCCCACAGTACCGACTGGATGCCACAGGTCGCTCCCCAGCCACCCCGCCGAAGCGTCTGAGGTCTGAGGTGTCTCGGGGTTCAAGCACGGATGAAGCCCGAGGATAGCTGCAAGACATGAACATGCCCTCCTTCGTGAACGACGAGAACTCGCCCATCTATCCCCCGAACGCCGGCATCATCCACCTCGACGCCCAACACGAATACCCCTTCGGGCCCAAGAAACTACCTAACGGCCGCACCCCGGTCTTTAAGAAACCCTTGCCCATCGCCATTGACCTCGCGAATGAGAGCTTCGACGACAATTCCTCCTCCCACTCCTCCCAGAGTTCCGACCCCAGATTGCGAATGAATGGGGACGGCTCGCATATGACCTCCCTGCCCAATGGCCGGCCGAGCAAGCCCTCGAACGGCGTGAACCCGGGCGAAGCCGACGCGAGATACGCCGCAAGTGCGAAACCTTCTCCGGTCGCGAGGACTTCTGCTGAACAACAACACCAATCCCCCGCCGTCAATGGGATATCCCGCCCGAGTCAACCACAGCGCCAGAGCACCTCAGATTCTTACCCGAAACGAGCCTCGGCCGAATCGTCCATCCGCACTTCCATGCAGCAGACCCCCGGCGAATCGTATCGAAAACCATTTCAGAATGGCGACGCGAGCACGATGGATGGTCCCTTCTCCGGGGCTACGCTTAGACCTGTCTACTCTCCAGCTCCAGCTGACCCGGGAGCACCTGCCAACAACCTGCAACACAACCCTTTGACGCCTGGAACCCCGGCACCCGATCCAGAGAAACGGGTAGCACAGTCGCCTCAAAGGTTTTCTTCTCCACCAAGTCTTCCGCCAACGTCTCCCTCAGCCCCATCGTTACAACCGCCTCCGAATGGACTGAAGCACCGACATACCCTAGAGGTTCCCAAGGTCCAGTCTGGTCGTGGCTCCAAGGACGGTAATGACACGGGGTATTCCAGTGGACGCTTCTCCCCTACAGCGCCAGGCCTCAGTGCTCGTAGAGGCTCCCTCAACCTAGCGAGACGGAACACGCGCTCTCTACATTCCGATATGCCCCGTGACGAGGTAATGCCCGATGATGACGCGCTGCGGTGGGCCGAGGCATACAGACAAAAACGAGCCAAGAAGAAGCGACGGGAAGAGGAAGATGAGGACCGTGTACTGGTTGGAACCAAGGTCGACGAAACCCACGCCAATTGGACGACCGCCTACAACATGTTGACGGGTATCCGGGTCTCCGTCTCCCGGACGAACGCGAAGCTCGACCGCCCCTTGACCAATGCAGACTTCGAAACTAAGCAGAAATCGACGTTTGATATGTACGTCTACCCACAGCTGAGCAAGCAAACTGACCCCCGGCTTGGTTTTCCACTGACATGCGTAGCGCTGGGAACGAGCTGGTGCCTTCGGCAAAATATGACTTCAAGTTCAAGGATTACGCGCCCTGGGTCTTCCGACATCTGCGAGCCCTCTTTAGGTTGGATCCTGCCGATTATCTGATGTCGCTCACTGGGAAATACATCCTCTCCGAACTTGGGTCCCCCGGGAAGAGTGGTAGCTTCTTTTACTTCTCTCGGGATTACAAGTACATCATCAAGACCATCCACCACGCAGAACACAAGTTTCTCCGCAAGAGTTTGAAAGACTACTACAATCATGTCACCGACAACCCGAACACTCTCCTCTCGCAGTTCTACGGCTTGCACCGGGTAAAGATGCCGTACGGAAAGAAGATCCACTTCGTCGTCATGAACAACCTGTTCCCGCCGCATCGAGATATACACACCACATTCGATCTGAAAGGTTCGACCGTCGGACGAGACTACCGCGAGGAGGATCTGGAAAAGAATCCAAGGGCAACTTTGAAGGATCTCAACTGGCTGCGCCGGAAGAGGCATCTCGAGCTAGGGATGCAAAAGAAGCAGCTATTTCTACAGCAACTTCGAAGTGACGTCCAGCTTATGCAGAAGCTGAAGATTATGGACTACTCCCTTCTAATCGGCATCCACGATTTACGAAAGGGGAACGAGGAGAATCTTCGAGACAAGACTCTGCAAGTTTTCAATCCTGGAGGCGGCGGTACATCAGAAGAAGGCCCTGACCCCGACCCGGTACTTCTGCGAACACCGTCCAAGTTGGAAAGTGCGCGTAAGGCGAGAGAGTTGAGACAGATGATCAAGGCTGAGCGGCCGGTCCCGATGGGCCAGACCAGCGACAGGATGCCGGACGAACTAGCAGAAGGACACGTCCGCGGTGGGCTATTCTACACCGATGACGGCGGCCTACAAGCGACCCACGAGGATGATACTCCTGGTGAGGAGGTGTATTATCTCGGCGTCATCGACTGCTTGACACACGTAAGTGCAGATCACTCCTGCTGGAAGGCATATATGGTAGGCATTGTGAGACGAATACTGACGTGCTGCGTAGTATGGCATGATAAAAAAGATCGAACATTTTTGGAAAGGACTATCGAGTGACCGCACTCAAATCTCCGCACTTCCGCCCGACGAGTACGGAGATCGCTTCCTCAAATTTATGTCCGGCATCACCATGTCACCAGAAGAGGCGGAGAGGGATAGACATGATCGGGAGGCGGCCGCAGCAGTAGCCGCATCTTCCTCGATGGCAGAGGCCGTTAATTCGAACCCAGACCCCCCCCATCAGACCAAGTCCCACAGTGCGCCACCAGCTCCGACCTATCTTCCCCCGGCGCCACCAGGTATGAGGAGTCCAAGATCCCCCGAACCTAATCCCACAGTGGAGAAGGCGCTCAAAATGGCTACGAGAAAAGAAAAGGATGTTGCTAAAGAGGAACAAGTCCCGGATCGGATGATCACCACAGCTCCAATGCCTACTAATGCAAGGACCAATTCGCATGCTGTCTTACCCGTAGTCGAGGAATCGGCGGAGGCGGCATCTCTTGGTGGACGCAGTCAGGGTGATAGCGCCAGCGGGCAGAGACCATTCACACCTGCACCGTCAGGGCGGCAAGATGGCTTCACCGACCTGGGACCTCATGGAATAGGGGGTCGGGGACCGCCGACACCACCGAAAACGAGCTACCTGGAAGCGGACGGCGCATACGCTGCCTCTCGAAAGAGGAGTGGCAGTGGCGGTGGAAGTTTTGGTCGAATGCTGAGACACCGCATCAGCCGCGAAAGCCTCGATAAGGCATTACCCCCTCTGCCACAGTAGAAGGCCGCACAGCGACGAGGCGTACCCGGTACCTTCGCTATGTCTGGATGCGGTGGTGAAAAGCTTCCAACGTCAGCCTACGTTCGTGGACCGCAAGTCACTAATTTTAGAACGGAGGGAAACCTACCTAATGATATAGATATCAGTCGCTATCAGGGCTCGAAATCATAGTTTGACAAATGACTATTACTGGGCCAGGCCGAGTCGATACTAGAAAGGTGTCGGGGGAGCATCGGCATGCCGAGGGAGCGGCGGAAGGGATGTATATCCTACTCAACAGTCACGGTTTCATATTTAGACCTCGCTACTGTGGGCTGAGGGGCGGAACGAGGAAGGGGGTGGTGATGGTGAGCGGGTGGTGTGTGTTGTGTTGGGTCGATGCAGAGCATTATGGGCATGTGCCCTATTTTTCCCTTTGTCAAGCTTGGCAAACTCTTGATTTCGTAGCTCGATAAGACATGATACCACCATTGCATACAATTGCATGAATTTGATGAGAGTCTAAATCATTCTGAGGTTTTGATTTGTTTTGGTTTGTTGTGACGTGAGCGTGCGCCCGTGTGTGAGCTGCCAGACATACATGCCACGAACCAAGAGGGGAGAGCTTCGGGCTTTATGCTTGCTTGGTACTCTCGGCAATGAATAGTTCCTTGATTCTTGAAGGACACGAGTTTGTTACAAATAAATTGCTTCGCGCCGCCATGTCTTAATTACTGAGTATCGGACAGAAGGTGACTATTCTCGTAATAAGGATAGTTTTGGTTCAGCCCGGGTGGTTTACTATGGCCGTGGCTCTATCTCGGGAGTCCAAGAGTGAGTTAGTTGCTTTGGTTAACACTTGTAATGAAATTCTCTTACTGCCGACATCGACATCGTCGGGTCCGTCCTTGTAGGCTAGAGTAGCTGATCAGGGGAGCAAGTTGAAGATATATCTTCGTGCTCTTTCGTCGTGGTGGTTTTCAAGTACGTGAGGAATGAATGAATGAATGAATGAATGGGGGGTGGAGTTGGGTGTTGGTCTCGCTGTTAGAACTACTGGGTCCCAGGAAATCGGAGTCATGTAGGAGGTGGGTAAGTTGGAGTATTGTCGTTGACGTGACGTTTTGGCAAGTGGATTGAGACGAGTCCCCCCCGATTTGTCTTTGGGTTTTCTCCTTCAACTCCCCGCCCGTGAAGGGAATCTAAGACGCCGCGGCTGGCGTATGGATGCGAGATAACTTACAGCATAAGTTAGCGATTTGTGCCTTGCTTGACTGGTGAAATGGACATGGGTGCTTGTCTAGGAGAGACTAGGGCGGCGATGGGATATGGCCCGCGTGGCCTGTCGAGGTCCGAGGATGGGATGACCCGTTTTGTGTTTGTAACAGCGGTGTTCTTATACATACATAACGGAGGGAAGTTGTATATATGTCGGCGATTCGTATTCCTGGATCCTAACTTATCATTGATAGGATTGGGTATCTCCGGCAACACAGTTGCTAGTTTCTTGTGCTCCTCTTTTCGCCTCTTTACTTAACCCTATTTGCCCCCCCCACCCCCCCTATGACTTGGAGTTCTTGTGAAGCGGGCTGGCGGTATGATCTTGTAGGGTTATGTGGTCGCGGGGGCAGAAAGGGCGGTCTTGAGACGGGTTGCTCGGGCCCGTGGAGTTAATAACAGTAAATTTATCTTCTCGTAAAACTATTTACAACAGGGTGGTAAATAAGATGGTCTCTTCATTCGGTGTCCGATGGCCAGGCCTGGGATGATGGTGCATAGTTAGGAGATTTGCTGGAGATCCACCGGGAGCCTCCGGAATGGATTCCTTCTCGGGGAGGCCTCAGCCACGGTAGGCAAGGCGGGAAGGCAGTATTACTCGCAATGTACAAACTCACAATAGGATAAGATATAGATGGAGGACCAGTAACTGAGCGCCGGAATCCTTAAAAATCTGCGAAATGTTTCTGTGCAGTGCTTAACCGCGCTGATCTGCTCTAACCACAAATCCCCACGGTGTACTATTGGGAATGTGCAGTTCTGTTTCTGGTGATCAGTCGGGTATAAGTACTTGCCCCCACCCGGGTTCGAATTCCATGGGCCGCATGGAGCCGTGTTCGAACTGTGTGGTGTAGAGGTGTTTCCTATGTTTGTTCGGTGGCTTCTCGGACGGGTTCGTTCAAATGCTTGATTTGCTGCCTTGACTTGTCCCTAGGGGGCTCGGAGGCGTCGGAAGACCATCGACCAAGGAGCATGATCTCGCCTGTAGGCAATCCCATGTCCTGATGTCTTTTGAGGTGTTGTCTGGGGTATCAAAAGTTTATTTTCCGGATCCGTGCCACCAGGCCAAGGCCAACTTCCCGAGGGACATTCTCCCAGTGGGAGTCTTCGCAGCTCTGTAGCTGTTAACATTGGCGGCCATGAATCCCATGATAGGCGGCTATGACGTACGCCTGGTCCAGACATGTCGCATATCGCTCGCTTTTAAGGGGCGACAAGGAGGTGACATTGGCCACCAGTTTCATGTTTGCATCGTCGCATCTTTCATGGCAAGGTAATATAGAGGACGACTATTCCCAGGCCCTGTGGAGTTTTCCTGAAATTCTACAGTGTCTGGCTTCGATTGTCCAGCTCGCACTAGATGGACCATAGGACGGTTTACTTTTCTATCTCGCGTTCGGGAGTGCCTACTGCTTTTGCCACCGGGCGAGGGGCGGTTGGGAGGTACAGCATTTGGGACGATGTATCGAAGGCGGTCAAGTAGATAAATAAAGACGTCGCTTCCAAGGAAGAAACTTGCGAATGTCTTCCTTGTGAAGACCAGGATTTTTCTTTGCGCAACTATAAAAGTCACTTGACAGTATGCCCATCACGGGCGGTGGCGGAGCCCCTGAAGACAGCCCTTGTCTTTGCTAACCCCTTCAGCTTCACATTCTCATCTCTGGCTTGCCAATGTTGTCACACTATTGATCATACATAAGGTACGTAACCTAAGGTCATGTCAACGAGAACACTCGAAATCCAACTCTGCAGCGGACCTATGATGCTGAGTATGAACATTGAAACCCGTCTATTCCATTAAGTTACTCCAGAATATCGAAGTGTTTCACAATCTATTGGAATGGTTCTGTCCACCTCAGCGTGTGGTAACACCAAGAGGTGAAATAGTCTATACAGAAGGCCGCCCAGTGATCCATCCTTCATTCGCGCTCTCCAATGCTGATGCTCTCTAAAAAAACAACCCTAGACAGATGCTGATCTGTCTTTTAAAACAATTGAATACCGCTTAGGGGAGTACTCCCAAACACTCTCCGTTGTGACGCTCTCCATCGAAAAAAGACCCGCTCCAGTCTTGGGACTTTTGAACACTGACACTCTCCTAGGAGAGTTGGAAGTTGACCTCCGTAAAGGCGTTTCGCATATACTCGCCATCCATGATGCTGTAGACGTACACTTCGCCGACGAGCTTGTACGTACCATCCGCCTGGAATCTCAGCGCGAAGGGCACCGGCGCTCCGTAGAATATGGCAATCGTATCATCAGCTTTCAGGTCCGAGGGGCCCAAGCCAACGTAGCCTTCCCGTGATAGGAATGGCTTTCGTCCTGCCATCTCCTCCGCCGCGACCATGTACTTTTCTGCTGATTGTAAGGTTGTGATCCCCGACGTATCAGATGATGTACTCCCCGACATATCAGCTGATGTACTCGAGATGTCGATGAATTTCTTGTATCGCATGTAGTTCACCATCGTGGCTTTTCGGTAATACTGACGGCCATCTTGGCTATAGGTTTCCATGCCGCCCACCGGGATCCTCGATAGCGCCCTAAAAAGCTGTGCATTGGTGCAGTCTCTGAACGGGGACCCTGTAATCTCCATTGACATGGCAAAAAATTCCCCGACTTCGTTGACGTACTGCCGGCAAACCTCCAGCCGACGAGCGTGATCGGGCGTGAATGTGGTCCCTACATCTCGCACAGAGGTCACAACTGCACCTTTGAAGGAGATATGATTGGCGACACTGGTGTCGGCTAGTTGATACCGGTAATCTCCTTTACCACACGCCATGAATCGCTGGCTGTCCAAAAGCTCTGAGGGCGGCAGTCTGACATTGTTCCAGTCGACCACCCAAGAAGAATAGTTGACCGTCTCTGCAGTGCCTTGGCATAGCTGTAGAAGTCTGGGACTCTTGCCAAGTAAAGCAGTCGAAACTTTAGTATATACCGACTCAACATCGATACTGTAGTCCGGAGTGATCTCGAGACTCTGGGCGTCAATTGACAAGCCCAGCAGGGCGTAGATCCGATCTCGAACGTCCACGACTTTCAGCGGCATATGGGCCTCGGCGACGTAAAAGCGACAGAGAATCGACATCAAAGGGTCCTTGGTTTCTCGGTAGAAGTCGCGGTTGTCGAGCAACCTCAACGCTGGCGAGTGGGAGAAGTCCGAAGGCTCGGCGTTGACCACGTTGGATGTCGTCGACTGGTCGATTACCCAGTCCAGTAGGCGGGCGGCCATCGCGAATCGGGCGAGGTCTATTCTGCATTCACCGCAGCCTATTATGACTTTCGACGGCACGGATACCGCTAGTATGCTCCATAACCTCGTCCAGTATTGCTGTTCTATCAGCGCCTTCAGAGGAGCACGGAGCTCACCTAGTCGTGTAACCAGGTCTGAGTGGTAGGGTACGGGTTCTGCGTTCTTCCTGGCGGTGTTCCGTCTGAGGACGTTGCGGAGAAGATTTGGGCCCTCCTGCAAGAAAGAGAGCCGAAAAGTCTCTTCCGTGGCGAGCCGACCCAGGCTTTCCATCGCCTCCTAGCTCAGATCATCCTCGGGTCCCAGCCACAGCAGAGTCTTATCTGCCTTGGCGTAAATCTCAGCTATCTGCGCAACTTGGGCGGACTTCTCCGCGATATCAGCATGATTGATACACAGCGCATCGATCCAGACGGTGGTAGGGTCGCTCAGCTGCTGCAAGTGGCAGAGAACCTGGTACAATCCCTTCGAGACTGGGACTGGAACCCCGTCGACGATGACTGGCTCGGACTCGACGATCGGATCTGAGGCATCCCACGAGTGCGAGACGGCCATTGACAATGAGTCCCTCCTGAGGTTGGCCAGCCGTAGGGAACACTGAATGATGGTCTTGAGTGGCGCGTCGAGATGGGTGTTTGAATCATACCACGACTGAATTGTAAGCAGGCGGACGTCGCCATTGGACTGTCTCAGCGTTGGATGTGTCTGGTGGTAGAGCTGCTTCCTCCACTCGTCCGTGGCGGCCATGGCGATGCGGATTGCGGACGGTTCGACTGAGTGAGAGTAGTAGGCTGTAGCCCGGCACTCTCGAGTATGCTGGTATGTTACCTAAGGTAGGTATGTAGTAATGAGGACGGATCCAAAAGTCCCTAAATAAGTTCCAAGCCTATTGAGTAGCGAGTGTAGGTTGAGCATGGAGTGATGAGTTGGAAAGATGTAGTGCAGTCGAGGCATTGATGTGTTGGGTGAATGCGCCGCAATGAGAGTTACCTTAGGTAAAGTACCGTAGCCCAGGCCAATCGGCAATTGGCACTTGGCAACTGGCAACTGGCAGGTGCTGTCAGGCGGGTTTTCACTTTTCAGAGCAGGTGCAGGTGGTGGTGATTCCAAGTTGTCAACTTGAAGGCTGAAGCTGCGACGCGCCTGAGCCACCCGCAGCTTCCCAGTTTCCAGTTTCCAGTTTCCAGACTTCCCATCAACAGGGAGCCATCCCCGACCTTTCTATTGACCATAACTAAGCCAGAAGAGTCCTCGCACTCTGGCTGCCGATCGTGTGCCCGGAAGACCCAGCAGTCTCGTCGACCAGCAGCGACTACATGTATCCAGGGCTGTACCTGCTGCTTGCTGCCTATATGTAGGTGACTACCGTCAAACGCTCAACAGGCAGCAGCTGACAAAGAGCTCTTTCCCTCGCGGACAGTGATAAGGCTAGCTTGGGTGTTTGACCATGTAGGTATGCCTTCCCAAAGTGCAAGCATTGCTTGGTGCATCGCCACAGCCCAGCTGCAACAGCACTCAGGGGGTGGCGTCTGTTGGTTGGCTTCCATTGGCCAGACCTTGCCGGAGCGGGTGGTCCAAGCTCCAGCGTCCCTTCGGACATCCAGTAGCGTGTCTCGACTGCAGGTGCGCTGCTAAAAAGTCAAAAGGTCGTGTATTTGATATTTCTCTCTACAATAATTCAGACAAAGCTTATCGCCTGCCGGCGACCATGTCAATTTGCAGTCCTCTATCTCGGCAATGCGACAGTCGCAGCCCGCCGCGAGCCATCGCAGAGTTCAACTAAGCCACCGCGACACGCGAAACGTGCTCCGGCATGCCGCCCAAGAGCATCGTCTTGGGCGCCACAGACGCCTGCTCCGCATGCGAGGCCCGAAACACGTCGTACTTCTCGTCATGCCACTGACCAGCCGTCACCCAGCGGCCCTCGCTATCCTTGTAGAGGGCATCGACCTCGGGCCGCAGGAAGTACGCGATGGAGTAGCGGTCCGCCGTCGCGTGGAACGGCACCACATGGTGGATGCACGAATACAGGCGGTGTTTGGATGCGAATCGTAGCGAATCGCCTACGTTGATGATGGCGTGGCCCGGCCGCGGCTCGACGAAGCCGAACGCCGCGTTGGGCGTGTGGGCCGGCTGCAGCTGCAGCCCGTACTGCTCGCTGAAGAGCAGCGTCAGCGAGCCGATGTCCGTGTGCTGCTGGTGGCCCACCGTGTTCTGCCGCGCCTGCGTCGCCAGGTCGCCCGGGATGTAGCGGAACATGGCCAGCGTGCTGTTAGACGGCCGCGAGCTGCGGTGCAGCGTCTCCAGCCGGTCCGTGCCGGTCAGGCCCATGGCGTTGGACAGGCAGGAGAGGATGGTTTTGGTGATGATGTCGCCGCCTGCCGAGAAGTCGCGAAGAATCTTGATGTCGTCTTCGTTGTTGAGGATGCTCGGTAGGTTGGGCGAAGAGGATGCAAGCTCGGACAGAGCAACCTGATCTTTCGTCAATTAAGACCATGCAGTGAATGGCTGCGACTTACCTTGAGGCACTCGTACCCATCTCTGCTGTTTTCGGTGAGCCCAGCATGCAAGCCGATGGGCTCGTATCTTTCTCGGAGTCAGTTCTGGGTATGATAGGAGTTTGCTTGCAAGGGGCATTTACCCATGCTTCTGTTCAGGAAGCCCGATTTCGTTCTTTTCTTCCAAGGAGGAGCCGAAAAAGCAGCGCATGAGTTCGAGCAGCCTCTGCTCGTCATCTATCGTGCGGCGGCCGTCGATGCCTCGGAGGTCCACGTAGAAGAAACCCTCTTCTTCGCAGCTTCGAAGAAGCTTCTGAATCTCGGCTGGCTCGTTGGACAGGAGCTTACCAAAATCGATTGTCTTGAGGTCGAGGACTGGCACCTCCTTGCCTTCGTGCTGCATCGTTCGGAGAACCTTGTCAGACATGGTAATGAGTTGGGGATGACTGTATGATTGTATCAAGGATTGTTCAAGATGAATGATGGGGTTTGTGGCAGGCTTGGAAATTGGGCGCTGGTGCTTCTCTGTGATCATATCACTGCTCTCATGCGGGAGTCTTACTGTATTTATATTTCATGGACGGACTCCTTCGCCCTTCTCATCCCCAGGCCTGCTCATCCCATGAAACGTGACGTCTTGTCACGTCGTCCTCTTCGAGGACTTGCCTACACATCCCCAACTAGGATGTGATCGAGATCCAACGTCGTCACCTGCACCGAAAAAGTTCTTATTCATCAATGACTTCTCTACACATCCCCAACTAGGATATGATCGAGATCCATCGTCGTCACCTGCACCGAAAAAGTTCCTATTCATCAATGACTTCTCTACACATCACCAACCAGGATGTGATCGAGATCCAACGTCGTCGCCTGCATCGAAGAAGTGATGGAGGTAAATCTTACGACGTACCTTGAGCTGTAAGTATGTGGGCCATCCAAAGGAACGGCCAGCCTCTTGCGTGTGAGGACTCGAGTACGGCGTATCCCGTGGGATTCCATCATGCATACCCTCCAGCGCTGACAATGTCTCGGTCTCAGTCGACGAGCCTTTGAGGCTCAGGTGAAAAGATGTCATAGCTCGCACTGCTGGATCAGGCTTCGATTATCCCAGCGTCAGTCACACCCCAGACCACCTCACGACTCACATATGCGCCAACTCCCGGCGACCACAATGGATTCATATGCACGGAAGGCGGACCGACCGTGGGACGCCCCGGTCCGAAGAAGGCTCTGCATGAGGATGATGACCTGGTCGCCCTCTGGTCCAGACGTTCGTCGCGCAACTGCAGATGCAATAGATGCATTAGGATACTACAAACCCCCATCGAGAAGTATACCCATGATGGGACCAGATCCTCCGTCTTTTGGGCACATCCCCAAAGACTTGCACTGCATACGACATTGGTTAGACAGGTTAGGTTGGGCGGGCGCGGCGATGGGCGCGACGACAGGCGCGACGGCCTTCAGGTAGTGGTAGCACGGACCACTTTGGTCGTAAATCACTACTAATTAGAGGTACCTCTATTTTGGTGGCGGTATTTTTAGGGAAAAACACGATACGATACGAATATTATACGTATTATACGACAGGGGATAAATACGGACACCTACCCTAGTCAGTGGAAAGATGTGACGGAGTTTTAGACCCGCGACGGCGACGCGTCAAGTGACGGCGATGTTGATTTCGAGGGTGGATAAAGTGACGCAACATGTGGCTGACAACGCCACATTCAGGGGCCGCCCCGGCACGAAACCATGCTCACGGGCATTTGCTTGGCATTGCCTCACTAGAGCCTCCACGGCAGCCCCTTTTCATATCCCTTTGCCGCCCATTTCGGCACCAGTGGGACTACAGGTCTATGCACTCAATCAAAGTTCTAGAACAGGGGTATTATTGGGTCCGGATTTACCTGGTGCCGAAATGGGCGGCAAAGGGATGGAGTCCTGCTATTTGCACCTTGTCTCTACCCCCATCTCCCCAGGCAGCTTGCAGCCGGCTGACCACCAGGCTCACAGCTTACCATTAGATCGAGATTGTCGGTGCGGTGGTTGTCGCAGTTGTCGGTGCAGTTATGCTAATATAGGGGGCTATATTGCAGCTGGCTGGCAGTTAGGGTGCAGAGACAAGGTGCGAATAAGGAATTCTAACAAGGTGCAAATAGCAAGACTCTTCATATGTCACGTTCGAAGCCTCAACCGAATGAGCGCAGGCGAAAGGAAGATCGAGAGAGCTCCTCATTAGAGGAAGCAACAGAGCCTTAACAGCATCCCATTTCCTATTCAGAGACGATTGGAGCCTGCTGGAGATCAGGAGCCCCTCTGGGCAGTTGGATTTTGCCAGGGTTAACGAGCTCACCGCCTGCCTCGTTGAGTGATGGCATCACTCGCGAGATATGATTTTCATTGCGTTTTCGAGATTTTCAGAGCTCGACAGGTGGTCTAAGAGACCAACAGGGTGAAGGAGGTATCGTTACAGTACGGAGGAACGGCAGCAGGAATATTGCCACGGCGGCGAGGTGACCGCCTACCTGTTGGAGGAGTGTATTACTCGTTAGAACAGGATTTTCTTCGCGTTTTCGAGCGTTTCTAAGCTCAGGGAATGCTTCCAGGACCACATACAACCTCCAGACTAAGCTGCATAAGGGCGTGTGAGCAGAATCTACCTTTATATGTAAGCAGTATATGGTGGGCAGCACGGGTGTCGGGGCCATGGGCCACGCCACCTTATAAGTGGGTTTCTGCTGCCAACGAACAGTAGATAGACCATCCTCAAGACAACAACGCTGTCACGTTCATACTGTACTCATCGGTTCACGGATAATGCCCTCAACTTTGATTGAGAAAGTCTCGGTGTTGGAAACAGCAAATCTTGATGCAACGAAGTAGCCTGCTAAATTAGATTCCCTCGAGGTCAGTCAGGGCCTTTTGACATATAACCAGCACCGTCCCGCCCTGGGTGCATCTCTCTACATGACTAGCTCTGCGGTTCCGATAAATTTATCATCAAGCCCTGCGTGTGTCATCCCCATCAATACCAAGCGTACGTATAGGTCGGGGTTCGAATCCGGGCTGAAGCAAAAGTTGAACGAGGCTTTTCACGTGCACATGTGTACGCCCAGTCAAATAGGGCCGCTCCCGGAAGTGTCGCGCAAGCTGCATCTCCATGGACACAATTCGCTGGCGCAGCTGTGGTGGTTTGTCAATGTTCATGGACGAACCTTGTGTGTCAAGGGGGGCTGTGACGGACTTGGATTCCGTCGATACATATACCACCATAGAATACCAGCTGCCATGCTTCAAGAAATCAGTAACCAAATCATCACCCTTTCCCCGGTGCAGGCGTGAAACCTTCCTATTCCTGGATTCAACGGGTTGAGTTCACAAAAACCAATATATGCTTTACTCGAAACGAACTCGAAGCCCGCGGCTGTCCGGCTTGGGGGTTCCTACATCGCTGTCGTGGATCGGAACGATGTCAGACTCGTCGCAGTCCAGACTCATCTTATGGCCTCCTGGCCTGAAGAGAATGCTCAAGACGATGTACATCCCTGCCCAGGCAAGACGGTGTACTCATGTTAGCATCCCTCGTCGGCGGTGAAATGCCTGGATTGAGACTCACTTGAGGCCCACGCAGTTCCTGGAGCCCTCACAAAGGGAACAAAGTTCCGGTTTACGCGGGGATCGACATCGCCAATCCAGCGGTCGGGGACAAACTTATAAGGGTCGGGGTAGACTTCGGGGTCCATATGTAGATGGCAGACTGACATACCCACTGGCGTCTATGGAACAGGTTGTAAGCTATTGCCTCTCTGGCCATGTGGTGGGTGGCGGGAGCTCACGTTCTTCGGGATCGTCCACTGTTTGTACTGGAGATCCTGGTCGGGGGATATGCGAGGACTACGCCTCATGAAGCGTGCGAGACTATGTTCATAGAGCTGTCTCAGACACAGATTCAGCATACCATGTGGGATCGGAGCGTACCGTAAACCCTCTTTGATGCATCCAGTCAAGTAAGGAATCTTCTCAAGATCTGTCCACCGGGGGACTTTCTCAGGATAGCAAGCCATGGCTTCTTTGAGTTCGTCGCGGAGTCGGTCCTGGATGACAGGGTCTTGAAGAACGAAGTACGTTATGAGAGTCAGAGTAGCGGCGGTCGCAATTGTCCCAGCGGCGAGGAGCGCAAATGCTTCTCTGTTCAAACGCCCCGGCTCTTTCTCGGCCTCTGGCAGATCACTCAAGAGGAGATGATGGAAGACTGAGGTCTTCTCATGGTACTCATCGCGCTCCCTGCCGCTGGACAAATGGGCCTTGATCTTCTCTGTATGTCCTTCACTGAGCTGTAGAATCTCGCAGTGAGTATAGATATCAAAAACACTCGGGAGGTGCAAGCAAGACTGACCAGATGAAACATCCTGAAGCCGGCTACGTGTGGATTGATGGCTTTCAAAAGCGCCACTGGAACCATTGCGGCGATGCTTTGCAGATGGTTAGCATTCGGCATGTAGCAAATTCGGGAGCGGGATTCATTACCTGTTGATCCAGGGGAAGTTCCTCACGATTGGCACCATGGTCATTATTCCCGTCAAAGAGTTGAACCTAAGCAATGCACATTGAAAGGTCGGCAGCCCTTCCGAAGTCACAGCAAAATAATCCAGAAGCAACTGACCATTCCGGGCTGAAGTCAGGTTCCTCAAGCAACTCTGGGTTCTCGCCGCACGCGAACTGGCCCGCAAGGTCTCCCGAGACGCATGAGAAGGCATGGTCGAGGCGTACGACGGCGCCTGTTCCTGCGTAGCTGTGCAGCTTCTCATCCAGACTCCTGGCTTCTGTCTAGATCCTTGTCTCTAGACGAGTCACGCTCTGTTTTGAAAAGAAGCCCTCCACGGCTTTCCTCCTCAGCTGGTGCAGCTCATGGGGAACCGTTGTCGAGATTGCATCTATGCGGTCTGTTAACTACTGCCTATCATCACCGAAAGCCTCTCGATGGATCTCGGGCATTCGGCCTCTCTTACGGTCCAAGAGCTTGAAAATGAAAAACTCGCGATCCTGGAAACAGAAGAACCATCAACTCACCCAACATGCCAAGACCAGCGCGATTGCCTGCGATCAGATTTGTCCTGCGTTTTCCCCCCAGAACGTACAAGTCATTGTAATATTCCGCGTCTCTGATAGATAGCTCATGTGGATTGACCCGGACAATGGGACCTCGAAAATTGTCAGCCTGGGCTGGGCCGCAAGTGCTTATGCATGGATTTTACCATGTTTGTCATGAAGTCGCGTCAGAACATCTGGAAAGTTCCCGCTCCTGAGGTCAAACCACCCTTCGTACCAGCCTGTCGCCGCAGCAATTGTCGAACCCGGGAATTTGGCGAGGGGGGAGAAGTAGAGACGGTAGATGACCACGAGAGTCTGCTAGACGAGGAACACAGCAAAAGCACCACCTGCGAGGTCACTAATATCGAGCATGGCTGAAGTCGCTGCCGGCCGGAGACTGAAGTTTCTCGGGATTCTGGTTAGCTGAAGATGCCACAGGTCGCCAAAAGACGTGGATGAACACACAGAGCTAGTAGTAATGATAGTTTGGAGTTCGAGGAATGACAGCACGCTGTTGGAAGGATGTCGAGGTACACTCCCGGCTAATACAGTACATACCCGTCCTTATCAAAAAGTTCCATAGGAAAGTTCCAATGGGGTAAAGTTCTACCTATTACTATTGCAGATACACGTGGAACCGCTAACTATGCATCCCCTGCATCCTGCAGATCCTGCATGAGCTAGGGTGGCTCGACGGAGATAATGCAGTCACTGCAGTCAGAGGATCTGAGATTCGGTCGGGGGGAAGCTCATGGCGGCCCCAGACACCACGCCGGCGACACGAAGAGCGCCCAGGACGCCGAGTTGCGCGCCGTGTTCGACACCAAACTTCTGGGGCATGGTCGACGTGACCAAGAAGGCCCCTCGGCGTCTTCCGCGATGATAACCCCAAGACCGGCCAGCGGGGCGGCGTCGTCGTCAAGGTGAGCTTCTACCACGCCGGCAAGTTCGCCATGGAGGGATGGACCGAGTCCGTCGCCAAGGAGGTACTGCCGGCCTGGAACAGTGAGTGGCAGTCCGTCCGACGCATTTAAAAGGAATTGCAATCCCCAGCAGCAGACGAAGAAAACCTAACCCATCCTTCTTCCATTCAGTCCACCTGACCAACATCGAACCTGGCGGTGTGAAAACCCACTATGCGACGTCTTCCCTCGTGCCCATAGCGAACAGCCACCCGGCGTACAGCGACCCCAGCGCCCCCTCGAAGCAGCTCCTCGGCTACATCCAGAGCGAGCAGGGCCGCAGCATGTGGGCCGAGCCGAGCCGAGCGCCCTGGCTGCCACCATCTTCAACATCGTGGGCCGTGGCAGCCACATCCCCATCCGTGTCCCGCTGGGAGCCGACGCCTGGGGGCTTATCTCCAACGAGCTGGAGGAGACGAAGAAGGACATGGAAGAGCTGAAGAAAGTAAGCTTGGGCGCGTGAGACAAGAAGCAATGGGAAACCATTGATTTTCTGGCGAAAAGATTGACTGTGAAGTGGGAAGGGGGGCCGAACTTTTTGCCGACTTGGGTTCTATGGTTAGCATCTGTGTGCTCCCCGCTGAGGACTGAAGATGAGTGAGGAGGGTGTGAGGATATAGATCGTGAGCTGATGCAGATACTTCTCTTGCGGTTTCCCGATCTTGGTCCATCCCTGATGAAGTCGGTAACTTATGAGCTGACCATCTACCACGGCCTGTACAGTCATGTCCTGTTACACTGCCAGTAAAATCGAGCGTGTTCTTAGAGATACCTGTAGTCAGTTTTTCCCAGCTGGACGACGGCGTCCAACCAACTGACAACGGCCAAGGGACACGGTAACTGCCCGAGTTAGCCTTTCAGCCAGCCCAAAATTCAGCCTCCTAGTTATCACCTTGACAGGTAATCACTTGGACGGCGACGCGTTGAATGTGCTGCGGTCCGACGTGTACGCAGTGGACCAGGAAAGAAGGATTCCAGGTTGGTGGTGAAGCTGTATAGAAGCCCGGGGCTGAAGAGTAAGTGTTGTGGTCCGAGGACATAGGTGCTCACTGCTTTGTGCGGGTATGAGCACGAGACTGTTGATTATGAGGTACCAGTCTCGGCTGACTCATGGACGAGAAGATGTTCTACTGCACCATGATGGAAAATTTGGAGGTCAGTACCTACTCGTTGCGAGCTCGGGTTTTGGAGATGGGGCAAACCGTGAAGGGGGTGGGCGAACAGTTGTAACTAAAAGGAGTGGGCCAAATGGCATCCCCTGATTTCCGCACACGCTAGGGTGTGGGGTAGGATTACGACGCGCGGTCTCTGCTCAAGACCGGAATCTCTGAAGTTGACTACAAAACTAAGTAAGCATCTTGAGGAACTCTGTGAGGTAGCTCCCCGGCTTGTATTCCTCTTAGAATGTATAGATATATTACTTACCATCACCACTACTGGTGAGAGACGGTATGAATTGACGGGAAAAGATGCTATAGGGGCGTCATGAGGTAAGCTAGGTAGGCAATGCCATACATCCACTCCCGACAGTTTCCGACGAGAATGACTAGCAGATTTCATTATGACACGTCAGCGACATTTCCTGACGGCCTTACGTATGTTTTTTCAAACCGATTCTGGTCTATCTAACATCAGAAGTGCCTAATTTACCCTCATCCAGGATCTCTACAACAGCCCTGCCCCGCAAAGGTGACTCGAGCCCAGATCGCAACACGTTGATCGATCAACTTTGAATATCACAGCCGCGTACTTCTCAACAAAGATGCCAGTTGCATGAAAAGCACATGTTCCAAATCCAGCATACGTCTCAAGCTCCTGCTACGAATGCCCCATCTAAAACAAAGACCAAGGACTACAGAGTCCCAGGCCTGCTGAGTTCCAACATCCCTGCTCCCCATCCTCGGATATTTCTTCTTTGGCTCATAACTTCCACTTCTGCAGGAGATCGAAGGCCAATTGGCGGATGCCGAATTCATCACCTTGAGGAATGTTTGGCAGCACGCTTATCTGTCGCAGAGTGTCGTGGATGCCAGACGCCTTGAGCGTGGACGGCTCGATGTCGCCGAACTTGGGAGTCCGTGTAGACAACGGGCCATGTGTTTCATCTCCTCGCTTCGAATGCGGCTGTGTAGTGCTGCACGACGGACACAAGTCGATCGGCTCGGCGTACGGTATTTCTCTCGAGCCGAAGTGTGCGGCCCACACCCCTCGCCAAAACTTGAGCTCTCCGCCTACTTCATGGAATGACTCCTTCAAGTTGAATTTCCTTGCTTCATCGCGTGCGGATCGAAAGGTACGATGAAGCGCCCAAGCGATTTTTTATATAGAATTTATGTCTCTGGTCCTGATGCCATCGAGGATAACGGCCTTGTACGCCCTGAGCTTGTTTCCCTCGGGAGTTCTCAAGTTCGCGAAGTTGAAACCGGGAAGTCGGAAGATAACGTCCATAACTTGAGGGGTGGTGGACACTGAATGATCTCGTGGGTCCAATACGCCGTTAGAGCTTCCGGCTTGCGTATAACCCAAAGTACACGGGGAGACAACGTGTTGATCAGCTCGAGGTGACCTTGTATCTGCCCGGGGTGGCTTGGATGGAAGGGGGAACTGTAGATCCATGCTGTCTTGTGTAAGCTAGTAGTGGTAGAGAACGCGTCACTTACTGACGGCGTCGTGCTACAAGGAAAAAAAAAAGAATAGAAAGAAAAACTCACTTTGGTAGCTCTGCTACGGCGTGAGAGACCTTGTGTATGCAGGATAGGCGGTAGGCATAGAGGTGCCCTCCTCGCACTGAATGTCGGTAGACGGGTGTGGGGGAAGACGCGGAAGAAGAATGTCGCGAAGATGCGGTTCTTGTATCTGCTGTCAGAAATCACAGGGTGGTGCGCTGGAAAGGGTCGTGGAAGATGCCGGTGGAAATGCCTGAGGAAAGCGCACAAAACCCGCTGGGCAGTTCTTCAGCGGGTCGTGAAGGAGATGGCCCCACCTCGGATCTGGCACTTGTCGCTTGTACCCAGATGGTTTTGGATGAACGAGACGTGCCTGAGGTGAACGTTAGAATGGCATGATACAAGAGAGTGTTTCCGAGGGAAGGGGGGTTTACCGGGTCGAGTGCAATGGTTGCACGATTCAACCAACGCGTATGCAAAAACGGTCGAGCGTGACGGAGTGCCGTCAAGTGTTAAGAAGGTAGCACACCCAGGTACCAGAGAGAAGCTTGTCAGTTGAACCGGGTGGTCGCAGATGGAAGGTACCTCAGAAACGTGTCTTCAAGTTTGATGACACTGCGAAGTATCTGCACGGAAAGCTTGCAGAGAAAGGCCGCAAGGACGGAGTGAATTGATACACGCCCGTTACCAAGAATGACTATCAGGGCTCAGGAAGGGAATTACCAACCTAGAAGCAGGATTCCTCTTAGGGTGGGGGAGGGAGAGATGATGCACAAGTCCGAGGAAGAAGGGAAAATGTGTGGGTGGGACTTAAATCCGTCGCGGGCGAACTGAGCGCGAGACTGGTATCTGTCGTTGCCCGGTCAGTGTACCTCCTTCTCCCCCATACACCCACCGTGACCTCAACTTGTCCAAAGATTTTTTCATGTGCGGTGTCCCTCCTGGAACTCCTCCTGTTGAATGGCGCGCAAGCCACCGTGGCGTTCAGGGAGGTGGCCGTGCACTGAACACGCCCAATAGGGCATTTTGGGGCCACCTAGCCCGCAACAGATCCTTCCAGTTAGGTACACACACATACATGGACAAAGGTATCACTGAATACACGTCTATCCACCATATGAACCACCTTACTCACTATTTAATACCATCTAGCACTTGAGCACTTCCTGCTATCAACCTCCAGAGGCACAGCAAGCCTACCAACTTGCCTGTTCACGAAAGTAGAGAGCTTACGCATGTTGCTCGGACGAGGCACACTGGGTCTATGATACCGGCACATTTTGTGCTCATGGGCAACGATGTCACCGGGAGTTCAAATTCAGGCATCTCTTTGGCAATTGTAGGTAGAACAGGCGCTGTTCCGCTTCACGACTGACCTTCAGCTCAGGTCATGACATCCTGGTCACTTGCTTCGCAGCTGTATACAGCCACAGTGACATTAGAGCTGGTTAGGGTAAGGACCATTATGTCAAGATGTTGTGGCCTTCAGAATGGATAGCGTTGGGACTATTCTAGAAACAATTTCTCTGTAATTGTTTACCTAACCCTGAGCGCAAGTCCATACAACCCTTGTCTCCGACTGTTCAGACCTTCGTCAGCACACTGATTACCTGACACATGCCTGTACCAACGACCTGCCCTGTGTCAAAACAGCCTTGAGGTCGGTCGTCTAGCGTCATCGTCGTAGTCCGCCTCGGCTTGACTGCGGGTCTTGTCGGACGGGTGCCCAAAAAGGGTCTGAAGGTTCTGGGTCTGGTTGGACGGGTAAAGGATCACCGAGTTGTACAGCCGACAACTTCGAATGCAGTGGAATGGGGTGAGATTCTCCCGGAGCATCGTCTGGTTCTCCCGGAGCATCATCGTCTGAATCTCCCGGAGCATCGTCTGATGAATCTGGTGGTGGACTCAGGGAAGATTCTTCCGAATCATCGTCTGATGGTGGTGGGGATGCCACCTCTCGCTGTTTTCCCTTGTCGATGGTCGGGATCCGCGGTTCGGAGTCGCTGGTGTCCATGTACACGGTGGTGGCGAGCCCTCCTAGTGTTAGTCTTTGCCTCTTGGGTGGGCTGACCGATCCGCTCGTAGTGTCCTCCTGGTCGTAGTGCCCATCCTCCGAGTCTCTTCCGCGCTTTCCTAACCACACCTTTCGTCTCTCTTCGATCGGATCCCACTGTAGGTTGCTGTGTCAGCGATGGCATCACGCATCGATACTGGCTATGAACGAGAGCCCAGGTTCCTTGGTCTTGGATGAGTTGGAATCCTCCGTCATTGACAAAGCTCGGATTATGGATGGAGATCATTGTGGTGTGGCCCGGCAAAAAAAACTAAAAAAACTCACATATGTTTGGCCGTCCGTCATTCGGTTCCATGTATCGATCAACTCTTGTATCATGAAGTTGCCCTTCCTAGTTATGACCGACGAGTAGGTTTGCCCGCCGGGATTGGACTCGAGGTACCGTTTTCGGGACATTGCGTAGAAATGAACGATATTTGGGACATGCTTATGAGCATCGTTTTCGCGGCCCTCGGGCCCGATACGTTCCCACCAGACTTCCTATTTCGCAAATAGTGAAATTAGTAAGAGTAACGACGAGTCAGTGAAGGTCCGTATACTAACCTGCCAGAACATGTCCGAACGTAGGCACCCGACCCCCCGCAGCTTAAAAAGCTGAATGCAACTGTGAAACAGGTAGTAAATACCAGCCCGGATCTCTAATGGTGTAGCTGTGATAATGGACCGTTGGCTGCGCCTGAGGAGGATGACGTTCTATGCACTGATCGGGACCTCAGACCGCAAGAGTCTATGATTGTACAAAATGAGTGGGATTGTCATCAGTGGAAGATAGTCCTTCGGCTCCAATCGAGGTTCTTGGGCCATCGTTGATGTTCGTCTACAAGCGAGTAGACATCCGATTGAGTATAATGGTTGTCAATGTTTGGGGTGGCGAAAGAGAGGAAGCGAAGCTGATGTCACCTAATAGTTATCCAACTGTAGGCGAGCTGCTCTTGCTTGAGCACCGATGGATCTCACCTTCCCCGGCATCGTGGGGCCACCCCCGCCCGAAAGCGCACCTGGGTGAGTTGCCTCGGCACAAAGGAAGCGACCTTTTCAGAATGGCGGCTTCTTAAACTTCATTTTAATGACGTCTACACGTCGAGATGTTCTAGGTTGACTTGCCCGCCAGACATTCACCACTACTGTACGATACAGTCACCCCCCATAAGTGTCCGTCCAACATCCCTCTGTCTAGTCGAGGATACCAATGCTGTGTTCATACTAATTGAATAAGCACACTGGAATAAGGGGCGCTAATTCAAAAATGCATCTTTGATACTTATTGCAGAGTGCTGATCCCATTCCAATAAATATATCTCTCGCTTGCTGAACAAGGGATGTACGGAGTCTTCTGACAGTTCAGTGTTCCAATGTAGGTAAACACGCTTGAGCTCAACCCATGCTGGCACGCTGGCAGAAAATCGACACATTCTTGAGTATAGGTAGGTACTTACCTATATGAACAGATACAGAGAAAGAAGGTGTCAGACTGCCAGAGCTGATGTGATGTAGATCAGGTCGTACTTTTCAGGCTGGGTAGCCAAGGTGATGGGTAAATTACCCGTGCTGTAGATGCGCGCCGCACAAGGCAATTCTTATGGCAAATTCTTGGTGAACTCATGTATGACTGAACCTATGTCCTCGTGCCATCACCAATAGCCAGCAAAGAGGCTGGTGGACTTCTACCCACGATGCCGTGAGTGTATCGCCACGGCGCCCGCGGCAGGAGCCTGTATTACTCGTGTGCGGGGCCGTCGTCTGTCGCCGTAGATTCGTCGACAATCCACCTGCATGTATATGGAACCAAGTCTACATACCCAGAGCGAGCAGAACTCACAAGGGAGACCGTTGGTGCTGACACATTGCTGTTGACCGTTCCCTTACGCACCGCCCCCTGGTCGGTATAATCGAAGACGGACACACTGAGGTTAGCCATGAAATCAGGCAACGCCTACGCCTCAACATGCAGTGGCTCAACGGACACACCCGCCCAGACCTAGTGGATCAAGTGAGACCTCGTTCGACAAGCCACATTTTCATAAAATCAAATGTCACACTGGTCCTCTTCGAGATAACTACAGAGACGTTCTGGGGTGTCGCTCTCAGCCGAGCCTAGGTCGACACGAGTGATGTATTGAGCTTCATCTACTATCTTCACGCCCTAGACATACCACACCTGACAGAGTGGACTCACATACATGCCCGACTTTCATCACTCGCATACCCACGTGTACGGGAGACGCACCCCACCGTCAAACGCCATTTCGATGGGTTCAAAAGCTGTAACCACGTCCGATCACCCACAGTAATCGGGGACATGCCTTTGCAGTAGCTGAAGAAGTCGAAGACTGCTGGTAATTGACTCTCGCGCTTGGATGTTTGATCTGTTGCACATTAGTACGAACTTCATCAACAAGAAGTGTGACATGTAAATCTTGAATTGCTGATCAGATTGTGGTTTATCGATCAAAGTAGAACTCAGTCCCGTCTTGAAACATATTTGGGTGACATATATCATCATAACAGCTGTATCCAGGGGCATGCCGGTGCGAAGAGAAAACACTTACATTTCATGGGGTGATCAGCCAGCAATGGCTTCACCCAAAGAACCCCACCCACTGCCTGTCCAAGGTGCAATGAAGATCGCTGTCTGGGCATCGGCTACCTTGCCCGTTCCGGCATATGCATCCGCTAAGTCGATGGCACCAAGCTCACCTCGAGGCGGGATGGCCTTCATGGCAACGTTGAGCGCCATATCAGCCGGGTATTCCTCACCACTGAGCTGAGCAAGGTGGGACCACCCGTGGGGCAGGTGGGGATACAGCATGACGTCGTTCTGGACCTGGGCGATGACATCTGCTTCTGTGCTATTCTCAGATAAAGCAGCGACAGCCCGGAAAATCTCGCCGATGTGAGAATGCTCCGTATCTGTGACCTTCTCGCTTGTGCGCAGCGTATGCAATTCGGATACGACTGCCTCCAGAGATTCCTCATCGTCATCCAACAAGGCGACAACGCCCAGTAACAGGACAGACTGGACGTGACTGGCATCTTTGTCGATGACTTCGAATAGGATAGTGCGTGCTCTTTCGCGAGCTTTATCAGTACCCGTTGCCCACAACACCTGGGCCAAGAGGCAGGCAGCATCGGGGTTACCGCTAGACTCCTCAAGCGCCGTTTCGAAGTACTTCACTGCTGCGTCAGCCCTGTTGGCGAAGTACTCCGCCAAGCCCATGGTCAGGTGAGCTGAAAGCCGAGCTTCGGTGCGTTGCTCGGCCGGAAGCTCGTTCGCAGACTCGTCGCTGCTCAACTGTAGCGCCAACTCGCCACATTCAGTTGCCTTGGCGTACTCGGCGGCAGCCAGGTAGGAGCGAGCGAGATCGGTCTTAGCCAGGGCGAACCGTCCGAGTGATTCAGCTGATTCGGTGGCTTCGTAGTTCGCTTCCAGTTTCTCGCAGGCTTTCTCAAGAGTGGCTATTGCCGCAGAATTGTCGTCCGTTCGCTCCTGGTACAGAGTGAGTAGATGCTGGTATGCAATATCCTGAGGACTCAGGCGTTGTAATTGTGTAAGTGCGAAAAGTGGATGAATCAAGGAGATAGCATCTAAACTCGCAGAACACGTCAAAATGTGATCAAATAGGGACGTGGGGTATTGGCGTCTTGTTAGAAGTGATGATGATTCTGAGATGTCCATCGCATGAGTGAGAAGCCCACGAGCCTCTTTGGAGTCGCCATAAAGGAGAGCAACAAAGCCTTGTCCAAGCCAGGCGTGAGCGTAGTCGGGGTCGTTGGATTGCGCTCGGGTGAATGCCTCATTCGCCAATTGGACATCGTTCTGGAGGAGTGCCAAAGCACCGAGGTTTGTCCATCCATGCGGACTTCTTTCATTCAAGAACAGGCTTCGGACAAACGCGTGTTGAGCCACAGATGGGTTGATTTCGCTTGTCACTACACCCAATGAGTTCCAAAAGTCGGGGTTGCCAGCTTCCAACTCGATCGCACGTTTGAAACAACGCACTGCCGCCTTCTGATACCTGCTGGACTGGACGCGAAGCTGCGAGGGAAGACACATATGGGCTCGGTTTTCCGCCCAACCCAGATTGTAATAGGCGACGGCTTGAGCGTGGATGTCCTGAGCCGACAGGTGTATCGCTCTCTTGTGGGCAAGGATGGTTGCATGCAAACATCGTGTCAGGTCCACGCCAAGCTGTTCATCATCAGGGAATATGCCTTGCGCGAGAATGACCTCTTTGCCGACTTCATCGACGTCCCTGAGCAACGCATATGCTGAGTCGGGACTAGTGCCAAGATCCAGAAGTTTGCCGATGTCTTCGGTAGGCAAATCGTGAACACGGCTTTGAACTAACGAGAAGACGGAACAGGAATCTCCAACCGCTTTCCAAAAATTGAAGGTGTCGGCAACGCTCTCGGGTACAGTGAGCGCGAACGACAAGGTCTCACTAGCCAACTCGATGGATTTCCCAAATAAGCCCTTCTCAACGCAGTCCAGTGCATTCTCAACCATGGTCTGCATCAACGCGATGGCGACGCCCTCTTCTTCGGACCGACTTGAGATGACCTCACGATAGAGGCTAACAGCCTCGTCGAACTCACCGAGCTCCCGCTTGACGTTAGCAAGCATATACTCGGTGAACCATGTATCGTTCACGGCTTGGGCGTTGGTGGTTGTCTCTAGCTTTTGTGCATGCTGTATTGCCTTTGTCGCCGCAATGTACCGCCCAGAGTTGTGATAGCTTTCGCCAAGCCCTACCCACGAATGGTAGTCTTCTGGTGCTATCCGGAGTGCTTGCTGGAATGAAACGATAGCCTTGGCGTAGTTCTGCTTATTGAGCTCGGCGACACCGAGTGCGGATAAGGGCCAACTGATCCCTTTCTTCTTGGATCCCGGAGGTGGCTTCACTTTACCAGAATCCACCACTCGCTGCGCCACTAGTTCGACGCGGTCCCAATCGCCATCATCGGCGAAAGAACGCGCGAGTCGCTCAGCAGACTCGACTTCGGCGGAGGAGAGCTCGACAGCTTTCAAGAAGCACCTGCGCGCTCGCTTTTTATCCTTTGCGTAGTCTGCGTAGTATATCCCGAGGCTGCTGTAAGCCGGTGCGTAGCTGAAATTGCTCTTTAGTGCATCCAAGAAAAAGACGTATGCTCCATGACGACTCTTCCTGGCCGCCTTGGAGGGGTCGATGTTCCATATACAGCACCCTAGGCGATGTTGTGTCTGGGCTATCAGGTCCTTTGATGCGGACTGGCTGGTCATGGACGGAAGCAGAGACTCAAGTTCAGCCTTGGCGCGGGTATAGTCGCCCTTCAACGCATATAACCACCCAACCTCAGCACGAACACGGAGGTTTCCACTATCACCTCGCAATGCCCGGTCGAGGAACTCAATCGCTTGGTCGATCTCCTCCTCCTCCTCGTAGATAAGACCGACGCCAATCATGGCCGAGGTGGAGGTAGGGTCGACCTCGAGGACTTTATCAAACAAGAACTTGGCTTCGCCATGATTTCTCGGGGACTGATAGAAGACCAAGGCAGTACCCAGGTAGAGCATAAAAGCCTGGTTCGCATTGGTAAACAGTTTGCCAGTTTTCTCCGTCTCCGCCACCATGATCTTCATAGCCTTTCTCATGAGTTCGACGTTGCTCTCATGCTCCTCAGATTGCTGGTAGTACTCCCCCATTAACCGGTGGGCGAATACAGAGTTGGTGGTCGAAATGCCCTCGGTCATCATTAGAAGCCTGTCATCGTCTGTGTAGGGTATAACGGAGGTCGGAGCTCCGCCTTCCTCGTCGTCTTCACTTTCATCATCGCCATCGCCCTCGGCAGTAGGTGCTGGTGCAGCAGCCTCGTCTATCTTTTTGGGAAACGGGGAAAAGTCACTCGTCATGAACCCCGTCAAGACACGGTATAGGTCACTGTCCGGGAAATGAGCACAGTACTCGTTGAGCACATTGACGTCCCAGTCCTTGATTTCCTTGTGGTCCTGCCATTCGATAGCGATATCCCAAGCGAGCTTGAAAGGGTGTTTGATGATAACCATGTCGTTTGCCAGCTTCTGGACGACTTTCAATTCAGCAGCCTTGTCGGCGGGGAGTGTGACGAGAAGGCGATCGTATCGGAATTGGAGTAGCTTCTCCTCGTAGTGGCGCCTAACGTCGTCATCATGAGACCAGAGGGTGAGCTGCTCGTATATTTCACCAAGCTTGCTGTGGCCAAGAACCTCCCTGTTGACTTCGAGAGTGACCTTGCTTATTTTGGCACCCAGCCGCGTCCGTCTCTCGCCAATGAGAGTGTTGATGCGCTTCTTCTCGTCGATTTCTAGGATCTGAGCTATAGTCTCATAAGTCTTCGCAGGGTGAGGCACGCGGCCCTCTAGTGCTGGGTAGATGGGACTGTCGGGGAGTATGAGGTTGAGGGCCTGAGTGTACTGGGACCGATCACCCTGGGCACGGGCGTAGTCGATGAACTTGTCAACGACGTCCTGGCACTTGTGCATCTCATTGGCATCTCGGAATATCTCAGCGAGTTTGAGAGCTGCATGCTGATACTGGCGCAAGGTCTTGGCACCTTGCTTCTCGTAGAGCTTGACCAAGCCTTGCCATGCCTGGGCATCCGGGCGAATGTCGGTTGCCGTCTTGTATGCATCCTCGGCAAGGTCTAGCTTGTTCTGCTTGTCCAGAGCAAAAGCTTTGAAGACGTACCTACAAACAGGTCAGATACCGTCATGGCGGTGATCGGCAGGTGGGAGGGGCAACCATACGCCTGGTAGTTCTTGGGGTCTTTGTTGATGACATTCTCAGCCTGGGCCAGGGCCTCATCCCACTTCTGCTGGCGAATAGCATCGTTGATGGTCTTCAGCGAGGCCTTGATACTTGCCATGTCGGGGAAGGTGAATATGAGATGCTCGTGTGTGTCATGTCAGGTCGTCTTCTGTTGTTGGGACAGGCTGGCAGGGCAGGGAGGTAGGAGTCTGCAGAAGTGGCTCTGTCATTTCATCATTAACTTGGTTAAGTTGTTACTGCAACTGGTGGCACTGTTTGGGCCGACTTCGTTGTTCGCAGTGGGAAAATGCAGGTGCGGCGAAACATCGGTCCAAATCACCCGCCCTGCTAGCGTCAAGGCCCTGGAGCTTGGGCACGGGCGCCGCGGGCGCCGCTTGATCTTCGGAGTACCTAGATTGCTTGGTTGTTAACCCCACAATTCTGCAGGTGATCGGCAATCGGGGAATTGTGGACCTGTGAGAGCGGGGGCTGCATCTTCCAAATCAGGCTGCGCGGGCACGGGCGTGACGGGATTGGGGACATGGAGGGCACCGTGCTCTTCATCGCTATCATGGCCGTCATGATAATTATTAGAGATTATATCTATAATCTGCCTGTATCAATACACCGTCCTCTCCCCTCCGTCCTCTTCCTACTGAACCTCCCGTTTATCACTACTTTTGCCCGAAACATAGACTAACACGTAGTCATACCTAGTGCTTGACTCTCTCTGATCTGCGACGGCTGATCTGCCGTTCAGCTCATGCGGCTGGCCTACCGCCAACAAGTCCAGGCCACCCTGTCACCTCCCCCTGTATCAAACATCGTCACTGCGTCATTACGGTACTGCTACGTTAGTTCTGCACCATTAATATACCTACTTGATTACAACAGCCTGCATCCTCATCTCGACCACGCAACACTCACTTGGACCAACCCGTACCCGCCAGCTCTTCCAGTTCGTTTTCCATGGCTTCACTTCGTCTCACGATCGAGAATGGCAAATTCAGCGATGAGCATGGTCGCCATGTTCTGCTAAGGGGTATTAATGTTGGAGGCGACGCCAAACTCCCCAGTGAACCCGACATTCCCTCGCACATTGCCGACGACTTCTTCGATGGCGACAATGTCAAGTTCCACGGTCGCCCGTTCCGCAAGGAAGACGCCCACATCCACTTCTCCCGCCTGAAGCGCTTCGGTTACAATACCATCCGGTACATCTTCACCTGGGAGGCCATCGAGGCTGCTGGTCCGGGGAGGTACGACGAGGAGTGGATTCAGCACACCATTGATGTCCTGAGGGCAGCTAGAGACTATGGCTTCTACATATTCATGGACCCGCACCAGGACGTGGTCAGTCGCTGGCGCGTCCCCCGTCTTTTCTCCCCCTTCCATGTTAACTTGTTCGTCAACAGTGGTCGCGCTATTCCGGCGGGTCGGGTGCGCCCATGTGGACGGTATATGCTTGTGGCCTGAACCCCCAGAGCTTCGCCGCTACCGAAGCCGCCATCGTCCACAATACCTATCCCGAGCCCGAGAAGTTCCCCAAAATGATCTGGTCTACCAACTATTACCGATTGGCCGTCGCGACCATGTTCACCTTCTTCTTTGCCGGCCGAGACTTCGCACCGAAATGCATTATAGACGGGATGAACATTCAAGACTACCTGCAGGGACATTTCATAGGGGCTTGCGCACATCTCGCCAAGCGGATACACGAGGCTGGGGAGATAGAGAACGACATCGTCTTTGGCTGGGAAAGCATGAACGAGCCGAACCGGGGCATGGTTGGGCACGTCGACTTGAGCGTCATTCCGAAGGAGCAGAACCTGAAGAAAGGTACATGCCCGACTCTCTGGCAGAGTATTTTGACAGGCTCCGGACGAGCGTGCGAGGTTGACTCCTGGGACATGGGAGGCCTGGGTCCGTACAAGGTTGGCCGCACACTCATCGACCCTCATGGCGAAATGGCATGGCTGCCACGCGACTACGACGATTCGAGGTACGGTTGGAAACGTGATCCTGATTGGAAGCTGGGAGAGTGCATTTGGGCCCAGCACGGAGTGTGGGATCCATCTAAGGATCTGCTTCTGAAGAAGAACTATTTTCAGAAGCATCCGAGGACAGGGGATACATTGGACTACCCCAAGTTCACTAACACGTATTTCATGGAGTACTATCGGTCTTATCGGGACAGCATAAGAGCCATCCACAAGGACGCGATTATGCTTTGTCAACCGCCGACCCTGGAAATACCCCCAAGCATCAAGGGCACGCAAGATGACGACCCCAACATGGTCTACGCGCCGCACTACTACGACGGAATCACACTCATGACCAAGAAGTGGAATAGGACGTGGAACGTGGATGTGTTCGGCGTGCTGCGTGGGAAGTACCTACACCCTGCATTTGCCATCAAGATCGGAGAGACAGCCATCCGGAACTCGTTCAAGGAACAGCTAGGAGCCATGAAAAAGGAGGGACTTGACTACATGGGAAATCATCCTTGCGTACTCACCGAGTTCGGAATCCCATACGATATGGACGACAAGTACGCCTACAAGACCGGGGATTATTCGAGTCAATCTGCGGCTATGGATGCCAACCACTTTGCTGTGGAGGGCGCAATGATGGACGGTTACACACTGTGGCTCTATGATGCGACGGTAAGACAACCTGCGAAATGTATGAGTGTTTCGCGTGGCTGACTGTTTCCAGAACGACCATCAGCGAGGAGACCAGTGGAACGGCGAAGATTTATCCATCTTCTCAGTAGACGATCAGAGTCTGCCTGTTTCGCCCCTACCATCAACGCTGGATTCATCCAATTCATTGGGCAATGCCCGAAAGGAGGTTGACGATGGGACGACGGTTAATCCTACCAATCTTAAGACCAATATCACGAACCCGTCAATCTCGTCCTCTCCGCCAAGTCCGAATCCCGAATTGACCAATGCGCCTGGATATCGTGCTGCCGAGGCGTACGTGCGCCCGTCGCCGATCGTCGTGAACGGAACTATCATTAACTACGGCTTCGACCTCAAGAATTGTCAGTTCGCAATGAGCATAAGGGGAACCAAGCCTGCATCTGAGGATCTGGTCACCACCATCTCCCTCCCCGAGTACCATTTTCCCAAGGAGCAGTGCACCTTGACAGTCAGCTCGGGCAAGTGGGAGATCAGTACGGACGACGATGAACAGGCGTGGGTGCAGAAGCTCCGGTGGTGGCATGGTGCTGGCGAACACAGCCTTAAGATCACTGGTCAGGTGCGGCCGCACAATACCCTGACCGGAACAGCGGAAGAGGCGGGTTATTTGGAGCAATGCCAGCAGAGCTACGGCATTGACTTGAAGAGCTGCAACATCATGTAAATAACGTGTTGCCCTGGTTTTTGTCGATGAACACACAGATACATGACGAGATCCACCGAGGCTGTGCATCACCTTTTGCTAGGATAGGCGGATCTCAGCGACATACATATGGCGACTGGCGTTACATTAGTGATGAACGAAATATTTTTCTAATTACACCTTGGCATCTCACAACGGAAGTGGGTAGACAGCAGGAGTGGCGAATCCTAGATGAAACTCTTGAGCAACTGCCACACTACCCCGCGGTCAGGTATCATTGCTTGGGGTCTTTTAAGAAATGACTGCGAGCAGAGTGCTTCGTTGTCGTTTTTCGGTTTCACGTCTACTAGAAGATCCTCGGACCAGATCTTCTAGTACCCGTCTTCAAATGACGTCTCATCTGGTGAATAAGACAGAACATCTCCTATCCACGGCCGATAACTGATACGTCACCTAGGTAACAAAACATGGAAGTCACAAGTCACACGGAAACAGAGTCAACTCTGATTGGGTCATCGCGGGCCACTAGGAGTGCGTCCGACTAACCGTATCGGGTCCCACGCCGCGGCCTAATGCATGCACGCCGCAGCCGCGGGCGCTTCGCGGACCGAGTAAACGCATCACAACTCACGGAATACAGGATGCCAATATGCTGCGTCGCATCGTGCGTCGCTGGACCCTTGCCCCTCCCCTTCCTCGTAGTTGAGGAAGGCGAGGAGGCGACAGCAGCGGGCAGATGGGTGGCGAGTGTCATTCTGACTGTTAATCCGATTGCTGTCGCTGCGCACGACGAAGAAGCGGGTTATGGATGGTTGAGCGACCTCTGAGGCTTTGAGACATGCATTTGGTCCATTGATCTGCAGTCGAAAGATACGCCGCGTACCTGACAGAATCCCCCAAATTCATTACGGATTACTGCCATCGGACGAAGACTAGAAAATGACTACCCGGTACATGCATGAAGCAACAGTCAACCAGCCACTTAGCATCTAGTAGACGTCGTATCGCCGTATTATCGTATCCGGAGAGCCAGTTCTGTTTTATCCAGCTCCGTGGTTGGGCTTTGCGTCTCCTAAGAGCCGCCGCACGCCTCACTAGGGGCCTATGTGAACAGACCAGAACGTTGGCAACTTGATTATCGTTCGTGAGTAACCAGCTCCGACCCGCGCCTATTGTCAGAATCCCACCCAGTCGGAAGTTGCGACTGTTGGAAATACACTTTTACCCCTGTTTTTTGAACAGTGGAGCTGGCACTGGACACAGACCTTTGAAGGTAACGATTTCTAAGAGGAATGGCATAAACCAACCCTTGAAGTGACCTCTGGCGCTTGTTTCGAGGCCTGTCATTGACCAGCAACTGTTCAAAGAAACAGGGGGAAAAGTGTAGTGCTTGTTTGAGTCTACCATTTATTAGGCGCGAGCAGCCGCAACGCTCGAGCGTGACGGGCGCTTAGCCACATAGGGGAAGACCAAGAAAGACAAGAGTATGCCGAGCGCCGCCGAGCACGCGCTCTTCGCCCTTGCCTCACCCCCATGTCATACCATCGGGTCGTTAGCTTTCCATCCTACAACTGTCAACATAGTCCTAGCCTCCAACATCGGATTACGACTCATGAGGCGATAGATGTCCTGCTGCCCATGTCGGTCGCTGTCATCGCTGCCGTCGTTGCCGTCACATATACCTCGATATCGACACTGGACGCTGATATCGCCGGCATGTCGTGACTGTGTCCCGCCGCTTGACCCATGAACGTTGACTTTTGGGTGGATCGGTCAAAGAGCCAGGTACCGCAGGCTGCCAGCGGCCAGCCAGCCCAGGCCTAAGGAATAAGCCGTCGCGATCCCTGTCATCCCCATCGCCTGTTTCAATTGTCCAGAACGGATTTATCAATAGCGGTACTGATACAGATTGAGCCAACTTCTCGTCGGACCGCGTCCATCAGCGCCCGAGTCGAGTAACTCGCCATCTCGCTGTCAACACCCAACCACCTCAGCTCTCGTCGAGTCCTGCTCGAATCACGGGGACCAGCGAGGCCCTCTCGCTATCGCGGCCGCTCACCGGCAGCGGTACAGACAAAACAAGCGGTCGACCGGTGACAGGCCGCTTACACTGTCCATCATGTACCCGACTCCACAGAGAGATCCCGGGCGGACGTTCCCTCCTCCGCCGCCAACCATGTCACCTCCCGTTCAAGGACAGATGGGCGGCATGATGAACATTCCTCCCCCGCCTCCACGATACCCAAGCGCGCCGACGACGACCAACGGTGTAATACTACCTCCACCGCCCGGTCCTCCTCCAAACAGTGCTATGGGACCACACCCGCCGTGGCAAGGTAGTTGGGGTCGCACATATGATGGACGTCCCGGCTTCCACATACCGCCTCCGCCGGCTGGTGGCCCAGCAGCGTACAATCCGAAACTACTACATCACCAGGCTTCGAATAACAATCTGGCGATACCTCCACCCCCGCCGCCGAATAACGACCACTCGACCGGCACGTACCGACCCGGGAACGATAACAATGAGGCATTGGTGTCCGCTACATACATACCGGGAGGGGATAGCTACGGAGAGGGGGTTGGAATACCGGGCTTCTTTCCCGACGACTCGTCCACATACTCGGCAGCATCGCAGAGCACATGGCCCAGTGCGAGTTATATCAGCGGCAACAGCACCGCCATCACGACGCCAGCCGAAGATGGCGGCCCTCGAGGCCTGTACGCGAACGCGTTCCAAAACAGAATGACGTCCACAACATCAAACTCAACCGTTGCGAACTCCGAGGTTCCTCCAGAAATGGCGGCGAAATGGCCACTTGATCATGTCTTATTGTGGTTAGCCGCCAATGGCTTCTCCAAAGACTGGCAAGAGACGTTTAAAGGACTGAACATTCACGGATCGCATTTCCTCGAGCTTGGGAGCCAACGGGGAGGCCGCGGCAACTTTGGCATGATGCATCAGGTCGTATATCCCCGATTGATTCAGGAATGCACGGCCAGTGGCACCGGGTGGGATCCAACAAGAGAACGAGACGAGGGGAAGAGAATGCGCCGCCACATCAGGAGTTTAGTCACTGGCAAACCTTTGGAGGGATCAAAGAATCAGTCATCTCATGCCACGAAAGATTCTTTCAGCGGTGCGCACTCCCAGAATGCCGGGACTGACATTGAGTCTCCGAGCACTCCCCTCAAGTCAAACGGCCCCGGGTCAGTTTCGCGAAGGTTCTCGGCAACAAGGTCGACGACCATGCCAACCCTCAGCGGCACAATGACCACCGAGACGAATCATCGCGCCATGTTGAAGAATATCGATATCGATAGCAGCCGAAAGCCGAGTCCAAGTACGAGTGAGTTTGGCGACAGCAGCATCCGAAGGCAGAGTCCAGGCGCGAGTCCCAAGCTTTCGACCGCGCTTTTCCCTCCTTCACCCTCTCACAGGCTCGGGTTCCATAAATCCAAGGGCAGCACCGACTCCCTTTCATCAAGTGCGGCGATATACGGTTCTGGCGTACCACCTGAAGCCGGCCAGCTCCTTCGGAATGCTCAAAGTGGTAGCGCCATTGGTGACATGATTCATGCCAGTCGCAATGATGCACGGCGGCTGGGCAACGACAGTAACCGCATATCACCCTTGGAATCATATAGTGCCGAGCCCTCCTCGGCGAAGGATAGCAAGAGCTTTTTGAGCTTCTTGAGAAAAAAGAAGCATAGGGATGACGATGACGATTCCCCTACAAACACGAGTCCGAGCATGGCCAAGCCCCAATCGGCGGGCAGCCCATATGAAGCATCGTTGGATAGCGCCCTGGGCCACCCGATGGGAGCTTTGATGGACAATGCGCCAACGTTCAGCAGATCAAACCAGCCGAGGACGTTTATCCTCGTTACAAGTGACGGCTGGACTTATCGAATGTGTGACGTTACTGATTGTGACTCGGCAGCCGACCTGCGAGCCAACATTTGCTTCAATATGGGCCTCCCAGATCCGGGGCTGCTTCAGGTCTTTCTGACCGAGATGGGTCGAGCCAATCACGATGAGGCCTTGGAAGACCAGAGTCTCTGGATTCACAAGCGCAACCAGGGAGATGCACACGGGTCCCTGAAGCTTTTCGTCAAGTACGGAGGTTTGAATAATGAAGCTGCGGACGTCCCTTCATTGCTCGCCCCGGGTTACCAGAACACCATGGACGGGGATACCTATGCCCGCCTCAACGGTCAACGCGCGAGGTCAAGCTCGTCTCCACCTACATCGCGAAGTAACACCCTCATGGGCGATTCTCGCTCAAACGACGAGCAACTGGCAACGAAGGCTGAAGATTACCGAATCAGGATGGAGAAACAGCAGGCGGCATACCTTGCTGAGAGGCAGCAAGCTCTCAACAAATCTTCGCCCCAAGAAGTGTCGCCGGGAGTCGGCATAGTGGGCAGGAATGTGGATTTCGATCAACCTCGAATGTCCCCGTACGAGGAAAAGAAACAGGACAATCTCTTACCACAGCGGCGAGCGCCAGCACCGCCCGGTGTCGAGACTGCCACGCTGATCAAGGCAAACTCACTGAGTAGGAGGTCAGGTCACAACTTGAGACTGTCCCAGGGGAGTTTTGACGGTGTTCCCAGTCCAAGAAGACCTGCTACGTCCACTGGGTCATACGACAACAGCCAGGAGATGGCCCAGAAACGGTCCGGCGTTACTTCGCCTCCGGCTGGATCTGCCTTAGGGGCTATGTTGAATATAGGAAGCGCCTGGGGCAGACTTGGCCGCCCAAGCGCTGGTCAAGGACAGCAACGCGCCCCTTCGCCGAACCGGAATAGTTCTGGACCTTCCGCTGGGACGGAATACTTGGAACCAAAAGGTAAGGGAGCACTGGCCAGCGTTGACTTCGGTCAGTCTGTCTCGGGCCGCAGTAGTCCACGATCTGGTTCGCCTGGTTCTCTTACCTGGAGCCGTGGTGATGTACCATTTGTCGTTCCGGACTACTCGCCTGGTGGCACCCCAATCCTCAGTACCCGGAACAAACCACCCCAGCTTGAATCATTTGCTAAACTGCGTCAAACAGCACAACGAGCGCCTTCGCCCAGTGATCTCAGTCCCAGTACTGCCCATCCCAGTGCTGCCCCGTCCGGATTATCACGTACCACTAGCACGCGCCCGAAATCTCACGGCCCGGACGTGGATTTCATGGACACGGATGTACAATTTGCCAGACTCACGGAGTCCGCTGATCGGGATAATGATGACTCCGATAACGACTCAGATGATGGACTGTTCGCCATTCCTATGAGGGGTAGGCAGCCATCGGTCAAGGCCGTGCGCAAGTCGAAGAGCATCCGAGACAGTGACTCCGATGCGAGCGGCAAGAAACCAAGCCTGAGAGTCAAGACTTCAAGGTCTAGGAAAAATCTGTCCGTTTCTTTCGGCGGCTCCCCTGGCGCTGTCAAGACGCCAGATCTCGAAGACGACGAGGAGAGCATCCGGAGCGGTCGCAGTTCTCATCGCCGCACTCCTGCGACACCTGGCTCGGAGCATTGGCAATCGGATGATAGCAAGGTCAACCGGCGCAAGTCATTCATTGAGCGTGATGTGTGGGCCAACCGTCCTCCTCCCGAGGCCCTGCTGAGCAACCTCGATGCCTTCTTCCCGGAGCTCGATCTTGATCAGCCGGTGCTTGATGAAGCTGTACTGCAGGACCTAGCGTCGCCTGTATCCCCGATTTCCGAACAGGAGGAGCTGGGAGGCAACGTCCGAGTTGAGGTTGCGACTCCTCCTGATAACAATGCTGAAGGTAGAACGTTCTACAATGAGAGCGACACCCTCGGCTCAGATGAGTCCACGCTCAAAGCACTTGAGCGTCCAGCTTCCATCGCTTCGAGCGCTCGTCGAAGCATGCGTCGGTCTGGTGGTCTCGGTCGCATGAAGTCCATCAGAGAAGTCGCACGTGGTGCCCATGAAGCGAATAAGCGATTCACTACATCTTCAGCTGGTGGTGGAGGGGCGTCGTCTATGGTACAGCGACGCAAGAGCACCAAGATGTTTGGTGCCAATGTCGTCCAGATCCGACCCGACCGGGGTTCAATAGTCATGCCCCCGATTCCACAAGACATTCTGCCTAAGCGTCAAACTACCTTCCGATGGTTCAAGGGTGAGCTGATTGGCAAAGGAACGTACGGTCGTGTGTACCTTGGCATGAATGCGACGACGGGTGAGTTCTTGGCCGTCAAGGAAGTGGAAGTCAACCCCAAGGCCGCTGGCGGAGACAAGAACAAGATGAAGGAGCTTCTCGCCGCTCTTGACCAAGAGATCGATACCATGCAGAACCTCGATAACGTCAATATTGTGCAGTACTTGGGTTGTGAGAGGAAGGAGACGAGTATCAGTATCTTCCTCGAATACATTTCTGGTGGCAGTATCGGATCCTGCCTGCGAAAGCACGGCAAGTTCGAGGAGCCGGTCGTCAGCTCCCTCACTCGGCAGACACTGTCTGGCCTCGCGTACCTCCACCGGGAAGGCATCCTTCATCGCGACCTGAAGGCCGACAACATCCTGCTGGACGTGGACGGCACGTGCAAGATCTCAGACTTTGGTATCTCCAAGAAGACGGATGACATATACGGCAACGACAAGACCAACTCGATGCAGGGCTCGGTGTTCTGGATGGCGCCCGAGGTGATCCGGTCACAGGGCGAGGGCTACAGCGCCAAGGTAGACATATGGAGTCTGGGCTGCGTGGTGCTCGAAATGTTCGCTGGACGCCGTCCCTGGAGCAAGGAAGAAGCTGTCGGCGCCATCTACAAGATCGCCAACGGTGAGACGCCACCCATTGCGGACGACGTCCGCGAGGCTATCAGTCCGTATGCGCTTGGGTTCATGTTGGACTGCTTTACTGTGTAAGTGATTCTCGCACTCATCAACGACTTGAGGCACAAGAATGATTTTGCTAACGAGATTTTGTCACAGTGACCCGAGAGATCGGCCCACGGCCGAACGTTTGCTTAGGCGGCACGAATTCTGCGCTCTCGACGACGATTACAATTTCTTCGATACCGAGCTTTATTCTAAGATTCGGGGGACGTTTAGTAGTTAGTTGTGCGAACCAATGACGAGCAGCCCAGGAGGCTCTCATGAACAAGCCGAGAGATACGCAAGACGAAGATCCGATCAGTCGAATTGATGTCGAATGGGAATGTAAGAGACCAGCTTCCCTTCGATGCCTTAAAAGAAGCACAGCCCACGTTTTCAGCACGGCGTTCGGTGAACCTCCGGTTTTTGGACGTATGAACGGGTGTTTGGAAAGGAAACCAACATTTTGGGAAAGGTCGGTTGGATTACCACGGCCGAAGCAGTCCGAGGGATGGGTTACTTGGATACTTTATGACGATCAGGACTAGATAGCAGAATAGAGGAGACTTGGTCACATGGGCGGCCCATGGCTATGTTGTATCGTAGGTACTAGTACTACGACCGTCGCCACTGCTGCTAGTCGATAGGGCTGTGTTGTATATGAATGATGGTATAGATTCTTCGATGTACTCAGTCTCTTATCTCATACAGCTGAGCGCAAGCGTCAAAGAAAGCGGTTTTCATGCCAAGTCATATCTGAAATGGAGCTGGGGAGCTGCGTGTCGACAATCCCCAGCGCCTAGTCACGTAGTTATATACCCTGCGACTGTTTCGCTTCTAGTCTTGTCATCATTTTGAGCTGGTAACTAAACACTTACTGCGCACAGGGGTAGAAGTAAAAGGTGCTGAGTAATGCTTCTTCTATCTTTTACTTTTGAGCCCAGGGGCAGAATTATTGTACTGCCACCCTCATAAGTCTCCGTACGCGCATGTTAACAAAACTCCAGATTACCAGTAAGAGCATCAGAAATATTGGAATAAGCACCATGGAATAAGCGTCAAGCACGGCTAATAAAAATCCAACTGCTTGTTCCGGCATGCTTATTCTGATTTGATAAATCTACCGTCGTTTGCTGGAAGGGTCGTGCACGGAGACTTATGAGGGATCAATGTATCTCCTACTTTCGAGTCTGGGTGAGGGAGTAGTGGTTTACTCCCGTCGCCCCTTCGTAACGGCAGCATCGGGGTGCTTTCCCCAGCATCGTGGTGCTTTCCCCAGCGTCGCAGATGACGCTGCATCACCACGCCCTGTGGCAGTCACTTGTTGATGTAGATGGCTACTTCTCCCGAACATGAAAGCCTCTGGTATTACCTACTCCCTGTACCTTCCCTGTCCGTGATCCCACGTCTCCTCTGTCCATCTTCCGACGCCCAGTAGCCTGCAGCTGGTTCACAACAACAACAACAACTTTCGGAATACATCAAGCATACAACCAGACCGTCGCCATCGCTACGTATCAAAAAGCACTCACACCATTACCACTTTGCACTTTTACTCTTCATCTCGCGACACCGACAATTCCGCAGCTACTACTACCACAGCCTTCGAGATACGCTCGGAATACAACCAGGTCATCCATCGCTATCGCCGTACAGCACACTCTGCACAAGGAAGCTCGTCATTCCCCACCACGCAACACAGCGACAGTCTACAGATAACGTTCGACGATCCCCGACAAGATGTGTTCGCGGAGATGGCAACAGCGGTATTGTGATCGTTGCAGAACATGGATCGGAGATATGAGGCCGATTGGCTTCGATAGATGTGCGGAGGCACGGCGAGCTGGCATCCCGGCACGGCAATGCAACGACATCAATCATAGCCCGCCGATCATGTACGCCCAACCGGGCCCGTGTAACCGTGGGCCGTGTTCGCAAGAAGCATGGGATTTTGGGGGGATTTGGGGCGAGCTTATACGGGAAGCCTGGGACCGCTTCGGTGGTAGCGCTTGACTTGGAGTTTCCTGCTGGTTGTTGTGGAATTACTTGGGTGTGGTGGGTTTACTGAGCGGTATTCGGTATGGAGTTGTGGTGCTGTTAGCGTATAGGTCTTTGGACCCAGGTCTTTTCTAATAAATAGATTACTTTCGGCTCATGAAACACTGAACCCTCCCTCATGAGTCTCCGTACGCCACCAGTCCCGCAAACCACGGTATTCATAAAATCGGAATAAGCACAATGAAATAAGCTATGGAAGTGGCGTATCCAACTAGAGCTGCTTATTCCTGTCTGCTTATTCCATTATTCCTAAATTTGCACGTGTGAGTTGGATTACTCCCAACATGGTGCGTACGTGAGACTTATGACGGCTGAGTGTAGGTCGGTTTATTCCTGACCTATGGCCACTCTGACATATGCTTGGCCAGTCTGGTTTGTACAGATGTGCTTTAACTACGACGTACTGCTTGAAGACGGCCGAAATGCTCGTTGCTTGGGCAATGGTCCCTCGTTTTCTGGTATGACAGTGCGGGAGATAATCAGAAGATCTTTTCATGTATAGTACGATAAAGTCTTTATTTATGTATCTGATTTTATTAAAGACTCCTAAGTAGAACGCTGTAAGTCGATATCCCGGCCCACTGCAAGTTCCCATTAGGTCACCTCAGCCGAACCTCCTCCCTCATTTCGAACCCGAAGGATAATGAAGGGGCTCAGTCGATAAGCTTCATGGAACTCCAGGGCTTAAGGGGGTCGAACCTTTAAGATTATAATAGTCGAATTTGATGCGAGGACTTCTTTTCTTGCTAATATCTTCCAGGGGCGTCCAGAAGCCTATGAGGAATTTGCGTCTCGCAGACTTCAAAGACTTGTCGTCGATATCTTTTCAATCAAATATCAAGTCAAAGCTTGTCTCGAATACTTAGATGCCAACGAAGAATGTAATGCTGCAACCCCGAATAACGCCCAGCTCAACATATGTTCTGTTATTTTAACCTATCTGTTAAAAAATATCATTGCGTGGTAATCATCATGTCAACTCTGATTCCAAAAGAGCTGCCGGCTGCGGAGGCCGCGCGGGAGGGTGGTGTGGTGGTGGATATCGATCTCTCGCGACCGCACCGCTATTGCCAGCCGCCATACGAAGGGGTCGAGTGCTCGGAGATTTATCAGAAAGGGGGTTGTCATCCCACACACCTCGGGGATATCCTTAATAATATGTTTGAAGTCATCCACAAGCTAGGCCAGGGTGGATATGTGACAGTCTGGTTGTGCCTGGACACCCGAACACAGCAGTGGAGAGCGTTCAAGGTCATTGCAGCCTGCAAGTCGTCTGAGGCAGGCCCAGAAATGAAGCTCGGAAGCCCTCTTATTGGCTATAATCACTTAGCGCTCCCGCTTGAGCACTTCTAGACCGAAGGACCTAACGGAAAACACATTCGTTTAGTTCTTCCCGTTCGAGGCCCTTCGATCTCTACCGAACACTTCACAGATCCCAAGGTCAAACACCGCATTTATTTACAGATGCTCCGAGTACTTGACAACATCTACTCCAGAGGAATCTGCCACGGCGCCTTCCGTCCGTCCAATATTCTGCATAAACAAACGGGCATCGACACATTGCCAAAGGCCCAGATGCAGCAGCTATTGGGCGAGCCCGAACAGGGTTTTGTCAAAACTATCGCGAAGGACGACCCGGGCTCGATGGCTCCACGGTATGCCGGGCGGTCTGTATGCACCAGTGCGCTCGAGCCTTTCATAGTCCCCGAAAACATTGCGGACATCGATTTCGGGGTGGCGTTTGATATTTCTTGTCCTCCAATGACAACGGGTATCCCAATGGCTTACGCAGCCCCGGAGCTTCTTTTCTATGGGCGGCCCAGCAATAAGTCGGATGTTTGGTCTCTGGGATGTACCATGCTGGAACTACTGAGGAGCGAGAGGTTCGGAAGCGACATCGACCGGGAGGCATGTCTACTTCACCAGGCGTGGAAGTGGGAGGAATATCGAGGATTTACTATATCATGCCACAAGAGGTGGTTCTGGTTCTTTTGGACCACAAATGGTTTCGGGGTTATGGCGTTGCCTGAGCACCTCAGCCACAGCTTATAGATACGGCAATAGTATCAATGACAACCTAGCAAATTCCAAGCCTCTTGAGACTTGGATGTCAGTCAAGATAACTTTAACGGAATGCACGATCATCACTTACAAGTAGACAAAGACGTGATACATCGGGTCTGAGATTTCCCACAAAGGGCTTGCTTTGTTGTTAATCTTTACCCCCGTGAAAGGATGCTGGCCCGTCTTTCCGAACACAATATCCACAGGGCCGTATGGCGCAATGGTCAAATGCGCCTGGTTGTGTTCTCGTTTGTGCGGTGGGCGACGAGAACAAGTGGGTTCGAATCCTGCTATGGCCCCCTTCTGACCCGGCTTGTGCGAGTCGACAACCAGCACACGACAGTGGAGAGGCCCCATTATCGCAGAGCCCGATAGCCAAGCAGCTTGTCTCCATAACACCCACTCCTGCGAGGTTTTTCCCCTTGTGGTTTCCCTCGCTAGCAGATAACAAACACCTACTTCACCCACCAATGCGACATATATCGAACGGCTACTGGAACGATGTGTACACCAGAGGACTGAGGTTCACTGGGTCGCTTTGTCACTAGACAGGAGGTTTTTCTGACGGAATCGTGCTTGGGTATTGACTAAAACCATCTGAACACTCCAGATTGGTACCGCTACAGCGAGGATAGGCTCGTGCGCGGATCTGAATGTATCTAATTTGACACCTCTACAACCTTGCGATGCAATGGCTCTGGGAGGCGTGGTTTGCACTACTGAGGAGCTACCCCCCACGTTAAATACAAAACAAACAAACAAACAATATCCACAGCGCGCAGCCTGGCTTCAGTTTTATAGTTCCGTAACTGCCAAAATGGTATATCTGCGTTAAAACAGCTGGATTGATATATTCCTGGTGCTTATCGAGATGCCACTCTCTTAGGATGGCAAAGGTCGATGTACCCTCTCCCAAGGACCCCGGCAGCGTTGGAAGCACCGGCGCAAACAATAGGGATGAGATTATTGACCCTGACTTCTCAGTTTCGAGGTACTGCTTTCCACCACCCATGTACGAGAACCTTGAAGACCTGAAGATGTACCAACCAGGCGGCTTTCACCCGATCCACATTGGTGACATCTTCGACCAGAGATTCGAAATCGTCCATCGGCTCGGAGACGGAGGCTACGCGACAGTATGGCTATGCCACAACATCAAGACGCAGTGTTGGCGGGCGGTCAAGGTGCTCGCTGCTTGCAAATCTCGGTCTCTCCAAGCCTGCACCGAATGGACGATGCGCGACGTACTTGGAGGCTCAAGCCTCGTGGCACTTCCAGAGGATTTCTTCTGGGTCGATGGACCCAATGGTAGACATCTGGCGCTAGTCTTGCCCGTTCTTGGCCCCTCAATCTCTGCGACGCGGTGCAAAGATGTCGACAGTGCCAACCGGATATGCCGCCTCATGGTTGAAGCGCTCGATTTCCTTCACAGTAAGGGGATCGCTCACGGCGACTTTAGGCCTTCGAACATCCTCCACCGGCTGCATAGTCTCGATTCTCTGAGTAAGGAACAGATGTGCTCACTGCTCAGAAGGCCAGACAGCGACTCGACTACTTATTATGTGCGACCGAAAGCGGGCTACAGTGTGAGGCCAAATGCACCAGACTATGTCGTTGCGGCGGCAGACTTGAGAAAACTTCGAGATTTCATCAAAGAGGATGATATCGCGGTTATCGACCTTGGTGTAGCATTCAAGCTTTCAGATCCTCCTGAGCATACGACTGGTATTCCGCTTTCGTATAGTGCCCCAGAGCTGTCATTTCGAGGGAGGCCCAGCGCTAGTAGTGAGGTCTGGTCCCTTGCATGCTCAATCCTTGAGATCCACGCCGGTCTGCGATTTGGCGATGACGTTTACCAAACCATTACGAGTATGGAACTTTTCCTCGGGCCATTACCAGAGCAATATCGGCCAGTCTGGGATGAGCTGTATGCGCTACCTGTTGTGGACGAGAGCGACTCCGATGATGATAGTGATTACGAACCCGAAGATTACGAGTCAGAAAAGCGGTATCTCAGATGCTTGGCCCGGGAGATGCGCAAGAAGAGGTTGACCCTAGAGAAGAACAGCGGTTACGCTAAACCGCTAAATGGACGTCTTGGGAAGCCGAGGTATCGCAGGGCATTCGACGGCACCAAGATGAAGCCTTTCTGCATACCACACGACGAGGTCCTCCAGATCGCAGACCTGCTCCGGCGAATGTTTCGATACCACCCGGCAGATCGATTGTACCTCAATGATGTTCTGCAGCATCCTTGGTGTTCCCAGTACGACCAAGTTCCGGCACCGGCTTTCGTCCAACCAGGAACACGGATAGCTGATCTAAAGGCTGTGCAGTCGAACGCGGCTGGAAGGTTAGGGTCACCCTTTTCTGCCAGAGAGTGGTTCGTAATTCTAGCTTCGGCAATTTTAGCCAGCACTCTTTCGTCTGTGATGATACTACTTCTTCACTACCTGAGTCAATGTGCTCTGGATAGAAGTGCTGCACCTTGTCATCTGGATACTCTTCTGCTCCCGCACCTGATAAGGTCACCTACTTAGTCACCCTTCGGGGGCTTGCTGGCTCTTTTGATGTCTCAATGCAGAGTAAAGCACGGGTCATAGTCCCGGAAGCCCTTAGGCAAGGTGGGGGAACAACCACGGCTACACAGGATGATATAGCAGGATTATTTGCAATACGTGTCATCTAGTATAGTGCCGAGGAAACCAAAAGCGCTCAAGCTTGGGCTTCACCTGTGAGGTATTGTTCCTTTCCATTAAATTAGACCTCCAAATGCAGAGAGAATAGTGCTATACATCGTGTAGTGGATAAAGCACCCTACGCTCGATATTCGTCATACTCGATGTTATGCCAAGACACCGTAATAGGTAATCATCTTCGGCCCACAACACTGAACGCATCTCCACCCTAGATTATCGGAGAGCTGAGCTCTGTGTTGCCTTCGTACTTGGTGTCCATCGTCAAGCTTGGCTGGTCATACAGCGCAGGCAACTGGGGGATCTCGTCGTGCTGTGTCCCCGCCGCCTCCGCCTCCAAGGCGGTGTAGTCTTTCTTGACATTCGTGCTCTTGAAGCCGGCACCCAAAACATAGCCCGCAATCACACCCTCTGGGAAAGTGGCCATAGCGAAATGAAGGAGGACATTGGCCAGGTCGGGAGAGGCTCGGTCGAGAGGGCGTTCCTGGCTGGAGAAAATAGTGGCCAGCATCCATGCAAGCCTCAGTACAGCCATTGAGCTCACCACGAGCAAGCTCAGTGAGATGCCTCTAGCGTTTGCAGAAGACGGCCCGTTGGTCTTCCTGTGAGAGAGAAGGCTGAGCCCGAATATCGCAGCGAATATGATGACGAACAGAACAGCTCCAAGGCCAGCTAAAGCCTCCCCACTGGCGCCAGGCTGTTGGCTCAGTAATACCTTGTCGCCAATCGTGATCAAGGTGGCGGCAAGGATTGTGAGAACTTGAAGCGTCGCGAGAGCCAGGAATGGAATGCCAGACGGCAGAGATGAATTCCTTGATCGGCTGTAAGCATTCACTCGCAGCTCATCACCGCATCGTTGACTTTACTCACACTCTGATCAAAATTTCCGTCAGCCCAATGAGTAATGGTGCCACAGCTATGTCGTCGAGAATAGCCGAAGCAACGAGAACCCGCCTTCCTCCCGCCCCCTTTGATGAGAGTCCAAGGATCGCAGTTACGGTTTGTATGAGAGCGAGGATGAGGAATTGGGCCAACGCCGGAAGCCAACTTGTGTTCCCTTTCCAGACATGGCTGATAATAACGAAGACGGCGAATAGTAGAAGGAGTGGCCAATACAACAACTGTATGGCTGATACGACATCCAGTGGGGAAGACATCGGTGAACTTGTGCAGAGCTCGCTGACTCGTTGGGGTGGGATTGGGCGACCTCGAGTTCGGCTTGAATTTGGATATTGCAGACGTTTGAATCTGGCCAAGACAACGAATGTTCCGGCCTCGATGGGTATTTATCGCTAGGACCTCCTTCTAAGGGTTTCTGCTCGGAAACTTCATCGCTGCCGGGTGGCCCCGTCAGTTTGAATAACCTCGTGCTCGGCGTCAGACGTTGAAACGAAACGGTCCTACCGAGAGGTTAAAATAGACGCGCTCAACCCGACGGCGAGATTTGGGTATACGAACAGAGTTGGCCTATAATTTTTAGCCCCTGAAGTGCGTAAGGCGTACCAACGGTTGGGGAACCGCAGAACCTTAAAGCAGATCTGCCGCGCCCCGGACTACCGCGTGGGCCTTAAAAGCCCAGTTGTCCCTGCCCGAATGACCTAATATTTGGGTTTGATATCTCGCCTGCTGACGTGACGCGGCATCCAGTTGCAGTCCATGCTACCACATGTGATGGCACTGATGGCACACCGGCCGATCGCACGTTTACAAAGACAACGAACCATGAGGCGAAGGCCAATGCTTGCGGTGTCACACGAGTGATAAGCTTGTATTCGTTTACCTAGAAAGAGCTGCTCCGGACCCTTGCTCGTTCAGTCGCTCGGAACCCCCGAAGACCTGGATATGATGCGCAACCAAGCGGTCGAGATCGACGAGATTGGTTCGAACCACATCGCGCTTCCTCTGGAAACCTTCTGGATCCTGTCGCCCAACGGGAAACAACTCGGTTCCATGTTGCACGTCCTAGGACCGAGATTGTCAGACTGGCGCGACAAGAGATCCCGCATGACCCTCCTCTGGCCAATCAGATCTGTCGACAGACGGTGGAGGGAATGGATTTCTTACACTCGAGAGGCATCTGTCACGGGGACTTCCGGCCACAGAATATCCTGATGAGGCTTAAAGGTGCTGGCCTCAATCATATCGGACGGGACAAGATGTACGACATGCTAGAAAAGCCCGGCATGGCTGAAGTTCTCACAGGAGATGGCAAGCACAGCCTCAACGCACCGCGGCATCTGGTCTCGGGCATCAAGTAGGAGGACCTGAGAAACCTCGCCGCCGACGAGATTGCCATCGTCGATTTCGGTGAAGCGTACGAAGCATTGGGTCCCTCTCCGCAGCTTGGAATCCCCTGGTCTTACGCTGCGCCCGAAGTATCCCTTGGGGGTCAGCCTGGCATCGGAAGCGACCTCTGGTCCTTGGCCGTACCCTGCTGGGTGTCAAGATAGATGTTGCCGTGGCTTCAGTGAATCTAGACCTCAGGGATCTCATCAGGCGAATGGAGAGCTACATTGGTCCTTTGCCGTACCCGTATAGACCCGTGGCAGAGAGGCTGCTATATGAGGGGAGCAATTGACGATTTGGGAGGAGCGAGGTCTTCGACAGACTGGGCAATGGCGGACCCGCGACGTCTGGTTGTGTTACGACAACATGAGAAAAGCCTGGCGAGCCGTCAAGATATACACCGCGGACCAATCCTCGGACGACTGTGCGGATGCGATGGTGGCCGGTCTCTTCAGGAGTAAAGGCGGGGAAAGCGACTTGAAGCTCCAAGCCAGTTGTCGGAGTATCACGGTGCCCCTAGATACATTTTGTCGCGATTCCCCAAACGGCAGGCATTTCTGCTCCGTGCAACCTGTCCTCGGACCACGGCTTTCCGACTGGCGTTCAGAAATCGGCACGGACTCGGCTCGAGTCAACGACCTATGCCGCCAAATGGTCGAGGGACTCCGGGATCTGCACCAGATGGGGATATGCCACAACGATTTCAGACGGCAGAACATCCTGATGAAACTACAGCCCGGGTGTCTGAATGACATCAGCGAAGAAGACATGAGGCATTCGCCTCGGTGAGCCGGTGATAGGGGAGGTCTGGACGAAGGATGGGGAAGAAAGCGAGCACGCGCCGTCGTACGTTGTTTCCCCACCGGGCTGGTATGCCTTCGACGAGCTTCGTGACGGACGAGATTGCAATCGTCGATTTTGGCGCGTCGTTCCAACCATCGAACCCGCCCAAGTATTTTTGTGTCGGAATCCCTCGGCTGTGTGCCAGCCCCGAAGTCGCCTTCGGCGGGACGCCGGGCCTCGCGAGCGACGTATGGTCGCTTGCCATCTCTCCCTGATTGAAACCCGGCTGAAATTCAACTTCGACAACAAGAATTCATTCGTTGTTCGGAGAATTGGAGCGTTTCACCGGCCCTGTTCCCCAGCCAGCCATATCGGACAGCGGCTCAAAAAGTAACTTAGTGAACGAAACTCGTAGCAGGCCACTCGCGACCGTAGAGACGGATCAAGAAGGCATGGAGCTCGCGCCCATCACGGGATCGCTGAAGCAACTGCCGCGGAGAGAGAGGGAGCAGGCAGAGGGCACCGATTATACTGATCCGCTCGAGATCGTACTGGGCGGCGAGTACACCGCCACGCAATGGGTCATTGATGAAGAGGACCCTGAAGGCAGAAACGAGCTGATACTTCACCGCTTGGAGAAAGCCGAGGTGTCGGCGTTTGAGCAATTGAACCGCAAAATGCTCCAATATGACCCTAGCGACTGGTTGAGCCTCGAGGAGGTCTTGAAGGATGAGTGGTTTATCAAGAGACCACTGGAAGCTAAAACAGTAGAGCCACCTAGACGCAGAGACACCGGGTGGCTATCGAGATGGCCAGCGGCTCTGCTGTTTGCGGTGGGTTTGGTCTGGGTACTTACGGACATACTTCCAGCGGGTTCAGGTAAGAACAAGATTGACGAGTCGGTTGGTGCGAAGAAGTGCGGGCTTGCTGGAGGTTCTTGTGATATATGTCAATCATGTCATGCAAATGGGGAACGTGTTGGGGGCTGACGGCCCGACTGCGAAAGGGAAATGCTACATAGAAATCCAATCTCGTATTTTACATGCCCAAGTTGGTTCACCTTGGCGAGCCGGCTTGAGCGAAGACTGGATATACGTCCGCGGACTATTGTATGTCGACCTAAGGGTCAGCGCGAAGGCCAAGGACGAAGATGAAGATGACGACGACGACGACGACGACAAGGAGCAATTGAAGATGCTGCCTATCTCGCAACGAGAACCGTACGATGATGGCACACCCGGCCGCAACCCTGAACTTTGGAAATGGACCAAGGTGCAAGCCGAGAGGGAAGTGAAGAGCTATACGTCTAGGAGCCATACACGGCCAAAAGACAAGAGGATGACGGGTGATACTTGGGGGCGACGTCGATGGGTGATGGAACAGCACGCCCGTTGATGTACTTCGAGGGGCCTTCGAGTATCTGATGTGGGTTTTCTTGATTAGAGTTCCCTTCTGAGAAACGTTGCGTTTTAATCGGGAGAACACCTGTAGAGTATGAGAAGAAGCGTTGAAAGGGGCATGATACTTGTTCTTTGCAATAAGTTTGCGTGAGTGTTTCTAATTGACCTCGACAGGCGAAAAGTGGGACTTGTATAGGGGTAGAACAAAGGACACCTCAGCAGAGTCCCGATCATCCAAGTCAAGACGCGATAGTCCAACGACGCTTCCCACTGGTCGCATTTCCAGCCTTGTGTACGAACAGGTTTGACGAAGCCAACCCGGAGCGTCGAACTTGTAGGCGCCCGCGGCATGTCCGCAAGGCCTACAGCGGCGTCTGAACCGGCCTCGCATCAAACAGAATGGGTAGGGCTGGACTTGAGGTGTTAGACGATAGCCGGCGGAATAAACATTAGACTGTTACGCCCCGTACATTTTCCAACGGTTTTCCGCGACGGGGGCATTGATTCAGACGACGCTATCGTCATATCGAATTGGTTAATCACCAGTCCGTCGCAGATTAGTCAAGAGGCCGTTGTGGTCTCGGCCGAAGCCCTCATGCGCTGTCGGCGCCACGATAATACGTTTCGGGCTGGAGTACCTTGGCGTGGTAATATATAGCAGGAGTCAGCGTCACGGAGCCGTGTGGTATTCGAGGACCAGAGCGGCCCAAGTCACAAGAGTTTTGTCGGCCACGCCGAACTGGTATGGTACGTTTCGATAGTATATAAACAATCAGTCGGGTGCGGGTCGTCCGACCGAGTGGATTGGCATGGACAACCTCATACCGTGAGGTTTCTATGTGTGTATGTACGGGGTATGTACGCCCTGCCTGCCAGTATACCGGTCAAAACCCTCAAGTATTCCCAATGGACTGAAGAGATCGTGTTTTTACCGATCTATGTCCCGAATGACCGTCCATGCAAACCCCAAGCCGAAAGAGGTCATTAAATCTAGTGTCGTGATATGGGATATCTCCCAGTGAGCATTGCTGTATTCATCTGCCTACAAGGCAAAAGCTGCAAAGGCAACTGCACTGAGCAGTCCCAAACCGACTTCGGACCGGACGGGAACTCCAGGTGCAGATGATGCCGTCTCCGAAGCTACTGCCGAGGCGACAATATTGGATGCTGAGGCGACAGCGGTAGGGTCGGGATCGGTGGTAGCGGCGCTACAGATTTCAGGGGCTAGCTGGGTGGCATCTGAAGGTTGAGATGTTAGCACTTTCGGCTCCAATAGATACGGGCTTGGAGGCGTGGAGGTGGGCTGGCGTACTCTTAATGTCCTCGCTTGAACATTTGGCTGATAAAGTGACGCATGTACCTATGGCATTTATGAACTTCGATTTGCCAGTTCCACAGAGGCAGGTGAAGTCGGTCACGGCGCATCCGGCCGAGTTTGCCGAGTCGTTGAGGCACCCGAGGGCGCACTGGGGCAGCTCCGAGACGAGGTTGGGCAGCGAGGTGGATGTGGAGTTCTGGGCCGCAGCGAAGGCGGCAAAGAGCGACAGTGCAACAGTGATGAACTGCATGTTCGCGGCGGTATTGACGATTGTAACGAAGGACGGAGGATTGAGGATGGCGCAGAAGTGATTGGGCTTCGGTGTTGGGATGATGTCAATGCGTCTTTGGCCACCCGAGAAACGAGTGGAAGATGCTACCGGTAATCGACGAAACGGCAGCGATGGAAAACTCGTTGATTGGTTTGGAGGTTGCGATGGAAACAAAGGCAAAAGGATCCTAAGGAAGTGAGAATTGGGTACTGTAGTATGTACAGATGGAGGGAGTATTAGACAAAGAGAGGAGACATGAAATACGAGGTTGAAGAGGCGATGGCGTTGGTCATCACACCACATCACACAGCTCGGTCCCGGGCAGCCGGGCACGGGACGACCGGGACAACCTCAGCAACCACTTTGTCAAAACCATTCCAAAACACTTGTAGAGGAGGCTGTGCTCGAAGATCATCAGCCTTTGCGTGCTAGGCGGCCATGCGTGCGCGAATTTGACTGGATGGGACGGCTTGGAAGTGGAGGGTGACACGTCGGGTCTCGGCGCTCGTATTCTGTCTGAAACAATCCCGAGCTGCCAAAAACAGCCACCAGTGATGATGTCATCGTCAGCGTTGGACTTTATCGATATGTCTTATCGATAGACGTTAGACAGGAGTAAAGATAGTGGTTGTCTCTCTCCGGACTAATAAACTTGCTCGGCTCGGAATACAGTACCTTATCTCTGTGCTGAGGAACGTCGCCATGCCTCCGGAATGCCAGTCAGCATGTGGAACCTCGTAGGAGAGGTCGCGGTCCGGCGCAACGCGAGCCATACACAATGCCACAGACGGGGTCGTCGCATAGCCTCTATGATGATGGTCGTGAGATACGGCAGCGGCTTGAAATTTGCGTCCATGCGGCCCTGGCCTTCGGCAGCTCGGAGCTCATTTGCAAGAGGATGGCCGCAGCGCTGTACGAGTAGAAGATGACCTGGCCGCCGTTCGAGTCGGGGATCCTCAACAGCCGCGGGTCGAAAAACTTCTCACTCGCGGGCGGTTTGGACTTCATGACGTCGTTGACGATGGTGTGGCGCGTGTCGGGACCCGGGCGACCGACTTGAGCAGGGCCAGCAGCGGGCGGAATCAGCAAACGTGCTTGGTCATGTGCCAGATCATGCCCAGCACCAAGATCGTCTTGGTCATGTTTCATTGATGTCGTTGTGCTCAATGTGTCGTGGCTCTTGCCGCGTGCCCGATACCTGGACGACAAGCTGGCACAACTTCTCGACCAGCTCCTTGACCACGTTCTGCTTGTCAGATACATCGAATTTCGAGGACAGGCTGTTCATCTTGGTACGGATGCCGCAGTCTTGTAAACGATATGAGAATGACCGAGGACCTGGCTCCAAGCCGAATGGCTTCCTCAGCCGGATCGATGTTTGCCTCTATAAGGGCTGATGACAGTCACGAACTAAAGCTAACCGGACGAAATGAGATGAGCTGGTGATCAAGCTGAAATGATCAATTATGATAACATTGAAGTCTCAACACCATGAATCAATCGCTGACGACCTGTTTCTTTTCTGTCACAGCCGCACCATGTCAGCCACTCTACACCTCACCCGTGCGATGCCGAGATGCAAGTTACTTAGAAGCCGACAGTCGGGTCCGGATGGTCAACAGCATCGCATTAGCTGATGCGCGCTAACCTGCCATCTTTTGAGGCTCGTCTTACTTTTATATTGCCGCCTAGCGCTGACGTGTGTCGACCAAGACTTTAATTCAGCTATAGTCCAAGCCGCTAACTACGTGCCCCAGACACTCAGCAGGTACTCGTCGCGCCGCCCACATTGATAAACAAGCTGTTCCTGCCACTCTGCACACATCCTGCCGCGTATCACGAGCTCACCAACACCAAATCATGACTTCCAACGACGACAAAAACACGCAGGCCGCGGGGCCCCCATCCGTCATCAATGCGGGCCTTTTCCGCACCGGCACGGCCTCCATGGCCGAAGCCTACCGGATCCTAGGCCTGCGGCCGCACCACGGCCTCGACCTCATGGACTACCCCGAGCACTGGGTCGAGCTAGAGCGCGCCGCCGAGGGCACCTGGCCCGACGTCCCCGGCGCCCGCAAGCCGCCACAACAGCAGCCCTTCACGCGCGCCGACTGGGACCGCGTCTTCGGCGCCTACGACGCCATCACGGACGTGGGGTCCACCTTCGCCGAGCAGCTCGTCGCCGCGTACCCGGAAGCCAAGGTCGTCGTCGTGGAACGCGGCGACGCCGACCGCTGGGAGGCCAGCTTCGAGTCGCAGATCCTGGGGCCCATCTGGGGGCCGCTGGGCCAGCTCATGTACCACGCCGTGCTGCCGCTGCTCGGCAACCGCGCCGTGAGCGCCATGCGCAAGATCCTGCTCGGCGCGTGGGGCGCGCGCGACGTCGCTGGGATCCGGAGGAACGCGAAGGACGGGTATGTGGCGTATTACGCGAAGGTCAGGGAGGCCGTCCCGCCCGAGAGGAGGCTGGAGTATAGGCTGGGGCAGGGCTGGGAGCCGCTTTGTGCGTTCCTGGGCAAGGACGTGCCGGACGTCGAGTTCCCCTGGGTCAACGAGTCTGCGGCGCATTCGGCGAAGCAGCAGGAACAGGTGTGGCAGATTTTTGGGCAGTTGGGGGCCAAGTTGAGGCCGTGGTGAGCTGTCCGCCTGACCGGGGGGTTTGTGCGGTGGGTGACATGTACATCTCTCAATGGCCCAATGGGAGGGTCTTGAGTCTGAAGGGCCCATGGTTGGCGGGTGCATTGTTTGTATTAAGGTGTAGCCAACATTACCCCCTAGATCCCGTTGTGACACGCTTGCCTATACATGTCGACTGGGTTTCTACGTATTTGGGTTGAGTACTTACGCTGGCCGGCCAGCTGGTGTCGTTTTGGGCGATGGCGGGCATGGTAGCGGGCTAGCATGTCATAATACGAACTTTTAAACCTAACCGTGTGGGACCCCATTTGCAACTAGCCCCCATTTGCAACGATTTTCCAACCAAAACTTTATATTCCAAAAACGTTATAGTTAAACAACTAGAATAATTATAAGTCTGTAGTAAGATAAATAGAACGGGTTAAAATAAAAAGAAACTATGATTTAAGTTGCATGAATATATATTTTTAAAATAATTTAATACATATAAAATAAATAAAAGACTTTTATCATTATAAAGTATTGTTTTTAATACTTATTCTTAAACAATTTAAACTTATCATAAGGTTCGGTATTTATTTCAGAGTTATATATATCGCTTTTTATAAATTATCATATTTACTAAGTTATAAATTCTACTATATGTCACGGCGAGCGTACTAGGGAGCTGGGACATGGCCTGCAGCAAGCAGCTATTACTCTATTGACGAGAATATCAAGACTAGAGAGGAAAGGAAGAGAGAGAGAGATAGGTACAGCGGGAGGTTGCCCCTTTACGAGGATCCTCTGGTCAGATCCTTCCCTTATTGGGAAGTATCGGCTTATCATGTGGGAAGGTCTGTGCAGGCCGTCACACTATATATATACATATATGTTTCTGTCAGATGTTGGATCCCAGATATAGTGCCCTTAGGTGCAGTACCCGCTAGGGGGCTGCCAAGGGACCAGTAGATCCACCCTGGCATGGTGCAGTATAGTATTTAGCTGTAGATTAGCCCTGCCAAGCATACTTGAGAATGACAACAACATTTTGCAGCGACCGCTCACACCCCAAAGGCTTGTGACCCTTCTAGGAATCTCACAATATCCACTTTTAAATATAAATAAATAAGTCGTTTTACTGGCACCTTTCACTTTTTTTCGTTTATAATAATAAATATACTCTTTATAATTATTGTATAAGGAACACTTCAATTCTCCGTGGACCAAAGTAACGTTGCCCTTAGCCTCCTCTTGAATGAGATTCGCCGCCACCAGGGGCCCCTGCCTCCCTCTCACCTGCAGCTCGACTTTCGCACCCCTGTCAAGTCCAACCTTGACACCAACTCCCGTGATTTTCGCACCAAATGCCGAGCGGTGCATGCATCTCGTATGACATGAGAGACCTATGACAAGAGCTGAATGTACTTCGATCTCATAACCAGGTTTTGCGCTCCATGGTCGATCGTCGGCCTGCATTTCCCCAGTTCTCGAGCTGCCGCCGGAGATCAGACTCATTGTTTGGAAGCTAGCCCTTCCCAACCGCCTTGTGACTGTCTCGAAGCGGGCATACAAGCAACGAAACCGGCAACAGGGCCCGTTGAGACAGCTAGGCTTTGACCATACACCTCCTCCTGCTGTCGCTCAAGTCTGCCGCAAATCGAGAGATGTCGCTTGCTGCACCGGTGGTCTCAAGGCCATCCGAACCTCTACCGGAACCTCTTGGGCCTTGTTCGATCCCACCAGAGACAGCCTCTTCCTACGCGCCAGCCCGTTTGACTATTGTCCAATGTCAATATATCGGGCACTACCCACACGGCGCAGTCCCTGGTCCTCAGCCCGCCCTACACGAGTAGCATGCTGCAATTACTATTAACACCCGCCAACTTCCCAAACCTCACGAACGCCGACTTCATCAGCAGCTTCATCTTCTACCCCGAGCACCACGACGCCAATGTGCAGGCTCGACTGTTCTCTCGTGGAGAGCCTGCGGTCTATAACCTTGATGATCCCGAGGACGTGCGACTCCTCGCTGAACTCACGAGGCGGGACCCCTCCGGCCTTGGCGGCATACGGGCGGCGAGATACCCGTCACTTTTCCGCCTTGCTGATAACGAAGCCAATGGGAACATGACCTGGCCCGTGTTCCAAAGGCTGTTGTCAAGGATCTGGCTGGTGATGCAACTTCACTGGTCTCCTGTGACGTTTACCACGGTAGGACTTAGCAACGAATGGGGACCGGAGACAGTAGCCTGGAGACGTATGATGGGGGCCAGAATTCCCACTTTCAGAAGGGTCCGCGTTGTTTGCCTGGGCGAATCGGGCCCTGGCGGTGTGTCTGCACGAAACCCTTAACTGTGTCCTGCTTGTTAAGGTTGAATGGGTCGATCATGCCGGTAAGCAACTACAACCATTGCCTCCTGTCACATATCAACAGAAAACAAGCTGACGAGCCGGGAAGCCCCCCACAGGATACTGCCTCGGTCACCTTCGACGAGCTGTCCCGACCTTGTAGAGACTGCTGATTTGGCCCCGGCCTGGGATGGAAGGTATCATGGATTGAAAAATGCTGGTTTTACATGTTCGCGGTAGATTGTGCTTGGAGTTGAAGTTTTGGTCATAGTATCAGCACTTTCCTTGCTCTCATAAAAAGAGAAAGAAAAAAGAATCAAAGTATCATGTTTTCATAGTCATATCTACCAGGTTTCAATGGCGGGTTTCTTAGAGCATACGTAGTTAATTGCAATCCACTCTCTCATTTATTTCTTATCTTTCTCGTGACAGTACTAGCTATAGCTTCGAATTTACCTCGTGATAAGTTCCAAAGTGTCTCTGAAATGCCCTCAAACTAGCAGCTCTACCCCTGATGTTGTCAGGCGGAAGCAGTAAATCGTGTTCAACCTAGCTCCCTAAGTTAGGAAGCCACTGGATCCCCAGATGCTCAAGCCGCCACAGCCAGACCTACCAGGTAAGGACTCTGATAGAATTAAACGAATGCACACATGATTGAGTTTTATTTCTCCGATATTGTGGTAGTCGAGGTGCTGAGAGCGTATATTGGAAACCTACTTCCCTATGAAACTAAATACTTGCTCCTACAAGACGATCACGAAGTCTCCTCAATCCAGTTCTTCTTCCCGACTTCAATTCCCTTAGCCTTCAGCTTCCCCATCCACTCCATCATAGCCTGCCCATCCATGAAGAGATCAAATCCCTTCACTTGCTTCCCGTCGTCCGTCAGCTTGATCTTTTGCACGTGTTCGTTATTGTACATCCCAGCCGGGCCCTCGGCGTCGGCGTCCATGTAGGACACGACCATGCGCTTGGCCTCGTCGACGACCATGTCGCCCTCAGTCGCGTGGTAGCGATCGAACAGCGTGAATGACCATTCGGTGAAATGGACGTATTCGGCCTGATTCTGGACGGGGGCTTTGAGGGAAGAGGGGAAAGTCCGCGCGATGAAGTCGGGGGTGGTGAGGGAGGTGATGCTGTTCTCGCCGGTGACTTTTTTGTCTATGTGGGCTTGCTGAAAGAATTTTGTGGTGTGGATGAGCTGATCGCGGAGTGACATGGTGAATTTGAGTTGCGTGCTTCTGTGGGGTTAAAGGCCGGGACGGTGCGGCGGTGGTTTGAGCTGTGGTAGAGTATGGGGGACGAAAACCTGGGTTTTGGATTCGAGAAATGGGATGCCGGGAAAATAGGGAGTAGAGGCCTTTATAGGGATCATGCGGAGCCCATCATATTACAAGAATTGTATGTTGGCTGTGAAGTGCATATGATCAGGGGGTGTTGGTTCGCCAAGCTGCAAGGGAGCAGACGGCGACCCAAACCCCTCAGTCTCTCCCCGCGATTTACTGCTACGTACAGGTGTTCAGGGTGGTAATCCTCTAAGATTAGCTGTTTCACATGTATCCAGTCGAGCCAGGTAATAAGGATGGTAAACGCTAGCGCGATAGATAGAACTTTTACGCGATTGGAACTTTCTCATGGAACTTTTTCATAGAACGGGTTGTATTAGCATGACCGAGGTATAACAATTACTGATTTAATAAGTGCAGGAGTCGGAATTGGTGTAGTTTTTGGAGCTTTATTTCTAGGTGTAGCTAGAAATCCGTCCATGAGAGTTAATTTATTCTCATCAAGTTAAATTTTTTGGCCTTTATACAACTCCAAATATGTTATATACAGATTAACGTACGGCTCTACCACGACCCACTCCGTACTAATTGGTTATATTAATATAACCAATGCCTCAAATTACATTAATATAAACTTATATTAATAAAATTCTACACCCAACCTGATTAAAAAATATCAGTATAATTAATATTATATATACATAATTAAAATATGCCTATAACTTTTGAATATTATTAATTAAATATTTGAAAGTTTCGAATAATACCAAGCTATTTCTAGTTAAAAATCTCTCTCTAAATTATAGTTTTATGTAGGCTTTGCAAAACTCGCATTTAAATTCTATATTTTGATAAAGTTATCTATTAATTTATAATATTTTCTATTTGAAACCTAAACCCTTCGCTTGAAGTATAATATTTATATAGACATATTATCTACTATAACTTTACTTAAATTCTTTCAAATTTAGTTTATTATTATCTCCAAAACATAGGAAAATGTTCATGTACATTTTCCTTTCCACTTACCCTACCCTTTTTTAAGATCCTTATAGAATCTATGTATTTCTCTAATACCAACAAGAGGGTAAGCCTTGAATTGAGTAATGCGCATTTCTGGTCAATTAAGGCCTCCGAAACGGAGTGCACTATGACACTATCAATCTATAAAACAAGAAAGGAAATATCAGGTTAATAAAAACACCTAAATAATTTTTTATGAATACAAATTAATATACTTTAATTTTATAAATTCAGATATAATTGTGATAGTATAACTAAAAATATAATTATATATAATTTAAGCTATATACAAAAGCAAAAAAGCTATCATTAACACAAATAAACCAGTAGCTTCTGAAAAAGCAAAACCTAAAATAACATATTAAAGCTCCAAAAACTACATCAATTCCGAATCCTGCTCCTATTAAACCAGTAGTAGCTAAACCTATCCTTATTATTCTTGCACATTATCATATTTAATATATATAAAATGAATTACCCATGATTAAATTAAAAAACACTAACCTAATAAATTATTTACGTTTTCCAGTCCCGTATATTTTAACTTAACGACACTTAATACGAGGTAATAATTTTTCCTTCTATTTAAGACGAATCATTGATGATTACGTTTAGGAGGACGACGAGGTTCTACCTCCACATAATATAATTGACCTTTATATATTCGTATAGATATTAAATAATATATGGTTATAGAAGGTACTCCAATTATAATTCTAAATAATAATATACTTAGAATAGAAAGATTATCTATATGAAAAGTTTAAATTATATAAATATTGTATATACTTATTATTTTTAGCTTTTGCATTATATTTTTCATTTTCTTAATTCATCATAATTAACTATAATTCGTATTACATTTGTTTTATGTAAATTTAAATTAGCAAAAGTTAACTTTTGGTGTATTTATATAAGTTCTGCTACATTAAACTTTACATATAAACACCTGAATCTTTTATACTATTACAAATTAAATAAACCTGAATAACCTAAACCTTTTAAATTTATTAATTAGAATTTTAGATATCTATATCTATTTTAAATTAGTAATTTTACATTATATCTTATTATCGGCTTTACTATAAATATCTTCTCCGATATTCTACTAAAGAGGATCTAATATTTATTATATTAGGTTTAAATTGATTATTCTAAATATATTATACATATTTAAATATTATATACTATTGACTAATTTAATCTCTTTTCTATTTAAAACCTAAATTCTACACTCAAAGCAATTTTATACACTAATATGTTGTTTACTATAACTTATCTTAAATTGGTTTAAATTTAATTTATTATTATATAAAAACCATATTAGCATAAAATAGTTTATAAGATTTAAACTTCTATATTAATAGAAAATTAATGTTTTAAATTAAGACTATTACCACTGCCACTTCACCTCTATTCAATTGGCCGTTATCGATAAGAATAGAATTAGTACACCTCCCCTTTAAACAAACTTCAATTTAAAAATCTTTAAAGTTAAGATCAACATTTTAATAAAAAAACTAATTATAAAATATATCTATGCATAAAACTAACTAAATCGCTTACTACTGGTTGCTTAGTAAATGTAAAGGCTTTAATGAAGATCCAAACCATCCTTTATATAACCTGAAGATAAAACCACAAAAACTTGAGCTTGAATGAAGGCTATACCTAACTCCAGACCTGAAAATGCTATAATAAAAGACAAGGGTATTAAACCTAAGAAAAAGAATATTATTCCACTTGTCATTATATTGTATGTGAAACCTGCTAATATATTAAGCAACATGTGACCTGATAATATGTTAGCTGCTAATCTCAAACCTAAAGAAATATTTCTAGCTAAGTAAGAAATAAACTCAATTAAAACTAATAAAGGTAATAAAGCTAAAGGACAACCAGCAGGCACTAAAAGAGAGAAAAATACTAGACCGTGTTTTTGGAATCCTAATATTGTTACACCTAAAACTATAGTAAAACTTAATGCAAATGTTAATACAAAATGACTTGTAGAAGCAAAAGTGTAAGGAACCATTCCAATTAAGTTATTAATTAATATAAATATAAATAAAGCATATATAAATGGAAAGTATAATTGTCCATTTCTAGGGTTTATTTGATTTGTTACTATGCTATGAATAGTTGCATATAAAGATTCTTGACTTATTGATCAATTATTACCTACTAATTTATTATAATTTGTACTTAAAAGGTTAAGAGTTAATATAAAAAAAGCACCTAACATTAAGTATAATCCTATATTAGTTACTGATATATGTAAATTTCCTAATATAGGTGCATCAATACTTAATAAATCTCTTATTTCAAATTGATTTAAAGGGCTAATTATTTCTCTATTAAGATTAAAAAAGTTGGTTATTTTTTCCATTGTAAAACTATCATAACTGTATCCAATAGTTAATTAAAACTCAAAGTATAAAACTAATCTGGTAATAGATATTACTAGATTACTTTCTTAATTTAACTTTAGTATTAATAATTGAAATGTAAATCTTGATAAATTTAATTTATATTTAATATAATATTTTAAAAATCTACTACTTCATGTAGTATAAATATTAATTAAATAATTTAGATATAAAAGTACGAGCTAAAGATAAACGAACAAATCTAGGTAATATGTATTTAGATAACATATATATTGTTATTATAATTATAACAAAAGCAAAAGTTACTTCATTTACAAAATAAAATGGTGTTAATTAAGGCATATTAATAATAATCGTGTTATTGAATACTATTTAATAAGTATTAGCGTTTATTATAAAACGAAAATATTTTAATTAAGGAAACAACTAAATTTTTTTTTTTTTTACAGAGTAAACTATAACCACCGTATTATTAAATAGTACTAAACCAATAAATTATATTTATATATTAAATTTGTAGCTGAATAGTGTAGTCCATCTAAAATAATAGAAGGATATATACCAAGAATAACAGTAAAGGCTACTAATGTAAATAATAAAAAGAATTCTCTTTTAGTAAGATCACTTATATTTTCTTCAAAGAATCTAGTAAATGATCCACCAAATGCTATACGGTTAAACATATATATAGTATAAGCAGCAGAAAATACTATAAAAGAACTAGCAAATACACCTAGAACAGGTAATCTTTCAAATACTCCATAAAGAGACATAAATTCACCTACAAAATTTAAAGTCAAAGGAGCTCCACAGTTACCTAAAGATAAAATAAAAAATAATATAGAAAATAAAGGCATCATTTGAGTTATACCTTTATAATAATGTATTAATCTAGTTCCAGATTCATCATATAATACACCCCCTGCACATATAAATAAACCACTAGATACAAATCCATGAGCTAAACCTAGAAGTATTCCTCCTTCTATTCCCTGTATTGTATTACTAAATACTCCTATCAAGTAAACAGCAGCATGAGATACTGGACTATAAGCTATTGAACTTTAATATCTGTAGTTCTTAATGTACTAAAACTAGCATATATTATTGTTATTACACCTATTATAAATACTATAAATGTATAATCTAAAGATGCTTTAGGTAATATAGGTAAAATTAATCTAAATATACCATATAAACTTAATTTTAAAACACTACCCGCTAAGATAATACTTCCACCTAAAGGGGATTCTACATGAGTTTTTAATAATCAGTTATTTAAAAATATAGTAGGAGTTTTTACTACAAATGCTATAAATATTCCACAAAATAAGAATACTTGTGTAGTATAATCAAAATTTGTTTTAAATAAAGCATCAAAATCAGTAGTTCCCATTATAGAAGACATAGTTAAAATAGATAATAATAAAAACAAAGACCCTAATAATGTATATAAGAATAAATAAAAACTAGCTCTTACTTTATTACTAGATCCAAATAAACCTATCGATAAAAATAAA